TCACTCAAACATGAAGTTCCCTTATTTTTTCTATTATAACCTATCCAGTTGGAGACTTATTTATGTGGTGGCCAGGTTTGATCGCCGGTTGCCAGATAGTTAAGTAGAGCACATGACTAGTGATTCAGGGGCTGGGGACTTGGGTTTGAATCCTGATCTTGTCCATTGCATTTTTCTCCTTTTTGGCTACAAAGGCATATGTACCTGTACATATACATGTAAATTAAAGACATGATTTTGATCAAATCTGGATAAAAATAACTGAAATTCTCTTTTGACAAAAGTATCATATTCAAGCATGTCATAATAAATCCAGCTGGTTTTTGACAAAGAATAAATTAAATCAGCTGTAAAACTGAAGAAAATAATTTCTGGAACTTTTTATAGTCATAAACTTTACATACTGAGGTAGGCATAGGCAAAATATTGTGTAAATTATTCTATATTATATTAACAAGTCTTTACAGATCTATGTCTATCATGTTTGTGCTCTGTATTTTCAGAAAAGAAAGAAACAACAACAAGATGGCGGAAAAGCAGCAAAAAAATACAAGGAGTTCAAGTTTTAATGGACGTGTGCATTATGTTGACCGTTCACTGTTGTCTTGTGATCACAATCATTGTCTGACATCAATTTCAAAGAAATTAACAATTATATCATCCACATCAGCCATGTTTCTCAGATATCAAGGGATTTCAAAAAATCATGAATTTCACTTTTTTTTGCATATTGTCCAAAGAGATGTGGGAATAAATTTTTTTTCATCATGGTATTTACTTGGTTATTATACCCCACGCAACAAGTTGAGGTATAATGTTTTTGACCCGTCCGTCAGTCAGTCAGTGTGTCAGTCAGTCAGTCTGTCAGTCCTGTTTTTTTGTCAGCGCAACTCCTCATAAACTGCTGCACAGAATTTCGTCAAACTTTGCAGATATTTAACACACAATGTGTAGATGTGCATATTACCAGGAAATTTCGATTCCTTTATTTTTTCTGGGAATTTCGGCACTTTTCAACTAAGATTTTTGGCCATATCTTGAATATAGAGATGAACAGTTTGTCAGTGCAACTCCTCTTAAACCACTGCACAGAATTTCATCAAACTTTGCAGATATTTAGGACACAATGTGTAGATGTGCATATTAACAGGAAATTTCGATTCCTTTATTTTTTCTGGGAATTTCGGCACTTTTCATCTTGGATTTTTGGCCATATCTTGAATATAGAGATGAACAGTTTGTCGGCGCAACTCCTTTTTAAACCGCTGCACAGAATTTCGTCAAACTTTGCAGATATTAAGCACATTATGTGTAGATGTGCATATTACCATGAAATTCTGATTCCTTTATTTTTTCTGGGAATTTCAGCACTTTTCAACTTAGATTTTTGGCCGTATCTTGAATATGGAGATGAACAGTTTTCAGCGCAACTCCTCTTAAACCGCTGCACAGAATTTGGTTAAACTTTGCAGATATTTAGTACACAGTGTGTAGATATGCATATTACCAGGAAATTCCAATTCCATTATTTTTGCCTTAAGAGCTTTGCCTTTTATTGAAGAAACTTCTAAGCTAGGTAATAAGGAAATCCACTGGAATCAACTTTTGTAATGAAATTTTATGTGAAATATTTTATGATCTTAAAAGACCCCTATCGATTTTGAGATCAAAACATTAATGATTTAACACACACACACACACACACAAAATCTTGGATAGTTCTCACCCCCACCCCCACCCCCACCCCTCAAATTGGTGCTTTGCCTTAAATAATTTCATAAGTACACTATATAAACAAATTCATATGACTACATTTTAATTTTGTTTCCATCAATTATTTAAATGTGTAAATTGTCATGTGTTGGACATGGACTTACAACCATTAACAAATCGAAGTCACTGAGGAATTTAAATAACAGTTTGACAGCATAACTCCTGCACTGAATTTCCTGAAACTTTGTAGGTATTTAAGACACAATTGTATAGATTTGTATATTACCAAAAATTTTTGATTCAGTTATTTATCTAGAAACTTCAGCCCAATTAAATTTGTAACATACAAAGATTTGAATGTCCTTATATGCAAGAAGTTATGATGTGATGATTTTTTGCAAGTAATGCCCCTTTTTGAATTATACTGTGTATTTAAAATGCACTGTGCCATTCATTACGTGTTGCATTGTCGAGTTTTGGGGGAGCGTGGGGTATGTGAGCTTGCTCACTTTTTCTTTCATTCTTCAAGTAAATGTATATAGTTCTGTATAAACAATATTAAAGGGGGGATACAACTTGCCTGATGCTGTTTTCATGGAAAAAATTAAATTTAGCTGAATAAAGGAGAAAGAAAGCTGAAATGCTTTTCATCAGTGAAAGATAATGATTGATTTAATCTTAATATGATCATATTTCTAAGGAAGCTCATTTAGGACCTATCAGCAAATATTTTTAAATTTGATATAACGAATTGTCAACTTTGTTAAAATAAATTTAATTCATTATTAATAACAATTTTTGATTTTGTTATAACAAATTTAATCGAACAAAGGACAAGGCTCAGACCCTTTTTGGCCCCTGGTTTAGGGTGTCTTTTAGAATAATGCAACAGTTTATCAATAAAAACCTGTTGTCACCCCTGCCACAAAATGAGTACTGGTCCTAAGTTACGGGATACACAGAGGTCACAGGAAGGTCAGAAGATATGTCAATTTCCGAATTTTCTAATTTTTATGCAAATTTTTGTCGATTTTACAGCACATTTTGTTTGAGAAAACATAGCTTGCCTATCTACCAAATTTATATATTTCATACACTAGTATCAGATTATCTTATATATAAAAATCTCAGATAGGCAAGCTTGTGCTTTATGTTTCCGGAAGTGTAAAGTATCTCAAATTTGACAAAATATCAACAGAAATGAGGAAATTCGGGAAAATGTCCTACTTCTGCACTCTCTTGTGGCCTCCGTGTAAGCTTTGAATCAAAATTAGTGCTGGTTTTAAAACAAGCATCACTTTAAGTTCTTAACTACAAACTATCACAATTTTAACTGCAGTCTAATTTTTACGTCAAATAAGGGGGCAGATTCAGCTGTTACCATACCTTGTCCTTTGTTGAATTTGTTACAATGAATTCACAACTGTTAAAAATAATAAAATTCATTAAAACAAATTCTTGTTATAACAGAATTGAATTCATTTAAACAAATTAGATAATTTGTTATATCAAAATGAATCCCTTTAAATGAATTCTACAATTTGTTATATTTAATTCACAAATTTTTTTCTGTAGGCCCTAATGTCACATTCAGTTAAACAGTTTACCTGGTAATTGTTATAACAAATTTTGGAATTCATATAAACAAATGTAATCTGTTGTAACAAATTTTTGGTTATAATGAATTCAACAAATCTGTTGTAATGGATTTAATTTGTAATAATGAATTAAAGGAAGATGGGCGAACAAGGCTAGAGAAACATGAAGGTGAAAAGTTAAACTTCAATTATAACAAAATTTTCTTCGATATTTCATCTAACATTAAAGTATACTCTATGTAAAATCTCCACAATTTGCAAAAATCTCACAAAGATTGAAATTATTTACCTATGAAATAGCATACACACACTGAAGAGGGCTAAAAGGATCTTCTTCTTTTTTTATACTATAACACATTTTTTTTATATGAGTGGGCCTTCATTTCATTTTTCCTTGAAGTTTTCATAAAAATACACATTTTTTGGTTAATAGAAACATGGAGCAAAGACTCACTATACCTTAAAAATTCACTTTTATGACATAACATTTCCATCTTTCCGAGAAATACTCGAAGTCAATTTAGTCAAGGGTCATATCACAAACATGATTTAAATGCCACTTTTCATCAGAAGTTGTGTACTGTAGTGGTCAACGTGTTAGTCTCAAACGAAAATGATACTCAGAATTTTTATTGCTTTTATTGACCTTGTAAATTTGAACTTGTCTGGCAGCCAATGGTCCAGATGCTTCTCTAACACCTCCCGGACAAAATCTGTGACAATGATTTTATTCTCATAAATGTACAAACATACATTGTAGAGAGGAGGTAGGATAAGATACAAACACAAGAAAAAGAATATAATACATTTATAATAAATGGTACAAAATATCATGTTAAGATTCAAATCAATTATTTCCATCTATAATTTGTTTAACAATCAACAAAAATTTGCATAATTTTTTCAATATTGAACAGTTTTTTGTTGAAAAAGTTGTTTAAATTTCTCTATAATTGGTCTGCATATGAGATATTTTGAAATATATTTTAACCTAGCCTCTTTAATTTCTTTTCGTGTGCATTCAAAAACATAATGAAATTCATCACCAATCTTAATAAGATCACATAAAGTACAAATCCTTTGTTCTCCTGGGAGACCATTCCATCTCCCAGTGTCAATAGGGAGTTTAAAATTGTTACATCTAAATTTACATAGCAAAGTTGAAAATTTTCGAGGCATATTAACAAGATATCTTTCTGGTTCAAGTATTTCTTTATAAATTCGATAATTAACACCCTTGGATGAATTATAAACATTACTTTTCCGGTTTTGGATATTTTGGTCAACAAGTATTCTTTTTACTTCATTTTTAACCCATGCTACACTGTGGGAATCGGAATTAACATTTACATTCTCATTATAAAATCTACGATTCATTCATCAGGGTTCTTCATTAACCCGGATGATTTGCTTAGTAACATAAGCTGCACTTTATGTACTCATCATTGTGGTATTTCCTGTATACTACCAACTAGCATCCTTCGGATGAGACCGTATAAACCGAGGTCCCGTGTCGCAGTAGGTTTTGTCACGAAAAAGATCCCTCACTGCTCAATGGCCGTAAGTGCCGAGTATGGGACAAATTTGCAGCTCTCCACCGGCAAGTGGTGGCGTCTCCATATGAGTGAAAAATTCTCGAGAGGGACGGCGTTAAACAACATTCAAAAGCCAACTAGCATAAAACAACACTTTTTGAGATTTGTACACCTTTATTCTCTTACAATGAGTAAATGAAAAAATATATATATACCCCTTTTCGAGGGATGAGATGAGTGAAATGTCGACTGAGTATTGATAATACAGCAAAGCAAATACCCTATTCTTCTCTCATATATATACAGTATCATCTGTTAGAAAAAGACATCGCATCTTATTTGAGACGAAAAAGAAGAATGGAATAGAATAATCACTCCTGGTTTTTACTCTTCCCTTGTCACCAGTATAGGATTAAGGTATATAGTATGTAGCACTTCGGTCTTCCGTCATACAACACAGTGTAGCACTATGACAAGATATCAAATGTAAAGCGGACGTGTATCTTCTTCAATCTGCTTCAGTCAGTCCATATGTAATATGGATAGACGGGAGAGAAGTGGTGATCCCCCTTCATGTCTTCAGGGTCATCTTCTTCCTTTATACAGACCCCTCCCAGCCGGGACTCCATATAGGTCAATGATACTATAAATAGAGATTAATAATTGGTAAGTAATCCCTTTACAAGGTAGAAGTTTTTGGAATCTAATTTGATTAAGCAACCACAGGGGGCCTTGCGCGCTGTCTCACTCTACATCTTTACAGGTAGAGTTTTTCCAGAGATTGATTTTATTTATATTTATTTACCGTAAATCATTTTTATTCGCGAGAACTTTATTTCCTCTTAATTATTTCGTTTGCGTATATTTGTATTATTAAAGATTATTACCAATAGTAACCAAATTCCTGGATTTTTTCCTAGCTCATAAATACCAAATAACTATCTAGCAAAAATAAGCTGTCGCAAAATTTGGTGATCTACAGTATTTTTTGGAAGCACTTTAACACCCCTACTAATGTTATTGTGATTTAAATTCAAGACACGTGGTGTAGGTTGACCCATTCTAAGGTTATAGGGTAGAACCGATTTTATAAATAAAATTGGCAGTATTTTCAATACCATAATGTAAAACAAAAATGAACTTCGTTTTATTGATTGACATTGTAGTGCAGTGCAATAAAATGCAGTTAAATTCTTATTATGGTAAACAGTATAAATTCTCTTTCAAACAAAAAAATCCCCTCATCAGTCAAAAAGGAGTGTTCATTTCTATTGGATCTTTTGCGCATACCCAAACTAGTCGATAAAAAAAACCCCAGCAACACGTAACTTTACGAAAGTCTTTCGACTTAATTACTGATTGTTAATTTTGATTCATATCAAAGAAAACAAATATTTAAGAATATGAGAATAAAAGAAATGCTCTCTAGTCTGTTTTTGAAACCTTTTTTTTCTCAAAGCATAAAATGAAAAATAGAGTGTGTGTATTCAATCAGTTTTTTAAATTCAATTAAGAAAAAAAAATTGACTAAGATAATTTTGATTGAACAATTTGGCAGGCATCAAAATGAATCACATTGTATTGCAGCAGAGTGCAGTATGGTGTAATTCTACTTATATTTAAACAAGCACAATTATTTTACTTGTCAATGTATTAGAAATATTCCCCACCATCCACCCTCCAAAGACAGCTTTTATATACAATTTGTACTTGTGATTGAATGTTTATTTGGAAATTTGCATAATGTAAGTTTTGTTTCAAAGTTCCATAACTCAAATTATGTCCCTTTGAACAACGTAGACAAAACGGTCATTGATTTCTGCTTTATATTATGTAAATGTTTAAGTAATGCTAACGACTAACAGGTTTGTATACTACATATAAGACGTTAGAGAGACTTTCACGAAATGACCATGTGTTACAGTCAGAGTAAATAACGTTACGGGTAATGTCGCGTGTAAAGGACTTAGTGTGAGCTTATCTCACTAAACAAGTACTGCTAAGCAGTATTGAAAAGCGTCTTTGATTGTTTTACAAAGTCATCGGCGCTTTGTTTGGGTCTCAAAATATTCACTCATCAGTCAAACAAGAAATTTTTTTTTAACTGTTTTGCCTAATAATAAAAATTGACCAAGTATGTTTTATTTAGACAGTACATCAAGCATTACAATGCAATGTATTGTAGGACAGTTATATTTTTATTTAAAAGCAAAATTAATTAGCTTGCAATTAAAGAACTTCACTCGACACTCCAATTTTCCTCGGGATGTTTCGCATATATCCATATCAGTCTTTCAATAAAAAAAATCAGCAAAAGTAACTGTTCTTTGATGAGAACTTAGCTCTAAGTACTTTTATCACAATATATTCTGTTTATCCTTCCTGGTGCTTATCTGCATCACTCTCAAAATTTACACTCATCAGTCAAACACGAGATTTCTCTCTTTTTCAATCTTTCATATACCCAAACTAGGTGTTGCATAAAATAATAAACAGCAATGACAAAATTTGTCGAAAAATCCTTCGACATTATTACTGCATTGTTCATTTACTTTCGTATGAAAGAAAACAATCATACAAGAAAATGTGAATGAAAATATTCCATCCAGTCTGTTTTCAAAACTTAAAAAAAAAAAAAAAAAAAAAATCAGAAAATATGTTAATTTACACCTTATTTTCAATACCATAATGTAAAACAAAAATGGACTTCGTTTTATTGATTGACAATGCATTGTAGTGCAATAAAATGCAGTTAAATTCTTATTATGGTAAACAGTATAAATTCTCTTGCAAACAAAAAAATCCACTCATCAGTCAGAAAGGAGTGTTCATTTCTATTGGATCTTTTGCGCATACCCAAAATAGTCATTCGATAAAAAAAAAAAAAAAAAAAAAAAAAAGCAACACGTAACTTTACGAAAGTCTTTCGACTTAATTGCTGATTGTTAATTTTGATTCATATCAAAGAACAATTTGGCAGGCATCACAATGTATCACATTGTATTGCAGCAGAGTGCAGTATGGTGTAATTCTACTTATATTTAAACAAGCACAATTATTTTACTTGTCAATGTATTAGAAATATTCCCCACCATCCACCCTCCAAAGACAGCTTTTATATACAATTTGTACTTGTGATTGAATGTTTATTTGGAAATTTGCATAATGTAAGTTTTGTTTCAAAGTTCCATAACTCAAATTATGTCCCTTTGAACAACGTAGACAAAACGGTCATTGATTTCTGCTTTATATTATGTAAATGTTTAAGTAATGCTAACGACTAACAGGTTTGTATACTATATATAAGACGTTAGAGAGACTTTCACAAATGACCATGTGTTACAGTCAGAGTAAATAACGGTTACGGGTAATGTCGCGTGTAAAGGACTTAGTGTGAGTTTATCTCACAAAACATGCTAAGAAGTATTGAAAAGCGTCTTTGATTGTTCTACAAAGTCATCGGCGCTTTGTTTGACTTTCAAAATATTCAACACTATGAAGTATTGTGAAGTTATGATATGTGCCAAAATGATGTTGATTCTTTGAAAAAATTATGTACATTTATTACTAAGATTAAAAGTATGGTCTGTTCTCCCTAGCTAGCTGAATTAATCTCACCTTTTCCTTGACTCACTGTATTATATGTATATATGTTTATGTACCTCATTTACCATTTACATGGTTTTTGAGTGAATAAATTGAATTGAATTGAATTGCCTAATAATAAAAATTGACCAAGTATGTTTTAATTAGACAGTACATCAAGCATTACAATGCAATGTATTGTAGGACAGTTATATTTTTATTTAAAAGCAAAATTAATTAACTTGCAATTAAAGAACTTCACTCGACACTCCAATTTTCCTCGGGATGTTTCGCATATATCCATATCAGTCTTTCAATAAAAAAAAATCAGCAAAAGTAACTGTTCTTTGACGAGAACTTAGCTCTAAGTACTGTTATCAGAATATATTCTGTTTATCCTTCCTGGTGCTTATCTGCATCACTCTCAAAATTTACACTCATCAGTCAAACACGAGATTTCTCTCTTTTTCAATCTTTCATATACCCAAACTAGATGTTGCATAAAGTAATAAACAGCAATGACAAAATTTGTCGAAAAATCCTTCGACATTATTACTGCATTGTTCATTTACTTTCGTATGAAAGAAAACAATCATACAAGAAAATGTGAATGAAAATATTCCATCCAGTCTGTTTTCAAAACTTAAATTAAAAAAATAAAAAATATATTAGAAAATATGTTAATTTACACCTTATTTTCAATACCATAATGTAAAACAAAAATAGACTTCGTTTTATTGATTGACATTGCATTGTAGTGCAGTGCAATAAAATGCAGTTAAATTCTTATTATGGTAAACAGTATAAATTCTCTTTCAAACAAAAAAATCCCCTCATCAGTCAAAAAGGAGTGTTCATTTCTATTGGATCTTTTGCGCATACCCAAACTAGTCGTTCGATAAAAAAAAAAAAAAACAAACAAACAAAAACAAAAACAAAAAAAACAACCAGCAACACGTAACTTTACGAAAGTCTTTCGACTTAATTACTGATTGTTAATTTTGATTCATATCAAAGAAAACAAATATTTAAGAATATAAGAATAAAAGAAATGCTCTCTAGTCTGTTTTGAAACCTATTTTTCTCAAATGATAAAATGAAAAAAAAGAGTGTGTGTATTCAATCAGTTTTTAAATTCAATTAAGAAAAAAAAAATTGACTAAGTTAATTTTGACTGAACAATTTGGCAGGCATCACAATGTATCGCATTGTATTGCAGCAGAGTGCAGTATGGTGTAATTCTACTTATATTTAAATAAGCACAATTATTTTACTTGTCAATGTATTAGAAATATTCCCCACCATCCACCCTCCAAAGACAGCTTTTATATACAATTTGTCCTTGTGATTGAATGTTTATTTGGAAATTTGCATAATGTAAGTTCTGTTTCAAAGTTCGATAATTCAAATTATGTCCCTTTGAACAACGTAGACAAAACGATCATCGATTTCTGCTTTATATTATGTAAATGTTCAAGCAATGCTAACGAGTAACAGGTTTGTATACTATATATAAGACGTTAGAGAGACTTTCACAAATGACCATGTGTTACAGTCAGAGTAAATAACGGTTACGGGTAATGTCGCGTGTAAAGGACTTAGTGTGAGTTTATCTCACTAAACAAGTACTGCTAAGCAGTATTGAAAAGCGTCTTTGATTGTTCTACAAAGTCATCGGCGCTTTGTTTGAGTCTCAAAATATTCACTCATCAGTCAAACAAGAAAGTTTATATTTTTTTTTCACTGTTTTGCCTAATAGTAAAAATTGACCAAGTATGTTTTAATTAGACAGTACATCAAGCATTAAAATTCAATGTATTGTAGGACAGTCATATTTTTATTTAAAAGCAAAATTAATTAGCTTGCAATTAAAGAACTTCACTCGACACTCCAATTTTCCTCGGGATGTTTTGCATATATCCATATCCATGAGAACCATTTGAGCGTTGTTTTAACTTTACAAAGAAATAGGCGTGTCATTATATGACAATCAATGTTCTAAAAAAGCTCAAAACGTTCCATTTAAATGGAGAATTTTACTACTTCAATGCGCTTCATTGTATGATCGATATCAAATGGATTGCAAAAAAAAAAAAATGTTTATATGAAAAAATACAAAGAGTAGAAACTATGAAAGATGCCACGGGCGTTTGTAATTTGTTGCTCCGTTGTTAACTAGAAAATGCGTATGAAAAATGTACTCTGTGCCACGTTCAGAACACTAGCGTTTCAAAGTTAAGGAAAACGACCAGCATCCCTTAGGCATTTCAACAGTTAAATGGACCCGCGATCATCTGCTTTGGTCAGGGAACCCACCTGACAATTGTATTCACCGATAGTACAACAAAGGAATGCAGATGAAAATCGTCTTAGTTAGAGTATGACTTTGAGAAACCTAGAATTCCACGTTTATTAAACGTGTTACAAATGAATTGTTTGTAATTGTGAGAATGGAAATAATAGAATAAAAAAGGACAGCACGAAAAAAAAATGTCCTATGTGCCTTTTCGATCGCCTTGGGTTTTTTTTTTTCAAGCGTAAAATTCCTGTAGTATCCATAGTAACCCACAATGCAATTCAACTCATTCAGAGTAAGCTATTTGCTACATGTACTCTGACGCCAAAAAATATAGTCCCATTTCACATGCAAGCATGTTTGTCCAAAAAGAAATTTTAATACATAAGTGCAGAAAATAATGCAATGAAGAATACTTATTGACGTTTGAATGAATTCAGGAGAGATTAAAATACATTTTTACATATATTATTCAGTGGTGAAAAATGAAACGCAAGATAACTTTTCTGTTTACATGTCTCCACGTGCTAGTCACTTCTTAGCCACATTTCCGTGAATAATTCACCTTATCTCGTTGTAGTCTCGCTAGATCTCGCCGGAGCTACTGTGAGAGCTACTGAGAACGCCTCGGATTTTATAATTTGCAGAACACCGAAAAACTAGAACTGTCCAAAAGGGACAAATACCCCCCGCTGAGTTTTTCAGAGAAGATACCAAATCACTAATGTTTTTTAGATGTGAGATGTGTTCACAATTTGCTTAAACATTTAGACTGAAAATTTAATTACTCATTATATTTTTTTAAATGAATGAAACTAAGGTGCAGCCTAATAAAACACCAATACTAGTCACACGCTAGTAATTACAGTGTTTTTTATTACATTGAAAAAATAGTTTGCAACTATATGTCATCTTTGTGAGACATGACACTCTGCAAATTGATTGTTGAAAAAAAATATCATAATTAATTATACAAAATCAAATTGATCTTAATACCTTTATATCAAACTCATTTTAAAAATAAAAGCCTGGTTCCAGTAACTATGTATTTTGACAGACATAAATTATTAAGAGACTTAGACAACAGAGATCTTTGTTTCTTTCTGCCCAATTCCCAGGAGATATAGATAAGACCTGCTTGATCAGAGATGCCCCAACAGCTTCCCACACTGAACTCATTAATTAATCTTTAACTGGATGCATGTCCACTCATTACTCCCAAGGGACAAATGGATTTACACTATCTGCTGTGTAATGTAAAAACTGTTTTTAATACTTTGTGATTTTTTTTTTATTTCTAATGAGTAGTTTAAGCTGTAGTTCACATTTTTGTACAGATGTTCTAGATTCTAAGTCTCAAACTTAGACATGAACCCGAAATGACTAAGTCAATAAAAATGAAAAAAAACACCTGTTAAATGCAGAAAAATTACCAAATAATGTTGAAAATACCAGGTGCACATCTTCATATGGTAAATAATAAGTGTACAAATTTTAATACAAATCTATGCAATAGTCTCTGGGAACAGATCCGGACAAAACCACATAATAAAAATGAAAAAAAAAAACACCTGTAAAATGCAAAAAAATTATCCAATCATGATGAAAATACCAGGTGCGCACCTTCATACGGCAAAGAATAAGTGTACAAATTTTCAGACAAATCCTTGCAACAGTTTCCAAGAAATGGTCCGGACAAAATCTCGTCTACAGACAGACGGACAGACAGACAGACGGACAAGCTGATTCCAATATACCCCCCCCCCCCATAACTTCGTTTGCGGAGGGTATAATAAAGTGTTCCGAACACATTAGTAGGGGTTTTTAAAATATATAAACGAATTGGTAGCTCTACTGAGAAACACCGCTTTCTTAGTCCAAGTTTAACCTGCTTTCTCTGGTTAAGATTGATTATTTTAATTCAAAATCAATAAAAATGATATGATTTAATTCATTTTTTTCATTTTTGAAAATGCAAAAAAGATACGTTTCGAGCAATATCCAATCTCCCTCTCTTTGAAAATTTATCCCACTTGTTTTTAAATTTCATTTTATTATTTTTATGCTTATTTCTTTGACAATTTTATGACTGACTGCATCCCAGAGAATGGAGAAAGAACAAATTTTCTCATCACCTGCATACTGCTCCGAAGAAGCATGCGATGACGTGGATCGTTGACCCCGTGACCTTGAGTCATGTCGAGGCGAATGTGGGATTGGTCTCATGGTAGAACGTAATGGCACGGTTCCAACAATAATTTCTAGAGGTACATACATCTCGAAAGACGGTCCAACAGCATCTACTCGTAACTAAAACAAGAATATATTAATTTTGAAAGAAACAAGTATGTTCATGTATTATGAACGCACTTTTAAAATTATATCCGACTGCAGTTTAAGTTTTCTTTATTTCATGTCACTGTCATGTTCTAAATTTTGAATTTACCGGAGGCCTGTTCAACAGAGCGAACGTTCGCGAGCGCTCGCGAACATTTCTGTTGGAAAGATAAGGAATTTTGGCGAGCGCTCGCGAACGTTCGCTCTGTTGAACAGGCCTCGGGTGAGAGTAAATACAAAATTTAGAACATGATCTAAATTTCGTATTAACCCCCACCCGGTAAATTCAAAATTTAGAACATGACATCACAATCAATAGAATTTAAAAGACTCGCTGATGTTCAAGTATACAGTAGAACCTAGTTATAAGAAAACTCGCTTATAAGGAAATTTCGCTGAAAAAACTGCGCATTATATTCCTTATACAGCTATAAGGAATCTTGGTTATTAAAAGTCCCAGAGACTTCCTTTTAAACGAGTTTTACTGTATATCGGTGATGTATATATATATATATATATATATATATACATTGATGTAATAGAATATCTTGTAGATGGCCTAGAATTGAATTCTCATTAATGTATATACGATGAACAGTATATATTTAACCTTAGACTCAGTGATGTATATTTCAAATTAAAGACTTAGTGATGTTGCATAACGAATTTAACATTTAGTGACGTATGCTTCCCGATGCACTTTCAGTATTATAATCGATCAGCCCTCTCTCTAGAACACTCTTGGCTGATTTTACATAAAGAATTTAATCGTAACATTTCAGAACATCTGCTGTAGTTTTTGAGATATATATACACTGTATACAAATTACAATTTCCAAAATATTACATAATAACAATGTGGTTTTTTGGCATCTGAATAGATATGCTAGAAATAAATAAAAATCAGAAACAATAAAAGTGTCAATGGATTGTCCAAATCGGCCTCGATATTGCGTCAAAGTAGAAAAATATCACTTTTATTTTACACCGGGATCGCGCATCACACAGAGAAGCTGTACGTATTTATATGTACAGTCGAGCCTTGGTAGTCCGGACGCCAATCTCCTTCCGGACGAAATTCGTGGGGAATAGAATTCATATCTAATAATTATATAAGTACGCTTCAGTAATCCAGATGATTCATCAATCTGGACGATTTGCTTGGGAACACAAGCGTCCAGATTCACGAACATTGACTGTAATCATTAATAAATAAATATATATATATAAAAAAATAAACTTCACGCTTCTTTAACTTTTTTCTTTTGCCCTTATGCAAATACCTACAAGAGGACTTTGTTTTATTATTTTGGATCTGAATCATAATATTAAATAAAAATATAGTAAATATATCATGCGCACCCCTAATATGTACCTCTAGTTTGTACTGTATATCTATAATGTTACACCCAAACAGGAAACTAGGAGGGAGAGCTGGAAGGGGGATCCCCTGGTCTGCCCACGTGCTTGTAGTGCCCCGGGGTACAGAACCATGAATGATTTTATCGATCTGTGTGCTCACTGTTCGAGACTCATCAGAGCTGTGGAAATTTGTGGTCTGAAATAAAAATGAGAATGGAAATTCGATGTTACCAAAATAAAGTATTTTTTCTTTGTAATCATTTACCAATACAACTGTGAACAAAACTCTAGGAAAAGCTTACAGAGCACCACAATACAATTTATATTACATGTACCATTGTAAGTGTTATGGACGAACTTGCTATTTTCCGACTTGACAGATTTTCGATTTCAATCGTCACAGGAATAATGTCTCCTGGAACAAATCCCCTTCTTGGAAGCGATAGAAAAGCGCTTATGGGACCAGACGTACAACACAAACAACACAAATTTTTCGTAAGCGTCATGCCAGTCGGAGACTGAAACGAGAAATCCTTCTTTTAAATAAATATTATTAAATTGTTGGATTTTTAAAATATATCTCTCATTTAAAACCGATTAGTAGAACTCACGTCTATTTGTGGAAAGGTGTTCAAATCCAGTGGACCAATCACAGAAAAGGCAGTTTTAGTCACGTGGGAAAATCTCTTTGGTTTTTCAATGGTCCCTTTAATGGTGTATCTTACGTGACCATATTCCCCCTCAAATGAAGATGGAAGATTTTGAGGGAGCTGGAACTGAAATGGATAACAGTAGTTCCCTCGCAGTAAAGTTAACTTTGGAGCATCGTTTTCTGCAAGGAAAACATGAAAGATAAACATACAATAAACGAAATATACACATAGATTTTTTTTTTTTAAAATTTTAACGGTAGAAGCAATTTTATGATGTATGTTAGGTTTTGCCCAATACCATTGTTCCCAAGGATTGTAGTTGTGAAGTCAAAGTATTCTTCGTGGGCCGAATGATGACGTGTTCCAGGGGTTCGCAAAGGAGCCGGTCCACGCATGCGCTGATCAGTCCAGTGGACAAATGCTTCACCTTTCACATACACTCTGATACCTTAAATTTTTTTAGTATTTTAATATAATGTTCAGATTTAGTGTGACAAACCAATGTAGCTTCGAATTGTTTCTCAAATGAAAAGAACAAACTTTCCTCAAAATAGTCTTGAAACACTACTTCATGGTGGAAGTCCTTTATCTACAACTATTTGATATGTATGTTTCAATCATCGTTTTTTTTTTCATTTATGGAAAATATGGCCATCAAATTCAAATTAACCTAAATTTATTTATTTTCCGTGGCCAATTGTTTGTGATTAGTGGAGAGGATCAGAAATACGTTGCAAGAGAAGATGCAAAGGACAAGATAGGCTTAGACCCCTTTTTGGCCCCTGGTTTGGGGTGTCTTTTAGAATGATGCAACAGTTTATCAATAAAAACCTGTTGTCACCCCTGCCACAAAATGAGTATTGGTTATAAGTTATGGGATACACAAAGGTCACAGGAAGGTCAGAAAATATGTCAATTTCCGAATTTTCTCATTTTTAGGCAAATTTTCATCGATTTTACAGCATATTTTGTTTCATAAAACATAGAGCACAAGCTTGCCTATCTACCAAATTTATATATTTCAAACACTAGTATCAGATGCATTTCATGTATAAAAATCTCAGATAGACAAGCTTGTTCTCTATGTTTCCCGAAGTGAAAAGCATCTCAAATTTGACGAAATTCCACCAGAATTGAGGAAATTCGGGAAAATGTCCTACTTCTTCACCCTCTTGTAACCTCCGTGTAAGCTTTGAATCAAAATTAATGCTGGTTTTAAAACAAGCATCATTTTAAGTTCTTAACTACAAAGTATCCCAATTTTAACTGTGTTCTGATTTTTACATCAAATAAGGGGCCAGATTTGGCCGTTACCAAAACTTGTCCTTTACAACATGATTTAGGAAATTTTTATGCTCCTGTAATCGAAGATTCGGGGGCATATAGTTTTTGGTCTGTACGTCCGCCTGTCTGTTAATCTGTTTGTCCGCAAATAAAATGTCCATAGTTTTTGCATGGTTGGTGCTAAGGATTTCATGTGAATTCCTTGTGACAAGACCTTTCTTTGGGTACCAACATATTTGACCCCTTGTCCTTGGAGTTTGACGTACTTTTCCAAAAATTTACTAAACTTTAACCTTGGCCATAATTTTTGAACAGTTAGAGCTAGTGTTTACTTGTTTCACATGTGTATTCCATGTGTCCAGACCTTTCTATGGGTACTAATAATTTTGACATTTCGACCTTTACCTTCTTCTGAAAAACTTTAACCTTGACTATAACTTTTTAATGGTGGGTGCTAGGACTTTCCTTTACCACATATGTATTCTTTGTGACAAGACCTTCTTTGGGTAACAACTTACCTCATGACCTTGGAGTTTGACCTACATTTGAAAAACTTTAACTTTGCCTATAACTTTTGAATAAAGGTTTTCTTATTTCACTTAGGCATTCCTTGTGACAAGACTATTCCTTTGGTATCATTATTTTTGTCCCCATGACACACTGACCTTGGAGTGTCCTACTTTTTGAAAAACTTTAACCTTGGCCATATTTTCTGAATAGTTGGTTTAAGGGTTAATATATTTCTCAGGTGTATTCCTTGTGACAAGACCTTTCTTTTGGGTATCAATATTTTTGAACTCTTGACCTTGGAGTTTGACCTACATTTGTAAAACTTTAACCCTGTCCTTGAGCTATCATACGGGGACATCAGTGTTTCACAACCAGATCTTGTTCTCCTTGCAATGTTTTAAATTTTATAGAAAGATAATAAATGAATGATAAAGTAGTACATAAACTTGAATATAAAATCTATTTTGAACGTTATATCAACCCCAACAACAAGGAATCTAGACCTAAATGTACATACTATGACTCGACTCTGAAGACAAGGAAATTAATTATTAATTCTGAGGGCAAATTTATTAAAGATAAATGTTAAATTAATCATTTTACACATTATAAATTATTTACCTAAAATGATAAACATTGTCGTAGGATCAATATTTTAATGAGCAATGTTACATATTTTTATTCTATCCACTGGCATACGTCTTTCTTTACGGTTGTGATCATTTCATCAAATTTGTCCGTTTTGAGCTCTCAATTAGAAATAAATATTCTGTTCTGCAAATGGTTTCATTGTCTATACCTTTAAGTTAATGCGCAATTTTCTTGAAAAAAAATACTGTAAGCGTACTGCTGCGGTAGAGCTTCGAAAACTCTTATAAATGTAATTGAAGGTTACGCCGTTTCAAAATCCACTTGGGAAGTTACCATAAGCACGGATACTGTGTTGCTTCATTTGCAATTCTAGCATATAAGTGACCATCAGAACTGTTTCCGATAATCAAATTATTTTACAATTTAGATGATTTTATTTGTAAATTCCTCATGGATAATTCAATCTGTATGCGGACTGGTTTCTTATTGTTGTTCAGACTTACAGACAGACGGAAGTTTATGGCATGAAATGCCAGAAAATTATTCAAAATCTCCCCAGGGATAAAGGTTTGTGTGATTTCCTACAAGACATTTTTCCTCGGAGGTACAAGACATTTTTCCTCGGAGGTCCTCTGAGAAAAATAAATTGCAATCAATTAGCAAACTGGAGCTCACAGTGAAACCGATTCAGAGAAACCAGCTTAGAAATTACTACACCATAATGCATCTATTAGAAGTCATTACAGACGATATTAGCTTAACAAACAAGTGAGAAAACATATTTTCAAACTTCGGATATTATTACGAAGAGAAAACAAATTCAATATAATGAGCAAAACAGAGTAAGTTGATGGCTCTATCAGTGTCTATCTCCGATGAATAAATGCTACAGCTATAAAAAAAAAAAATCTGCGATTAGCATCATGATTCACTTTACTCCAACGTATGCGTATTAACTTAATGTTTAATGATTCATTCAACCATTGAAAATTTACGCTGTAATTGCAACAAGTAGAAATAAAATTATACACTGGTTAATGCAATGTATTCGATCCCAAATTAATTATTGTTTATATTGGTTCAGAGCGAGAAAGAATAGCTTTTGAATTTATCAAATCCTTGCAATTTCCACTATGGCATTACTGATACAATTCGTTGGATAATTTTATTTGAAAGGCTGGAGAGAGCTATTTAATTTGTAACTGTTGGATTATAAGGGGTTCAACTCGTTCCCAAAATTTAACATGCTGGGAAAATATATATATAAATAATTAGAAGTATATAGTCCTGATAATGATGCAAAAACATTTCATTTTGAACCAACTCTGACTTCATATAAATAAACATGTTTTGCAAGAGAAACCTGAAACTTTTTTGTTCAAATTTCACGCCCCCCCCCTTCCTTTCCCTTAAACTGAAAATTCAGCTAGGATCCGCCCTGACGTTTCTATAACACTATACTCTAAGTTTACTTACTAAGACTATACTCTAAGTTTACTTACATTGCAGATTTAACGGTTTGTCAACTTCAACGTTAAGGTATCCTTGGACATTTTGTCCTGCGTAATAAATGGCAACCGGATTCCCAAAATTAATGTAAAATCGTGCAAGTTTAGGCATACTTCATTGAGATCACCTTCTTGTATTCCATCTATGTAAACACGAGCTCTCTGATGTTTCGCTCACTGCTACTGGTGTTGTAAATTTGTCGGAGATAACAAACGATCGTAGAAAATTACTAACGTCTGCCAGATGAAGCACATGCTTGGCCAGACAACGCAGACGACAAAACTCTCATAGCGTCGTAAGGCCAACCGCATGCAGTTCCTTCTTGTTACAGACTTGACGTTTCCATTAAAATAGAAATGTGTGCAGAGTTTGGGAGAGCTTAAAATCGGATATTAAACTTGCATTAAAAATTATCTTTCCCATCTTTTTCCCCATAGCTGTTAATAGACAAATATTACGTACATTAAGCTTTTTCAACTGAAAACGTTGACAGCTTCCTATTATCAAGTAATATATGTAATTTTAAATTCATCAATGACAATTTGAAGATTTTTTAAAAGAAATTTTGTTAAACTTTTGGAAAAGAACGTTAGCTTGGGATTGATTTTTCTTGTCTAATGAATGCTTAAGCTTGGGATTAATTTTCCTTTTTTTTTTTTTTTGATATACATCTTTTAGAATAAATCTCATTCCTTTGGATTCTGACCAATTAACTGTCATTAATTGATTTTGAATAACGTGCAATTTTCCCTTAACCCCAAATTATCTTAGTGAAGACTGTCAAACCGATGGCGGCAACACAGACGTTCATCAATCAGGACCTCTGAAGGAAATAGTTAATTACAGATTACGTCAAGATCAAGTGAAAGAGAAGTGTCTTAGTACGTAATGCCATTCCATCGCGTGTAGAGTCAAAGGCAGTATAGTTGGCTTTTGCACACTTATGTTTCACTCTTAATAGAATTAATAATTCAAGAATGAGAGTAAGACAGCTGCGCATATGTACTAAAACATTAACGGAAGGCAATTGTCTGCTATCAAATATGAAATAAAGAAAATCTCAAAATTCAACATTTGGTCTCTGAGTTGCAAAGTATACTACTGCGTAAAAAACAACAACGACAATTTAAGTGTACAATTGATTCCAATCACTTTATGAAGACAAACATTGACACAAAACACACTGCATCTCTCATCTACATGATGACGTCATTTACACGTCTGCGACGAGTGTTTGCGTGGCTCTCTTGTCGCTGTTGAGAAACTTCATATTCTTTAATATGGTAGAGATCGTTTCTTGGTGGTGCTGGTCATGCGAGTGGTTAGATAATGTACTTGCAATACTTATAGTATCATCTGGAAAAAAGAAAGAAATATAATAAGGCGTGAAAACAAATCTAATATGAAGTTGAGAAAATTAGACTGTTCCGGTAAGTTACCTTTAGTGTTGACACAGCATGCTCCGGGGTATGACTTAGGAAGGAAATTAATCATTTCTGAACCTTCGTGTGTTATTTCATCTGACGGCACTGAAATTAAAAACCAAGTTCATGTAGCAAAAGCCAGAGAGCATGAGGCCTAGAGGCCACAAGGCTCACGCCACTAACATTTCCCCTAATGAATTTTAAAGAAGTGAAATCTTTTTTTAAATCCAAATTCAGAAGAACGCGATATTTCCTTTAAAAAACATATGTGTTTTCATCAGATGTGAATTATAAGGGAAATAAAATTTTAGACCTCTTCTCACCTCTGGAATTCTTCTGTTTTCCGGAAGATGACCTGGTGGGTGGTCTGCCATCAATTGTATCCCATGATTCATTGTGAGTTCCGGAGAAAGAACTCAGTGACTTCAGCAATGGGTGTCTGTTTGCCGACTGTGGAGACGTCTGTAGAGATTTGGAAATCTGTCTGGGAGAGTTACTGGTTGCATTCCATTGACCTCGTATTATTCTGGAATCATTGAAACCTGAAAAAATCAGAGGCATTATGAACTTGCTCTATCTAAAAACAAAACAAATTCAATGTCTTGGGGATTTATTACCATTTCTTGATGGCGTTCGTCTTGTTGGTGTCGGTGGAACAGATTCTGTTTGTATAGTATCATCAACTATTTTGAATTAAAATAAAAGAATTTTAACACTAATTTGAGTATATTTATTTGAAACATATCAGGCAATGTTCACTGTTAGAATGTATTGATATACCGTTGATTGGCTTTCTATTAGGAATGTGTAAGCAAACACAGGCTTTGCTTCGCGCTCGGAACCAGCATTTGGTGTTGTTTTCGTCATCGTTTCCTTCCAAAATTGACGTAATAGATTCATCCAACTTTGCACGACGTGAAATTTCCAAGTCAATAATAGACCACTCCTGTTTGTATTCCCGAATGACGTGTTCTAATTTCTGTTTGAATATGTCGTCTGCTGTATCATATTCGTTCTGCTTGGGGTCGTCAAAAAAGATTTTCAAAATTAGTATTGGTAAAAATCCACATAAAATGTATACCAACAGATGACCCCACCACGGTAGACTAGGATATACAACTTTAACCATAAGAATTACAACTACAATATAAACTGCTAAAAGAAATGATTTAATCATGGCGTCATAGTAATGGTTGGAAAGAGATCCAGGACAAGCGAAGTGCTTCATGTAACATGTCTGAAAAAAGAAGTTCTTTGGGATGCAAGGTTCACCTTTGTCATCTACAAACTGTACTAAATGGCGGGCTTTCCATTTTGGTACACCATTTCTAGTAGTAAAAACATGACAGGCAGCGCACCTCCCACAACCTCTGCCTGGTATTACTTGGTAACAACGGTTAGTATCCGGAATCGTGTCATCGTGCAAGTTTTTACTGATTAGAGATCGTGTGTGTCTCTCCAAAAGAAAGTTTTGAACTTTATTGTTAAAATGCTGAAATGTTCGTTCCACACGTTTCAAAAACATGTTTGCATAAAGAAATGTAAAAAGTACAATTAAAAAATACTGTGCCAAGTGTCGCATATTTGCTACAAGACATAATATGATAAGGACTAAAATGTCAACAATGATAAACGATATATCTATGAAGATTGGAATCGAACAAATTAGGAATGCTAACCAACCAATGCAAATAATACACCACCAAAAGCGTGCAGAAGGAGATCGAGGGAAGCTTGTACCCCCTATGTCTATTTCTCCAACCTCGATCGACGGAAGATTAAGAAAGCTTCGGACACTTTTCTCATGTGTGTTTTTAGATTTTTCCAGAACGAGGTCCTCCATATCGCTTCGCTTGTCCCCATCGTTCGATTTCCTCACGCATTTCACAATTTCTCCCAAGAATCTCCAGAATAATTGCAAAAACAGATTAATGGAAGACAACTTACAAAACAGAAGGACAACTACGGCAATAAATAAGGACGTTAACTTGACAATCACCCACAAGAATATGTGAATAGCATTAACATCTGTTAGAGCATTGCTGGTGAACGATCTCAGTAGAAAAGACGCCACCCAACTGATTCCGATATTGGAAAAATGTTTCGTATAAACCACACTTCTTACGAAGATCCACACGGTCCTTTTCCAAAGTGTGTCATCTGTTGTAATTCTTATGGTAATCAGCATCAACAATGGCAAAAACCATAGAGCAAAACATGCTTGATAGAGACTGTAACAACCGTGAATAAAAGATAAAGAAATCAGTTTTGTGGAATACAATGACAGAATCATTGTCAGATTATTATGTTTTGCTGCTTCCTTTCTATTTTGAATGAAATCCTCTTCATAATCCCAGTACACTGTTATAGCAATTATTGGGATCCAGAATACGAAAAGAGCTGCAAATACTTGCATCATGTTTCGTAAAAAAGACTCCCATGTGCTATCCTTTGATATTTTGCGTTTGCAGCAGTTGTGCAGAGACACATATTCATCATCAACATTATCTTCTGTATGTTCAAGCACTTTCTGTTTGCGTCCGTGCACGTAGCATTTGCATTGAAAAAGTCGGCGGTAGAGAAAGGAAAAAAATCCTACGGGAGCCTTATTTCTCCAAACCAGACGATCCGGATCCCCTTTAAACCAAACAGCCCTCAACTTAAAGTGCTCCGTTTTACTCATTTCCATGGTCTCTATGACGTCAGAGAGTCGGTGGAGATTTTCTCCAAGCTTCATTCGATGTTGATAACCACAGGAAACGTACTCAGTTCCTAGGTTAACAGTTCTTAATTTAGAAACATTAGGTGGAGTCGAAAAACGCTTTGTAATTTCAATTTCTAAAGGGGCTGTCAGAGAAAATATGAATTCCTTGTAGCAGTGTCGTTTTCTATACAGAGATTTAGGGATACATCGTTCAATAAAAATTACAAGTAATATCTTCAATACGAAAATAAAACCGAAGAAGATTTCTACTAACTCGTCTTCCTGTATTTCTTGACATGATATAACACCACTAGAATTTCTTGTGCAGCAATTAAATATTTCAACAGCAGTCCCGGATACATTCATAACTTCCTTTGCACATAGATTAATGGATTCTGAAACATGGCCGTGGATGTGGTTTAACACTAACTGACGGATCTTTACACGGAAACCATCACTTCGAAAATCACCAAGACAGTTACTTGGATTCTCCAAAACCGAAAGGACGTTTATTGGAAAGGAAGCAGATAATGCCCAGTGTGCAATGGGATTGAAAGTATTCACAGAAAAAAGAACGTTTCGTACTGCATCTTCACGAACCAGCATCCAATCAGTGGTGTTGTTGGCCATTTGATCACGGTAAACCTTGACCTTTAACCCATCAACCTCGCCTTGTCGTAGCATCCAAAGCGAATTCGAAGGTAAACCGTGCAAGATTTTCGATGCACACGTACCACTTATGGCAAAATCATCACCTTGAGTGGCATTTAGTTCGGATTCTGAGAACACACTTCCAAAAGTAGACAATAATGCACTAAGTACATAAAAACACGAAATTCCACAAGCCATTTCTGTGAATTTTCCTCGTCAAGGACTCAAGAACTCGCCAAGGACCAATGTTCGGTGAAATGCACGGTGCATTTCACCTGCAATGAACTGACTTACCATTTATTAGTTCTTAATCAAGTTTGACTATTCGTTGACAGAGGGTAAATTAATACCCAGATAATCTTTCACGAGTTACACAACGCGAGTAATCAAGCGAGGCACTGATTGACGGCTATGTTTAAAAGTATAAACCATTTTGTTTTAGACGGAAACTCAAAGAATACCAAAGCAGAGAACAATAAATACACAATATTCCTATAATAGGACAAACGATTTAAATAATAGGAGGGATTTAATTCTGAATGTGCATATTCAATAGCGAGTCCTTGTCTTGGACATGTATAAATTTGTAACTCCATTGTTCTTCCAAATTGGAATTGTTTTCAATAAACATTTAAATCTCTCTTACTACTAGCTGTTATATTTCTAAAGGTGTTTGCACGCCAAATATGTTTTAAAAGAAAGTTGTAATTGAATGCCTGACAGGATAAACTAAAACTTAATTACTTTACTGTCATAAAAAAAGCCTTCTCTACAGTGTTTCTCCGACTCACTGACCAGATCCACATAAACCCCCGTTAACAATTTTGGACATTTCCATGCAGTGATATAAATTTCATTAACATCTTTCTACTAAAGCTGGCCAATTAACCCGGTAATTTACAATGTATTTATAAAAATGACCTTTTCTATATGTTATCTTTTATATGAGGGTATTATATATCTTTTGTGAATTACGAGTATATCTCTTCTTCTATAAATTGAAACAAGTTTAATTTTCTCTCCAAGTCAAATCTCTCCAATGGTTGATACAGAATCGAACGACTTAATGTGCCTCTCCCCAATAAGGTAGAATGCGTAGATCTAGAGGAGCGCCCCCCCCCCCCCCGGATTTTAAGAGATCAAATTTCTGTGGTTAATAAGCAAGAACTGAACCCCCCCCCTCCCCCCAATAAACACAGACCCCTCGGAAATGAGCATACTTATATAATTATTCAAAACTCAAATTCTAAATGTTTCGTTGATTCATTGTTAAAATAAACGTTATCTATAATCGTGATTGAAAATTATAGCTTAATTAATACCTACTTTGAAATTACTGATTACAACCGTAATTCATCGTTCCAATCTGAGTAAAATAAAATCCTATGATCACCCATTTAGATCATTACGAAAGTGTGCAAATATCAAAATTCTAAATAAAATTGAATAAAACTATAATTGTCATCTTGAGACGATATTAACGGCTGGAAAATACAGACCATTTTTTAAACAAGAGGCCCATGGGCCACAACGCTCACCCGAGTCACTTTCGCCCTGCTCTGTTCCCAATAAAAATGTATTCCTCTGTAAAATTTTGATTGATCTTTGTAGCCCCAGCCTTTATACAGGGGCCTTAATTTGAACAAAAATAAATCTACACTACCAGAGGATGCTTCCACTAACTATGATTCATCATGGCTTTGCTGCTCTTGCCAAGAGGAGTTTTAAAGTTTGTTCCCTATATAATCCCCAATGTGGCCCCACCTAATCCCGGGGGCCCATGATGTGAACAATTTACAATCTACACCACCTCAGAAAGCTTTTATCTAATTTTCAGCTTTTCTGGTCCAGTGCTCTTGAGAAAAAGATTTTTAAAGATTCTTCCTGTATATTTCAATGTAAAACTTTCATACCCCAATGTGACCCCACTCTACCCCGACGGCCATGACCTGAACAATTTAGAATCTATACTTCTTAAGAAAGTTTCCACACAAGTATCATCTTTTCTGGCCCAGTATAGTAGTTCAAGACATCGAAGTTTTACTGTACAGGTGTATATAAAGATAATTGGTCATTTATCAAAATTTCAAAACTGCATGCATCTGCCATCTGTTAATAAACAAAATTGTATTCCCATTTGAAATTGTAAAAATATGTGCACATCTTCAATGTAAGTCCTAGTTCCAACAAAAATGTGAGTCGTACAATGGAGAAAATGATTTGTTTTCTCATACTAATGTTCTTTTCTGCGAAAGCTTACTGGATCAAACTAATGGCGGAAAATTTCAAAAGGCATAAAATTCAAAGTAAAATGGTGTAATAATGCAAAAAAATGCATTATGATGCCTTTCAAAAGGTGAAACACAATGTGAAATGTCTTTATGCATTTTGAAAAGGCGTAATACATGGAAACATAATAATAAGTCATTATTGAAATTTCAAACACTGATAATAACATGAATTCGTCTAAATAGGATGGCAAAGGTAAAAAAAAATATTAACCAGCTTATAGAATAAAAAAAAACTTACTAGTACTCCAATACATTGTTAAAGTAAGAGGTTTATACAATCCAACAAATTAGTATGTCAATTTCCATATAATTTATTCAATTAAAAAAGTTGAACAAGATATGAAATGTACATTCTAATCCTAATTTACATATTGCACAAGCCCTAAAGGGTCAAAGTCAATATATGTTCATTGATGGTATCAAAATTATTTTCAAATACAGTGTACTGGTGCCTATTTTTAAAAAATAGGTTTTGTAAATATTTGTGCACAAATATTGCACTTACAATTTATAGTTCAGTGTTTTTAAACCTAAATTCACAAGAACTTATCTTCATATTTTTAAACACTTAGTTATAGAAAAAAAAATATGTTGTCCCAATTTCAAAAAGATTGACAATTGTTGATCATCAACATGTTTAGTGCAAATTAATCTGATTTCTGTCAAATGTTGAACAGTTAGTCTATTAGTTCCTAGCATTCATAAATTCTACAGTATGACTGTGACCTTTCGATGACTAAAAATACTTTGGCATGTAGTTAAATGTTTAAAAAAGAATCCATACAATTTGATCAGTGTAAAACAGTCAAGTTCAGTCAGTAGACTCTTATCACTAAGTGCACATCTTTTAAAGCTATTTTTAATTAAACAACTTGATAGAATTACATGAACAATGTTTTTCAACATAGTAAATATTGGAATGCCTCTTTTTCAATCACACAGTATTTGTTTTTATTTCTTCAAGACTATCCAATAGATTCCTTGAATAAGAGAAAAGTAACAATTACCATGTACATTCTTGGTTTCTGTAATGGTTTGTGACAAAATTAAGCACATATGTTAAATCACAGACAGATTAAACTTGGTTTTGATTCCATCATCTCGTTCCTAAACGATTGGAAGGCTGGCCTCTTACAGCCTGCATGACTTCATCCAAAAAACTGTAAAAGAATAAATATTAATTAAAAAAAAAAAATACATGTAAATGCAGTCAAACTGTTATCTCAAACTCGATGTGAATGAGATAAAACTTTAAGATATAGAGGATTTGAGATACTGAGGTTACAATACATGAAGAAAAAGATGATAGGATTTCCAACTCCCTTGGATATGTGTACCGGTATTTGAGGTACTGATGTTCAAGATACTGAAGTTCAACTATATGAATATACATCAATTAAAATGAATCTGAAAAATGGGAAAAAAAATCTTTATAAAAAATCTCACCTTTTAAAATTAAGAATTGAGGTGGATCCTAGCACTACTCTCACACCAGGGGTGGATCTATTAAGAGTGTGAACAGCCATAGCTTCCTCATAAGTGGCTCCTCCAATCATGAACACAATAATATCCTGAGGTCTGAAGCAGATTTATGATGAAGCACAGTCAAACCTTGTTATCTCGAACTTGATGGAACAGAGAAAATAGGAGATATCCAAGGATTCAAGATATCCAGGGTAAAATACTTAAGAAATAAGTGCTTGGGACTTCAAAATCACTTCGACATATCCATGGGATTCGAGATATCAGTGTATGAGATACTGAAGTTCAACTTTATTTTAATCAGCCTTAAAATTATAGGATTATTTTTACTGTGGAAACCTTATCTTTACTTAAACTTAGTGAATCTTATTGTTTTCAGAGTTCTGAGAAGTCCAAACAAGGTCAAGTCCCAATTTTTTTTTTGGAGGGGGGGGGGGGGGGGGGATTTGCATGTCTTACTTGACAATAGTCAATTTATATAAAAGACATACTGATAAACTTGATTTGTCTTAAATGTACTTTATTCAAAGCCAACCTGTGAGTGCATTCTATTGAAGTTTAAAAATCCATTTCAACAAACCAATATAACAAAAGATTATATTCCATACATAAAAGCATGCTAAAATTCAGCTTACCTTTCTTTGAGAACACTTGTGCCCAGGTATGGAAAACTTCCTTCCTTCAACTTTCCTTTGATCAGCTGATCCAACACATTATACATAAATGGTTTATGTTGGGTGTATATATTTTCAACTCCCTGAAATGAATTTTATAGAAACTTCCTATTGCATTGAATGCAAAAGTTCAGTAGTAAATTCATTCACGAAGCAAACATACCATTGCATTAACTGCAAATATGAGTGTTAGTAAGATCCATAAAACTTGCAGCTGTTGTACAAATGCAGAAAGTGAAAGAGAAATGGAGTTTTCTTACCTTCAACCCCTTGAAAAATCTCTTTGTCATAGCTACTGCATCTTGATTACCAAACAAGTCACTCCCCCTGGCTTTACGACCTCCATACTCTAAAACGGCAGGGACTAACTGCAAAGATCAAACACATATAATGTAATATACATACTACATGTATGTGTAACACAGGGTTGTCCCTAAGAATTGAAATAGCAGGGAACATTAAAAAGGTAGAAGGGGGTTTGGGGTTCCTTCCCTAACAGGGAGTTGAGGGGGAATATCAGAATAACCAGGGGATTACGTCATTAAAGGCGGGGAATTTCCCTGGCCCCCGGGTCTTAGAGACAACCCTGGTAACAGCAATACCGGGTAATCTTAAAAAAAAAAGGAAAAGAAAACAGAAACAACTCTACATGTACATGTCTATACCAGTAAAAGCTTACTACTGATACATTTCACATATATTGACAGTTCTGTCTTAATACGTACATTTCTGAGTTTGTCGCTGACTCCTTTTTTGCGTAGAACATCCAACAGTCCTGATATGTCGTTATTACTGTGACTTTCATAACGTAGGGCATACAACATCACCAGACGCAGCATATCTAATGGTTGTAGCTTGTCACTAGACAACAGAGATTTTATCCTCTGATACCAAAAGAAAAAAAATTCATTTACCTATCCATAGACTGAAAGTGGTAACTAAGCAAATGATGGACTGATGGTGAACATACATGTAACTTGTTGTCTCTTTGACAGATGATTTTATTGTGAACATATAGGGTATTCCTTGGACAAAATATTTACCTGCAATTGTGGCATGTTTCCTTGACAGAAAATATGTGCATTTCCGTAGGAGAAACATATATAAATTTACCTGCAAACATGCTGAATGGTCCCCTTGACAAGCCAATTCCTGCTCTAGTTCTGAGGCCTCCATTAAATGGTGTTTAGTGACTAGCCGAGATAATTCCCCGACTACGGCGACATGCTTTGCAACAGTGCCTGACATCTTCTTAAACTGGGGGTAATTCTCTATGAAAGCCTACAATAGAAAATATCACAGGACAGTTCTAATTTTTGATTAATTCTGCTTTATGGATAACCATTTTAAATTTGATTACTCATGCACTCAAACAAGTCATATTAAAGCTATTCTTACTAATAAAATCATTAACGATGAAGGGAGAATGCCTTTTAATAGGTTTCATATACATGTATATACTTTATAGAGTTAAAATATAGAATTTACCTATGTAGTCAACACCATTACTAAAATTTTGTTAATATTGTAAACTAATGAATAAATATTTCATCAAACATAAATGCTAAAAGAGTTTTCTTCATTATATTACTTCAACAATTCTACTAAGATGATGACAATTAAGATTGTGTCATTTTTCAACATCACCCTTTGTATAATAGCTGATCAAAAGGGAGTTTTGCACCCGTAGAAACAACCATAAAAATTATCAAAAGCATGCCCCCCTCCATCGTCTCAAGCCACAGTCCGGGGTCCGCATATAGCTCTCTCCTACCCGTGGCTGCTTGATCACAAGAAGTGTCGTTATATTGAATATTTATGCCTCTATGTTGTGACGTCATGTTCAGCCAATGACAATATTTGTTTCCATCACAATTGAAATCAACAACTGACATCAACAGTATACAAGAAATGTTTCGTATACTGCAACTGGGTATTGAAAGGTCGCATCAAAGTTCATTTTTCGAATATGCTTTACTCGCATTGGTCTATATTTTAATGAGCTGCGATATATTCTCTTCTCATTCAACCACGGCCAGAATGGGAGAGGATCGTACATTTTGGCAGTGGTTTGCGACAATGGCCCCCCTCCCACCTAAGTCAACTGCAAAGGAGGAACAAATATAAATTTAATTCAGGCCAGAAAACCTTTCATAAAATGACATACTTTCATGTCAGCAATGGATTCCACTTTTGCTGTACTCTGTGATTTTTTCTGAAATTCCTCCATTAGATCTTTAATGTTTGTTCCTATCTCTCCAAAGTTATTGTACATATTCTGTAAAGTAAGCATAAAATCTATTATGTACACTTCTGTCTCTCTACATATTAGGTCAAAGAATAAAATTTATTTTTGACAGTTCAATACTAACAATTAATCATTACCCATCAAACTGATGATAAGATTGAAAAGATGATTTTTTTTTTGTATCAGCTATTTATTTCAGAGATTCAATAGTTAAAAAAAGAACATTATTATTATTAAGCTGAAAAAAGAGTTATACTTATTTATTTATAGGCACCCTCTACCATCAGCTCATAATTCACCTCTCTTGTTGGCTCACTTATATCACAGTGATAAGCAAAACAAATTGTGCATTCGTTCTAATTCATTATAATTAAATGCCTGCACTTATGTTTGTCCTTTATGGTAGATATTTATTAAAGATATCTAAAACTACTATTTTAATTGGAAATAATCCTTGGAACATCATATTTTTTTACTTTGTATAAAAAATCTTGACATGTGAGCCCATTGCAGTGGTGTCTAAGAGAGCAACTATCGACAACTCTGGAAGGGAAATTGATTTACCGGGTATTGGTATCATAACAAGTAGACAGTAAGTTAATATATAAACTTATACCAGTCATCTTAGTCCTCTAAAATTCTGAAAATGTGTTATATGTACATGTACTTACATTGGCATAAAATTCATCATGTTCCGCTGACAGCACCACCTCCTTCAGATCTTTGGAGATTCCCGGCACATCTGATAGGTTAATGCGGTTATTGTTTATTCCTAATAATTCATGAACCATGGCCTGGTAAGTCCACTGCAAAATATTATATTCAATTCAATGTTTCACTGAAAAAATAACAGTGAAAAACACAAAAATTAATAATAACGACATCCTGCCATCAAATTTACCATTATGAAAATTAAGAGATAAGTTCACTTCATTTAATGAAGGATTTTAATCTAACATTGTTAAGTTACACTTGATGAATTTTACATTTTAACACATTTAAAAGGGATTAAGTGTAAAGAGCTCATCACTGAGAGAAGGAGCTGGTGTAGCTAAAGGAAAACTTGTATGTCTAAACAGAAAATCCCTCATGGTCAGTCATATGGGGCACAGAAACAAAATGGTGTCCAATCTGGAAAGCTATCACCGCTTTACATAGAGACCAAATAAATCTGATTTAAATCTTACTTAATAGAACTGTTATTACAAAAGGGGTTTAGTTAAGAAAGCATTCCATTATAAATAATTTTTTCTATATCATCTATCAGTATTACCTATTATATTCTATAAACTGATAAAATACAGACCTGATTTAGAAGTGGTGTGACAGCATCATCTCTTCTGTCTAAAATCACCAGTACCGGCGCTACATCTGTTTTACGGAACTCAAAGAGTGCTGCCTCTCTGTTTATAGTATTCTAAAAGTGTAATTTTATGATAATGAAATTTTCATCAACTCATATACAGTCAAACCTTGTCATTTCAAACTCAATGGACTGAGAAAAAACTTCGAGATATCCGAGGATTCGAGATATCCAGGATTGGGACTTTAAAATCACTTTGTCTTATCCATCGTATTCTAGATATCCGTGTTTGAGATACCCAAGTTTAACTAATTACTTAGTTCTCAATCTTCATTTGTCAGCTATTCAGCTGTAGCAGTAGCATTGTAGGTTCCAAATTAGCGAAGCTGATAACAAAGAAATTGGAAATAATAGTGATTTGAAGGGGCACCATTTTTGGCTGGACACTACCATACAAGGCTCACTTTTGTCACCTCAAAAAAAATTATATTCAATATATAAGAAATAAGTTTGCCTCCACAGCTACTAAATTTTATCTTAATTTGCCCTCTGTTCTGTACAATTGGTACCGAGTTTCTGCCTTACCCTGACATTTTCTGCAAGTCTCCTCGCCATTTCTGAAGAGTTTTGATAGCGAATCATCGGACATTTTTTGAGTGACAGTAATACTGATGTTAGCCCCTCAACAGTCCTTGTTAAGGATCCTGGAGACCAGTTCAAAGCCTGTAAATGGAGAAATAAAATTTCAATTTAAAATAATGATGGCATACTTCTTGAGGGAAAGGCTGATTGATTCTTCTCATTCCAATATACATGTAATGATTAAAATAAATATTCAACACTTAAGTACATATATTAAAATTGTTATCATTTCAAAAATGACGTATATGTGCAAATATTCTGTTCTAGCAACATATTTTTAAACTTGCCGTATAATGTTAGTATTATTGTATCAAAAATCAAACTATTTGAAACTTTAAATACACCATAGATGAACTGAATCTTACTTGACAACATCCTGGGATGTTTAATGTAAATAAATGGGGATTCACTGCTATGTAGTCACCAAAGAATTCCTGAAATAATATGAAAGCATAATTCATGTACCAAGAAGCATTTCCTTATCCAACTAGTCCACAGTAGCAAAGATTACATGTACCTATAAATGCTTATGAGAAAATATTAAATTTCCATTTTAAAGATTTTTGAGAATACATTTTACCTGAACTTCCCTTACTACTTCTTGGTCATCTGCTTCTGCTAAGACTTTGACATCTTGTTTGCTGATCACATTGCTAAAATCTTAAATATAACAAGAAAACAATAACCTTCAACAGTTAGCAGCAATTTCTACACTTAAAAACTTGAGTTATTTAATTTATGGCAACATAATATCTTTACATATTATATTACACTTACAGATGTAGTACAATCCATATTTTGGCATTCGAAGCTCTTGCGCCAGAAGTTCTACATTTTCTTTTGTGGGTCGGAGAAACGTTATGCACTTTAAATGTTTCATCGTCTCCCGACCTGTTGAGTCTATCCTCTCAAACAAATAAACTTCTTTTTGCAAAATTTCTGACTGTGCATACACCATGCTCACAATACTTGTCTGCAAAAATAAAATAAGAAATATATTACACATGTAGGAAATATATTACTACATGTAGGAACTATTGCACAGATGTCTCATAAATATTTATACCCAGCCTACAATATGTACAAAGTCAGTAAACCATAAAACATATTATATTTAATTATAAGTATTAAATAAAAGTATACCTGTTGATTTTATTTTTACTAGAAACCTCCTTATTTACGTTAACCTCATCTAACACATTATAACTGATACAAATATTGGTGTTTAATGCTTTACACCCAAAATTTGACTGTTTATATTGATAGTGTAACAATGTAAACGAAACACCGTTTTACCGTTTCTTTGTCCATCAGCAGAACCTTCATACCAGGTCCACTTTCTTCAATCATTTTACTAATATACTGTTTTATTGCCAAAATAACATTCATTTTTGACAGCAATACGGAAAATCGACCGAATTTTCTTAACAGGAAATGATACAGATAAACTAATGTGAGAAACCCATCTCGACGATGCTGTTCCGAAATGTAAGTAGTTTCTGGCATCAGTTGTTTTGGAGATATGGTTGGATGTCATATATATTCCAAGAAGTGTTTGATTTGGTTTTACACAGCTTATCTAGCGGAAAATGTGAAAATAAGTTCACTTGCATGTATGTTTTTAAAAGTGAGCATGATAACTGGGTTGTATCAGGGACCTATGTACTAAGTATATAGGTCCCTGGTTGTATTTTTAATTTCTACAAATAAAACACAGGTGCTTGGGGACGGAACCCCCCTCCCGTGTTCCGTACCCAAGGATTCTGTGATTTTTTTAAAATAAAATATTTTTATGACACATTCACAAAGTATTACAACTGAAAAATCCAAAATATACCCTAAAACTAGCCTTTTATTTAAAAAAATCACACTTACTGATACTGAAAGTTCTCTTTTAGTATTAGAGAGTATGATTTTTTTTTTTTTTTTTTTTTTTTTTTTTTTTTTTTTTTTTTTTTTTTTTTGCAGAGTTATAAAAAGTAGATGTATACACTAAAGCAAATAAAAAGGACTTTGGACAACCCCCCCCCCCAAAAAAAAAAAAGAAAACGTGGATCCCACCCCACCACCACCACGAAATGGGTGTTTTTAACGTTTGGGAAATGCACTTTTTGTTTGTTTGTTTGTTTGTTTGTTTTTTGTTTTTTTTTGTTTTTTTTTTGCTTGTCAAGAAATATTCAGGGTTTAATACGTTTGGGAAGGAAATTTAGTTTTTTTTTTGTTTTTTTTTTTTTTTTGGTCAAGAAATTTTTGAGTTGAATTTTTTTTGGATTGGGGTGGACCCCCCCCCCCCCCCCCCCCCGGAAAAAAATCCTGGATCCGCGCTTGTACAAAGGTAATAGAAAACCGCCAAATCAGGCCATTGTAATTTATGATTGAAAGGTCAAAGAATGCGATGGTTGTAAAGTAAGCTGAGAGCACAATTTAAAAAGTCTCGTGATTTTGAATGATATACTATATACTTTGTGGTAAGAGGGAAGCCTATATATATAATCTAGGTCTAACGATCAAAAGGACAAAAGTCCAATACAACGTTGATTTGATAACTGTTTTAAAAGTAACTGTCAGATGGACACAATTTGAAGAGTTCAATCGATTTTTAAGTCCTGCATGGGATACTTGCTAAAGCAAGTGGGGGCGGGGTGGGGTGGGTGGGTGGATGGGGCGCTACTGATTATTATTTTAGGGCCAACGGTTAAAAGATCAAGGACAATTATTGCTATTTATAGATTTGTTAACAGTGTATTAAATTCAACATGGAGGAACTCATCCTCACAATGTCAAGGTTTTGTGATTTCGGACCTCCACACAAACTTGGAAAGAAATCTAGTTTTGAGAGGGTGTACTTCTTTTTGGTGCAGTTATCCTATAAAGATACCAATGCACTTCCACCTTTCAAAGAAAGGGCTGTTTAGTTTTTTAAGATAAATTCTTCTATGTCATACAGACCCGTTCATATACAAATGTAAAACAACCTGTATACATAATTATAAATATACATGTATATGAATAGTTCAGTTATTCTCTCTCTCCTCGAGCTCTCTCTCTCTCTCTCTCCCTCTCTCTCTCTCTCTGTGTGTGAGTGCATGCATGCATATATGGAGATCTGTCCTGTTTAAAACCAAATAGGTTAATGTACATATATAACATATACTGCTCTATGCTCTTTCTATCGCAGCGGAAGTAATTTAAATGACGTTCCCCATTTCCCCCTCATCCTGAGCCATAGTCTATAAAACAGCTGGACGTCTGTGTCTCATTCTGTATTTCCTCATTTGTGACGAAAGAGCGACTTCTAAATTAGGTATTATCCATACCCGGATATAAGTGCTGAGCTGACAGGAAACTTTAGCACTTGTTGTTTGTAGTCACTGCGTTACTTGGACTTATCTGTGTTTACGATGGTAGGCAGCTTCTTCACATTATGTTAGGTTTCTACTTCATTTTATCTGTACATAGCGTGTTGATACAGTTAATTTTTAATTTAGTATGTGATATTTTTCTTGTATAATGTTTAAACTCCATTTTTAAACATTTGTAAATTTGTTCTGATCTTAAAAACTGAAAAATAAATCGGGGAAACGCCCGCGAAGCGTTTTAGACCTTCATACGGAAGTTGTACCGAAATGTTGAATACAAGAAAAAGAAGACGATGATATCTAAAGGATTTCTGTGATTAAATATATCTTGGTTAAATTTTTTTTTGCTGACAAAAAGGTTAGAAAAAGGGTTAAGAAGAGAGCAGAATTATGTGATTTAACTTCCTGCATCGTCACCTAAGTATGAGTTTTACATAGCGTAAAAAGGCGGCAGTTATAGTTAAATGAAAGGGGAAGAATATGAAACTCCATACTTCTCTGAAAAAAAAAATCACGACATATATGGGCATTTGTTATAAAGCGCTTGTGCAGAATCAATGAAGTTCGTTGAAGTGGGTCACAAACTTGGAACGGATTTTTAAAAAGTAATTTGAACCACTGGTATTAATTTGAATATGTCAAATATTACATGCTAGGGTTTGTCCCCATTTTGCATACATTTGAAAATCTGAAGTAGACAACATGTTTTGGCAACAAGAATTTGTCAAGAAAGGATAATTACTTAACTGAAACTCGAATAATATAAAATTATTTAAAATATATATTTTTTGTCTTTAATTTATCTATTTAATGAAAACAGGCTTTGTTGGGACATAAGCAATCATTAAATACTTTCTTACAATTACACTGGTGCAATGCAGGTCCAGGTATATGTATATCCCAGACAGTATTTTAAGTGTTATGAAAACACAATATATACACACCTCAGGCATGTAGTATCAGGGAGGGTGGGGAGCCCCCCTTTTTTTTCGAACACAATCTTTTATTGTTAATTACTGAGTATGAAAATGTTCATTGAAATTCTGGTTGCTATTTTTCGAAAAAGTTGGAAACCCCTCCCCCCCCCCCCCCAACACCGACGAAAGAGGATTTTCGAGTTTGGGCAATATTCATTTAATTGTTGTCCCTTGTCAAAGATTTTTCACGTAATTTCTGGCTCCCCCTTTCAAAAACGGTTCTATGTTATCGGACCTATTATTTTACACCTAATTATCAAACGTGTGCAAAACGGAAACATATTAAAGTGATTCCTTAGATGTATTTGTAAAGATATGAATTTAAACGATTTTCTAGAAGTTATAAGAAAAGATAACACAAATCAGTTTACAGTTATCCCTCATTCCTTGTTTTTTGTTTGTTTGTTTCTTTTGTTGTTGTTGTTTGTTTAGAGTAAAGCTCAATATACACACACACACACACTCACAAAAATAAAAATCAAGACGTGCAATGTTTTATAACTATAGCTAATGTTCTTAGTTATTCCAAAATTTACCGGAATTCAATGATTTGTATCACAAATCCTTGTTACAATTTTATTAGAATTTTAGAGTAAGTGTACTAGTATTTAGTCTTTCTACCAATGTTTAAAAAGATGCCAACCTCTAAAAAGAGGACTAATCCAATTAAGGGGTAGTGCTTTTCAAATACATGTATATGTGTTTTCAAATCTAGGGTTTAGAAAAATCTGTCGTACAAAAATTTCAAATTTTGACACTAGGGAAGTTTGTAAAAGGACAAACGAGCCGATTTACACATATAGAGGAAGAACACGCTGTATTTGTCTATATACATGATATACCGCTGTATCTGTCTATATACAAACGCATTTAATAAACCGAAATAATTTAAGTAGCTGTTACATATCACGATAATCTATTTTATTCAAGAGTGCAGCTGCAGTTACGGTCGAATGAAAGGGGGGGGGGGGACGAATATCATATACTACTTTGCGAAAAAAAAAATCATAAAAGGGATATTTAAAGCAGTTATGCAAAAGGAAGTTCTTATAAATACCATTTCTAACGAGTCCATTCAAATGGGTCACAATCTTCTGATTTGTTATGCTGCTAGTATTAAGACATCTTATATAACATAGTAGAAAAAAATTCTTTAGGTTTCAGATTATAGAAGAGAGAGAGAAAGAGAGAGATTATGATAATTGAGTTCATAGTAATGCCATTTCTAAGAAATTCTTTCAAATGGGTCACACACTTGCGATTTGTTATTCAGCTATTCTAACCGTTGGTATTTAGAAATCTAATGTTACATATTTAAAAAAAATCCCAAGATGTTTTAGACATTTTATAAAGAATTGGAAACGAAAATGATATTTTATGAAACACATATATTTTACGGTGATTCCTTTTATTGCCATAGAATTTAATATGACTTTAATCTTCTGAAGGACTCAAGCCATATTATAAGTGTACTTTTGAGACCGATTATGCAAAATAAATAAAGTTCTTAGAAATGGGTCACAAACTTGCGAATTATCATTCAGCAATTCTATCTGCTGGTATTTTGAAGAATATCAATAAATAAGAAATAAATTCCTTAGATGTAAAAGCATCGGGAAATAAAACATTTTATAGACTTTTATGATACGCATTTTGCATGTATTTTACAGTTATTCCTCTTTGAGGATGTGCAATGTTTTACTATTCCTCTGGACTTTTTTTTGTAAAATCCTAAAATTGCTACACTTTTAGGAATTCGAATAATACTTCTGAAAAAAGTTAAGAATGTTTGTGTTTTCAGTGCAACAGATAAGTTAATCTCAGCGAGATTCGTTGAGACTAAAAATATTGGACAGACGTCTATTACGAGACTATTATCTCGCTGAGATTATGTAAATGCATGCATGTGTATCCTTGTCTGAATTTCGGGTAGAAAATGTACAGATGTTAAAATATTTTAGTTAAATGAAAATGATGTGTTAAAATAAAATGCCAAACAATGATCAGTTCTCCCCTAAAGCCTGGTCTAATGCTTGTTCGCAGTAATAAGACGTATCTATAACACAGCTGCCGGTACACAGGAATTGGTTATACCAAACGTCACTGATGATAACAATTTACTTTCCAGGCTTCAGGTGTGGCACTTTCAGACGAATGCCTTGACGTTTACCAAGATCTGCAGGGGTCGAAAAAGAAGTACCGTTACATCATCTATAAACTGAACGACGATTTCAGTGAAATAGTGGTGGACACCACAAAACCAAGAGAAGAAGGAGGCGGTGAGATTTAATGACAGTTTTACTTGTTTTACAATGGGGCTTTCGTGTGGAGACTGGAGAGAACCCTCCCCCATTATACCCTTTCCGCATCCTCGAAGCTTTTCCATTCATTTGTCATTAATTCTTATGGCATTTTACAATGTCCAAAACATATGAGAATAGAATAAATTTAATGAATATTATACACTGAAGACTTTTGAAATGAAAAAAAAAAAGATTATGTTTTCTAATCTTGCGAACAAATGTATCACGCAGATTTAGCCTCCCCTTACCCCCCCCCCCCCCCTTCCCACTAGCACCACCATTTTTGCATTTAATTCCAAGAAGAGAAATGATAATGTCTGAAAATTAGTAATACTAGTGCAAATACAATTCTTTAAGTTGTGACTTTCTGGAATTTGTGCACCGTCTAACCGTCTGTCTGTACGATGCTCAACCTTTCCAGTCTTCTCCAAAACTAACAGCCAAGTCCATTGAACAACTTCAGGCAAATGGAGACTAACTATTACCTTCAAGGTTAATACTGCTAACTTACAAGTTTCAAATGGATAAGAACAGCAAAGTTGCAAATTGAAAAGTAATTTTACCCGATGTATTCTGCATTTGTGATTGTTTAACCCTTTACCCTCATTGTACATGGAGCTCAAATCATTGAGGTCTAAAAATGTATGAAAATCCCACATTTTAAACGATATTGTTAAAATTTGTCATAAAAATTAAAGAAGAATTTTTATATAAATATATCCAAATCTGTCCTAAGCATGATTCTCAGGTATAATTGCATGTGTGAAGTATACATGTATGATTAGAGGGGTTAAGATTTATTGGATCATCTCACTGTTAAACAAACTCATATGAGCGTCGTAGCAAAATGTTAGAATTGTGCAACATAGAGTTTCTAGAAATGTTTTGAAATGCATATTTGTTTTGTAGTGACAGAAGCCTATGAAGAATTTTGTAGCAAACTCTTTGAAGCTGCCGAGAATCGTCAAGGTCGATATGGTGTGTTCGATATCCATTACAATGTTGACACCCGCGAGTTGGACAAAGTAGTTTTCTTCACGTGGTGAGTGATATATCCTTTTCATCATCAAATTATTAATTATTTATTTGATTTGCACTAACATGTACAATAACATGTACCAATACCAAACTTATTTTAGATAAAGACGGACTATGGGTCTGTGTTAAATACCAATGGAAGGGGTGGATCCAGGATTTTTCCCCCCAAAGGGATGGTACATAGTCCAAACACAGTGAAATAAAATGGGGTCCAACTCAATAGCTAAATAGCAAAAAGGAATATGGGGATTATGAAATGAAAGCTTGTCTTTATTCAACGGCACGTAGTATCGTTTTTGAAGGGGGGGGGGCAGAAAAAAAATTGACAAGAAGAAAAAGGAAAATTGTCCATACTCGAAAATCCTGTTTCTTGGGTAGGGAGTGGGTGGGTTGGAGGGCAATCGATTTTCAATTTTATCAATTTTCCATGATTTAGCTATGCTACAACAAAAAAAAGGGGGGAACCAGCCTTTCAATGAACATTTTCAGTAGAAAAAGTTATGTTTGAAAAAAAGTGGGGAGGCCACCCCCCCCCACCCCCACCGATACTTTCCGGGAATCAAAGATTATTTTCAGGGTGTTTCGCATGCACGACCTAGATAGAGGCTTTCACCTTTCTCACTTGCTCCACGCATGAGTAGATCTAAGCATGCTGATTTCTTTTTTCAATTCCAATTTTGAATTTAATTTTATTTTCCAATAATTTTCAAGGGTCGCCGACACTCTTCCCATTAAACAGAAGATGTTGTACGCCAGCAGTGCCAAGGCACTTAGAGGAAAGATGACCGGAGTCCACACCGAAATCCAATGTAATGACGCATCCGACCTAAAATTAGAAAGCGTCATCGCCAAGTGTCGCCAGAAGAGTTACGAATGATCAATTTAGAACAGTAGTGACTTTCTGTTATATTAATTAAAACACAATTTATTTTTGACAATATTCTTTGCTACTGTAATAGAATTTTATTGCATTATACACATTTCTTTGGTAATGTGACCAACAAAAAGTTGAGAACGTGGTCGTTTTCACAACACCTATCGGTCTCAATCCATTTTTTTTGTACTAGATGGGTGTATTCACAATTAGAAATAAAACGAAGTTGGAGCAAAACACTTTTCATTGAAAATAAATTCTTGTTTTTGAAACTGTGTCGTTTCATGCCTATACATGTCTCATAAAAGAAAAAAGAGAACATTCCGCTATATGTAACAAGGACAAAAGGAGGTTTTGAGATCACACCGGAACTTGTAAAATCTCGTTCCTATTTTGCTTCAGTGAGTTTGGTATAATTGAAAAATATATTTACTAGCAATCGATGGCACTTCACATTGTTTGCCCTTTTCAGGCTCATAAGACTCATAAATCTGTCATTTCCCTTTTTTTTCGTGCTGCTTAGATTTCTCGTTTTCCAGACCATTGCTCCTCAAATATCGTAATGGAGGATTAATTGTTACATGTTAGAACATGCTTTTAGAAATCTGTTTAGATAAAGGTTTTAAAGTTTGCTAAAAAAAAAATTGGTTCTATATAACAGACCATTCAATTATTTATTTATTTATTTATTTATTTATTTATTTATTTATTTATTTATTTATTTATTTATTTATTTATTTATTTAGAGTTAGTCTGTACCTTAGTTTGTGACAATCACGATCCGAAAATCAGTGGTCCAGAAATTAATTTTTTTGTTGAAAACTTGAGAATTGTGTCAATGTCTTTCTATATTTGTCGAGAATTTGTCAAATTAGGCATATATAGGTAGCATTTATTATCATAATTTTTGCGAAGGAATATCAACTGTATCCGAGAAACAGAATAATGAGATCAAATTCCTTGAAGGATGAAGTTTTATGACTATAAAATGTTTGTTTAATATTTCCAATTTCGTGTTTAAACCGGCCGAAGAACCTACAATGTTATCGCCAAGATATGGCTAAAAAATTGCCGACTCGGCGTCAAACAATAAAATCAATCAATCAATCAATCCAATTTCTTGAATAGGTAGCTAGGTGCTTCAATGATAGGTGAATGCTTAACAGGAAAAAAACTTGGAACGACCCAATCTGGTTCAGTTTTAGAAAATGAGAAAGTGATTCCATATCTGGCATTTTGCAGCGTTACTAAACGTAATGGATTTTCATGTTGGAGTTTGATTCGGTCTCTGGAGTGCAAGTTGTCTTAATTATCGATTGTTCTCGCAAATAACACCACTTAACAATAGACAAACCAATGTTGTCAAGAAATAAAAACAGGTTAATAATCCCTGGAATTTCTATGACAATGTTTGATGTATGATGAAGAGTTTTCAATATGAGCGAACAAAAGAAGTTGGGCTAATGGCATCGAATCGACAAACCTGTGATTCCCCGCCAGTATTCAGGAATTTCTGTACACAGAGGATTACCTCTTGGTCATCCTTTATTTTACTAGTAATCTTTAAGCTGGGTTCTCATTGGATGGAAACTAAAGATTTTGAAAAATGCTGGATTTCTTTTTCAGTTTTTTTTACTATATCATCTGGTAAAAATACAAATCTATACAGAAGTGCAAAGCTCTTTGCGCTTTGTTCTTCTGTAGACATTAGACTGGCCTATCATTTAATTGTTTGTATTGTCTTTGATTACCTTGTTTCAACTATTAATAGCATGCTCTAAAACAAGTAAAATATGATTTAATTAATTTAATAGTTTAATTAAGAACTGGGTTGTTTTTCCGCCGTTTCAAGGGAGTTATTACAACACTGAAAAGAGTACGCAATTATAATTCTTTGTGTCGTCATAGTTAAAATTTTCTGAAGGGTTTTATAATAGCAGGTTATGCTAAATATGATTGGAAACTTTTTTTCTGCGAAAGACAGTGTGTTTGCAAAACATGCACTCGAAGGTGCATTTTATCTGGCTTTATCAATATCCACACGCATGGCCGAAGAAAAGGGGGGGGGGCAAGGGGGATGGCGGTGGCTGGTTGGGCGCGTCCTCCCCAATAATTTTGCCGATATATAGAATACTATAGAAAACATAGCTACTATATGCTCGTCCCCCTCAATAATAACGTCTGATGAATTTTTGGTAGTTGATAGTGCCCCCAAAATGAAACTGCATGGTTGCCCCCCCCCCCCCAATAAAAAAGAACTGAAATTGCTCCCCAAAAAAACTGAAATTGCTTGCTGAGACGTGCATGGTGACGATAAAAAGGAACCATATTAACATGCTCCAATTGTTTTATTTCTTGGCTCAAATGAGTTGAAAGTTCGGTAATTTTTTTGTTTACTTTTTTTTTAATTTTGGACTTTGTGGTGAAAGTTTTATATAAGAATGTATAAGCAGAGTCGCTAAAAGTCTTTTACTCCAATACATCAAAGCCATAATTAATCCAAACGATATGCAAGCATATTAATATTGTATAGATTCAATTTATTTCAAATCATGACCCCTGGGATAAGAATGAAGCTACAATAGAGCTACAATAGAGGGATATTTGGTTCATACTTCATGTAATAAGTCATAAAAAACGGAAACGGAAATGGATGGGTTGAAGCGACATTCGTAAAAACGTTTCTATAAAATCATTAAAGTCAGCGGCATTGAACGAATTTTGTCAAGAAGAGTGATAAATTTTGATGAAGTCAGCAGCTTTGAGCGACATTTGTCCAAAAGAGTGCTTTTGGTAAAGTCAGCGGCGTTGTGCCTTATGTCTAAAAGAAGTCGGCGGCATTGAGCGGCTTGAGCATTCTCACTAACGTCACTAAAACATTTCTTGGACAAATGCTTTTCTATTTAATTATATTTATCAGAAGCACATTCTTGGACAAATGCCGCTGACCCTACCAGCAACACAGTCTTGGACAAATGCCGCTCAATTCCGCTGACTTTACCAGAAGCAATGTGTTTGTCAAATGCCTCTCAATGCCGATGACCTTTCTAGAAGCAGTGTCTTGGACAAATGCCACTTACATTAGTCAGTCAGTTACCAGAAGTAGTTTCTAGGACAAATACTTAATGCTGACTGATTTTATCAGAAGAACTTTTCTGGACAAAAGTCCTCTACAAAAGTTTTAAAGAAAATTTTCTCTGAGGGCTGTCTGTGATATAGTTTATTTTCCTTTATATTGATAGAAACTCAGTGTAAGATTTTTTTTTTCTAGACTTCTTACATAGCCATATATTTTAAAATAGAAATATTTAGACTTCAGGAGAAAGAATAAAGCTCGATAGTTTTCAAGCTTCGATATGTTGTATTTTAATCGCTAAAATCTTTTACTCTGTTTTAGGTCCAAAGTAAGAGAGTCCCTTATATACATATCCATTTATCAGGAAGAAAAAAATGACTCAGGTGAGCGTTATGGCTCATTGGTCCCCTGTTTATTCATCCATCAATTAACTTATTACACTGCGTCTATTTAATGAAAAATTATCCAATGATTCAATCATTAACTAGAAAGCAAAACAAGCTTATATTAGATGGAGAGTTTAAAAAAATCAATCAAAACCCTAGCACAATATTTAGGTTTCTGACATTTTTTTAAAAATCAAAACTATTTCTTAGAGTATACCTATTGTTTACATATGTTTTCATGTTATGTTTCATACTAAAACAGAGGGATGATTGATCAAAACTTTATAATATCCTGAGTATACTTGGAAGGCTGAGTATGATATAATGAAGACAAGAGAAGGAGAGCAAACCAATCAGTGTAAGGGAAACTATTCTTTTTTTTTAAAAGTTTTCTGGAGAATCCGTCTTACAGATAGATAGAATCCCTAGATGGCCTAAAATTGATTTTTAATTCGAAATAGATTTCCAATATATTAGGATTGATTCAAGCGGTTGGACAGTCAATTTATGTGCAGACCATTCATAATAATCTATTCATAAATGTATGTCCATTTCATGCATTTAATCTTAGATTTTAGAATAAAATTGTTTTGACTATGAGAATAACAAATTTTAAGTCCCATGGGAACATATTGTTGTCATACATCTGATAAAAAAATTTAAAAAAAAAAAAAAAATTCGACGAATATTTGAGACTACAAGTTCATGTACTTAAGATTTATCGTCTATGTTTGAGGTTCGATCCGTTTTTCAATTTACTTCAGAAAAGTATTTACCCAAACATGAATTAAATAATATACATTCATCCAGATATGAATTAAATATGATTCATGATCTGAAAGTTTAATGCACAAACAATGGCATCACATTACTGGTGTTGTTCCTTCCATTTACTGTATTTGCAGATCTCCAAAGAAAAAGAAACACAGCAAAATTAATGTTTTCTGTTGTCAAATAATATAACGCCCTTTTTTGTCAATAATCATATATATTCTTAAGGTGATGTACCTTGGCATAAAGGTTATGTCCAGTCCACATGAAAATAACATGCAAGTGACAGACTTTGGTGAATATGTTTGAATACCAACATCAAATCGTGTAATAAAACCATCAAAGACAGAAGTGATTTTTTTCGATTTCATGCAATAAGAGATATTTCATTTTGTTTCTGTTTAAGCCTGTCTGATCAAACTATTTTTGGACATCAAACATTAACAAAACTAATGGTATCATAGCTGATTAGTCTCTGATATTCGTGTAGCATTAGCCATTGATAATTATTTTTCTTCTCTTTGATTGGAGTGGTTTAATTGATCAATATTTTGAGCTTTACGTGAATGAATTCGAATTGAAATAATTCCAGCAATGATGTGTAATCACGTCATTAATCGGACATGCATTAAAGTTCCTGCAATTTGATGCTTCAAGTATATATAACGTTCGCTAGCTCTCGATCAGTATGGCGATAGTTTCAATCGATATCTCCTTCGGCTGTCCATGGAAACAGAACTAAAGAGAGGAGCTTACCATTTTTCCAATACGAAAGCGAGGTCTATTGTTGCTATTGGAAAATATATGCTGAAGGGAAGGTTATTGGTGACGTCACGAATCACGTGGCTGATTCTCCAATATTCAGTTCCAGTGACATAAACACATCAATGATCAGTGCTCTATTTGGAAGAAACTAAAAGATTCAAGTTAGATTTAAAAAAAAAACAGAAACGGAGGTACACAGAAGAACAAAATATTAAGCTAACAGAGAATCGATATTCTTTCTTTTGGACGTTGGTGAGATGAAAATTAGGACATGGAATCGTAACGTACTCTTAACAGTGGTATTAGGGGTTTTATTTCTGGGATTCTCAACGGCATGGGGTAGGGAAGTTTCCACCAATCACTGGTATGTGGAATTAGATGGTGATGGGGGGATAGAAGCAGCAAGGGAAGTGGCCAAAAGAACTGGATTTACATACGTCAGACCGGTAAGTGCAGCATAGCTTTGATTTCACGTTTAAAATGTACCTTTCCTACGGCATTACTAACTCCAAGGACAAGTTATAGCTAGATCATTTCAAAACATTTTCTTGCAATTGAATTAATCGTAAATAAATTAATACCAAGGAATACATATCTTTGTAATTTTTTCCCCTTATATTTCGAAAGGGTGCCTTTCCTTTGTTAAGGTCGAAATTAGGTGTTAATAATGTGCACTCCTTCCTGAGATGACTTAATAAGCAAATGATGGCCAGATGTTCATATTTGGTAAATTTACAATTGATTTATTGATCCCGGAGATTGTAATGGGCTGCTCTGACCTTCAGTTGACCAACCATTCTTACGTCACAATCCCAGATATAAGTATTAATGACGGACGTTTCTTGGTGAATAAAACTGATGTTGTAAATTGGTCTAGTTACATTTAAGACTAAATACCGAGGGCGATTTTTTTCGATTGTCGTACATATGATACATTCATACATACAACTACAATAGAAAGCTGAAATATCATTTTGAATTACCTACAAGCCACTTTGTGAATATCAAACACATTTGGAAACAGGGTAAGAATTAATTGATCACTCATATTACATTTTTGGAGTACAGTTTATAATTTAATGAAGAAATATAAAATTTAACGATAAAAAAAGAAGTACTAGTTGTTTGGAACGAAATTCAGGATTCTAAAATATATTTTCCTGTATGTAGTACATGTATTTATACCTCTCATGTACATTTAAACATACTCAAACATAATGCCCTGTAATTTACTTTTTATTAATACTGTCATTTTCTGTAATATATTTTTAATGTCTTTTTTTTGTTTTGGAATGGAATAACAAGCAGTAACATAACTGATCCGTGATTTGGACAAAATTAAACAATAATCACCTTGTTGTACTTCACAAAATTAGGTAAAGCAGCCGTTGTTGATGGTGTTGAATATATCCGCTATCAGTGAAACTAATTCCATTTTTCTAGGCGACACCTACATATAAGCACCTTCAAGCACGATATTCATCCGCCAATGAAAGAAAAACCTATCCCAGAATAGAAAACCATCCTGTAGAATTTTATATTTTAGATTTTGTTCTAATTTTTTGTTAATAGCATCCAATAAAACCTGAGTTATGAACTTTTTAAACTTTCAGTTTATAAATGATTTTTCATCGGATAGTGCTTAGAAGAAGAAAAAGAATTATGTATATAGAAAATTATGAAAGAAGTTGATCCTTGAGCTATAGAAACTCCATTGTTATCAATTTTGTGAAAAGTAATGCTCCAACATGTACTTATAAGTGGTAAAAATTTTCAGGTAATCTTGAAATGTAAATGGCGTCATTACTCACATGACAGATTTTAGTCATATTTAAGGAACGAATTTAAAAGCTACATGTACACAAATTTTACGAGTAACCTGGGTTAGGGACAGTTAACACCTAACTGGGATAAATTTTAAATTCATTCCTCGTAATTTAATTATCTATAATAATTTATATGATTATGTTTCGTCAAATACAGCTAGAACGATGCAAAAGAAAGCTATAATGTGCCTAAATTTAAAAAAAAAATCCTTTATCAACAAAAACATTTATAATTGTGACCGTCTTGAACAGAATTTTGGTGTGAGAATTTTGGACAAAGGACTTTAGTTCACTTCACATGTGTATTTTTATATACATGTATAAACTTCTGTTGTCTTAGCGTCCTGTTGTCTTTTCTGTGTGTCTGCTTTGTATGCAAAGTGATGGAAAACAATGTTTGATTACTTACTTTCTGACTAGAAGTGTCAGCAACACTCTTTAACGTGCAATCCGCATATTTATGGACTGATTAATTAAATCGGACGGTGGCTTTATCTGACATATATACTCTAATACTGACAAATTACGTACATGTATTGGGGAATTATACTAGCACTGGTTTAAAATTTACATTCTCTATTTTCAGGGTTAACTTTTACTTCCTGAAATGTTTTAGGAAGTAGATGTTATTGTAAAAAAAAATCCATTAAGGTCCATTTTACTACCTTTAACTTTGTCTATTTAGCTTGTTAACGTTCAGAAAACTCAATATCACTATTAAATAAATTAGCACAACATAACAAAATGAATCAAGACAAAATTTAATTCATGTCATAAAACTTTTTATTATTTTGGAATACTATCAATCGATCATTTATTAATATGAGATGCATTGTCAAAGCCAAATTTTTTACAGGTGAAATGTTGAAAAGAGTATATGTAAATACTTGTACGCATTTTTAAATTCAAACAAACCCACGACGAATATTTTCAGTGTAAAGAATATCGAACTCCCAACTCTGAGAATTTCCATAACAGATGAGAACCTATGTTGGTTATTTTCCCAAATATCCGTCGTCTTTCGGAAACTTAACAGCCTCTTTGTCAGAGCCGCCATGGACTATTCCTCAGAGAAGGTGCAGGACCGTTGCTTTGCTTGTCGTCTTATTCATTTCCGATCGATATAATTAATAATTATATAGATATAAAGAAAACGACGTCAATTTGTTTGCCAATATCCACGCGATCTGCACGTTTATATGAAATGCAAAGAAAAACAATCTTGATGTGTGTTTGTTAAACACAAATGTCTCCAAACGTGTGGACAGGTTGTGATGCAAATACAGAGTCAAACGTCATAAAATATAGCCCGATCTTCGGGGAGGGGGCATAAAACGAAAGGCCAAATCCAATTAAACATCAAGTTTTCATCTTTTATATATATATATATATATATATATATATATATATATATATATATATATATATATATATATATATATATATATATATATATATATGAAAGGTTAAGCAAAATTTTCAGTTAAGAAAATTACAGGACCTTGGTATAATGACCCTTCGAGCATTCATTGTGGACATATTTAGAAATGCTCCCCCAACAAGGGAATAATTACAGAGAAGAGTACTTCGTGCATTTTCATCTTCCATTTTTGGTTTGAGTGCTAAGATAAAAGCGTTATAACTCAGGAAATTGAACAACCATTTGTACATCATTTGGAACATTTGAAATGTCTTCGATCTTTGATTAAAAGGCAGAACACTCCCACACATATTGATACCCGCTCAATGATAAGAGCGCGATCAACATCTGCTTGCCATTGTTCGTCATCGTACATCGACTATAAGCCGAGTAGGCACTTTCAGAATCTTTATCGGAAATTTTTCAAACAACTTCGTAATAAATAAATGAATAAACAACAATCGTGCACAAGAAGTGGAAGACACTTTAGATGTGTTTTGAGTGAGCAACAGTGCTTAGATTGCAGATTCCTTGATTACGACAAAAAAGGACAAAATGGAACAAATTGACACGTCAGCAAATTCAAGAAACATATTTTGTCTAGATAATAAAGGAGTAATTTATTTTTCTCACACCGAAGCTTTTTTTATTTATTAAATTGCTTGTAGAAGTAATAAACAAAGAGGTATGAGTGGACTTTACATGTATGCAGATGGACTTCAAGATTAGCACAACTACATTGTTATAGTAATTAAAGCTAGACGGAGATACAGTTCTGGATAAGGGGGAAATAAGAAAATGAATAGGATTTGAGGTCTCTGAACATTCTTGCTCCATAATATTGTCTTTTTTTCATTAATGGTGTCATAGATCACGTCCATTGTACTTTATATGGAAAACAAGTTGCACCAGGAAATCATGATCTGAATTCAGTTGTAAACTTGCAAATTAGAAAAGCATAAATTTTTCATGTCTGTCACGCTGAGTAGTTCTCCATCGAATTAAAGACAAGCAAGAAATTGACTCTCTCATAAAAAGAGACCAATATTTCTTTTCCAATTATGTAAACTGTTATGTTCCATTAATTGTTTAGTGTTTTGAATTGAAACCGAATCTGAGTTATCTCTTTCTAAAAGTGGAATTCATTTAGCGCCAAATATCAACCATCAAAGATGAATATTTTTATCACCACATGCACGAGTGATCGAATTTTATGCTCTTTGTTGAAGTTTGCACTTTGTACTGATAAGCATGATCTAAAATTAAACACAAGAGCTGAATACTGACGTATTTTCTTGTTTGTTTTTTTTTCTCCACCTCTTTTCCAGATTTTAGGTTCTTCAAATGAATTTCATTTTGTGCATTCCGCTGTGCCAAACATCAGGACCAAACGAAGTATTGGCCATACGAGATTACTTAAAGCGCATCCAAAGGTATATTCTTAAAACAACACCAATCATAAAAGAAACTCTTAGTTTTGTGTTTTAGCATACAATAACTGTTCTAATCTAATAACAGACTGATCAGTGACCACATAACTATTTTCATAAATTCATAAAAAGAGCAAAATCCAAGATTCTACGTAAGCGTTAGACATGATCAACACGTAAGCGGAGAATCTGTGAATTTTTTCCTATTTTACTTTTTTTTTTTAAGGTGAAACGGGCTATTCAACAGACAGGTTATCTTCGAGTTAAGAGAGGATTCAAGCCAAGAATAACCGGAGTTCCAGTATCTGAAATTAAGCTTAAATTACAGTCAATGGATGACAATAAATTCAAAGATATTAACATCAACATTGACAACAACAAAAGTCCAACAGATCCCCTGTTTAAGAAAGAATGGTTTTTGGCAAGTATTCTTAGTGAACTTTTGTAGAAAATGTTCATTTATATTTAAACCCGACACATTTATTTGATCCATACATTTTACTATCTCATAGCATTACAATAGAAAATACACAGGACACCCAAACACTGATGTAATACCTCCAATCCATTTCATATGTATATGTAAAATGCTAGCTCCATAAGTATCTACACATCTATAAAATCATTTAAAGAAATCAATTTTTAAGAAAATAATTCAAAATATAATTTCCGTCAAAATGATTATACAGTTACGTACGTACTTGAATTCTAATGTCAGATGCCAGTTTGTATTTATTCAGATAAGAGAAATCAGTCTTTAAAGTGACATTTGTGATTCGTATTTCGACCTTTAATTCGGACCAGATTGCCCAGAGACCAATAAAGATAATGCCCTTCATATACAAATACTCTCATAAGGGAAGATTAAGGGAAAGGGTTTCGAGAAATCTAAAAGAAAAAATATCTGCGATTTTTGATCGATAAGGGACAAACGGCCCGTCTCTGGTGAACATTTGTTATGGAGGATCTTCTTTTTTCATCTCCCTCGCTGGAAAGTCTTATAAAGTTAATTCTCTCCATCGATCAATAAATGAAATAGTATAACGTAATTGATTTCTAATTATACCGGATCCATGCACACATCAGGAAGTAAAACAGACGTTTGGACCACATTTTAGGGTCTAGAATTTCCCCTTGGCACATATGAATAAAAAGAAAAATTGAGGAAGAGAGTTCTACGAGTACAATATAAAGGATACACCCCCAATTGCTACCTTAGATAATTTTCTTGGCAAATTTTCTGCTTTGTCACCATACCCAATCATTATCACTTTTTTGCCGAGAGAAGCTTGATTAAATGTGGAATTTAATTAAATCTTTCATTAATTAAGGTAACAACAAGAAATAAATGGAATTTTATCTGTTCTTATTGCTCTGGGATACGACAATTTATTCTCGAGATGAGTTGTACAAAGAAATACCAGAATAACTTGAAGCAAGCAAGAACAATTAATTAAACCATTCATATAGGATTGTAATTAAAAACTACTTTTAGAATGTATTCTGACTTGTTTGATTAACTAAAATATTCAGTGAAAAGAGAACATTATCAAAACTAGCGCGACCTAGTTCAAATAGTTAAGGAATTTTTCTCCTTTGCAGTTGTCAATGAAAGAAAAAACAGTTATCTTTTTTCTCCTTCTTTAGAAAAACGTAGGACAGTCTGGTGGAATTCCTGGGTTGGATCTGAATGTTGAGGCCGCCTGGGCCCGAGGCTTTACTGGTAAAGCCATCACGACTGCCATCATGGACGACGGTAAGACCGGAAGTGCCCCCCCCCCAATTTGAAATCACAATTAAAGCAAATCTTTGCATACAATACAAAGGAATGCATAAAATTATTACGTGGAAAACTTATTTTAACCGAAATGTCAACCTCAAAATCACTTAAACGTTAGCCTTTGGGATACTTGTAGTTTTAAGTCGACCATATCGCAAGAAGCACACCCGCATCATCAGGCAAATCTCATTTTGAAAGAATGAACCATATAGATCATAAGATAGTTTCATTTTATTATTATACTTTCTAGTTTTATGGTGATAAAGAAAACCATCAAACATGCCAAACAATACATATCTAAGCTAACTCATTATGGAAGCAAAAGACGGTGAAGAGAGCATCCAAACGACACGTCATATTATCCCTGCAGCATAAGCAATAAACTTACATTTAACGGAAAGCATTACTATTAAAATATTGAACAATTCGTGTAGTTCGATTGGTGTATTTCCGTATTCAGAATATAATGATACAAAATTATATTTTCTCTTCTTCTTACATTTTTCTCAATGTTGGAAAGACATTCACTATTTTTCAAGAAATAGCACAAAGGATAGAATTTCATGTGGTGACGCTGGTTCTTAAGTCATTTTATAGGCTTCATCAATCCCTCTTTGTATTGTGTAACGAAATAGCATGACAATAGCAATACCATTTCATATCTATTTTATTTTTTCCCCGGCCTACTCCAAGCACTTCGTGACTATTTGAATTTTGTCCATAAGATTTCCTCTTAAGTCAACTATGACAAATCGGTGTTAGCGGGTACCATTACCGTATGCCGGCCTTCATTAGGAATATTCTACTTCCAATATCAGATGCTTAGGGGCTTTAAATCCCTTTTTCATGCATATTCAATACCGTTTTTATATCCTCTTCCGCACAAAAATCGTTACTTTTCATCAAGGACGGTGTTGTTTAACCAAATAATTCAGTTATGAAGTTTGATAAAAAAAATTGTATTAATATAAAAAAAAAATGATACTGCAATTTGATATCAGAAAAGAACAAGCCGGGGGCCACCTTGAGTTCAAGTTCGAAGGCTCCCAAACCAAGCATAAAAGGTTTTTAATATATATTGTGTTATGTTTTTTTTTTATTTGAGCAGTAAAGGAGGTTCCAATCTGCTTTAAGCGACTTCATTAGATCACTTTCATATATTTTGATAAAGAGCGAAACCATTAAAAGGTCGCTGATGTGATTTCTACGTTATTTTCCCCTACAACAAATGAATATAGATGATTTATTTTAGGATTCAAAGATATTTTACATATTTTTACAATTTCATTCAATGGATATTAAACTTTTACCCGTTCCGTTAAATCTACCAGATGACTTCAGTGCCATCCCACCCGTTCTTGGTTCTCTGCAAATAAGTAGAAGATAAGGGATGGGAGGGATTCATGCAACCCTAAATCTCTCTCACCCAAAGTTATAACATTTACAACGAAAATCCAATTTCTTCATATCACTTCACTATGCTACATTGAGAATATTCTCAAAAATTTTCTACGGCTCAGAATAATATATCACTGAACCTAACGACAATTTTTTTTAAGTCAAGGGAAAAGAACAGAAAAGTTAGAATAAACAGAAGCCACACCAATCCGAAAGATACATAATCAGAAATTCTAGTGCTATACATGATCTGATACGAATACGATACACGTGTTTTGTTTTGTGAGAAAAGGATTAAGTTTCTTTTCACACGTACATAAACATCTAACATGTAACCAAACCCGAGCTAGGTAAAAATTTTGCATTAAATAAGTTATTATTGAAGTCATAAAGTTTATTGTATTAGTTTTGTGCAGGCAAGTTTACAGTTTTTTGCAATAAAGTTTTATTCATATTACAATATAAATATGTACCTTCAAAAGCAAAACAATTTAGATATCATATATCTTTATTGTGATTTTATATTGTGTACATGTAGTTAAAGGTAAATAATTATTTTTTTTTAATTTATCTGATAATTTTTATCCGATATTTATATGCTGCTGAATTTATTCGTATGTAATTCAAGCCAAATAATAATCATGTATTTATATTTATTTATTTATCTGATGTTTATTGATTTGTCTTTCAATGGATTGTGTTGTTTTTTTTTTTCAGGTATCGATTATCTACACGAGGATCTCCGACATAGTTATGTAAGTTTGGTTTTACCCTACCCAATCAGCCTTTTTCTGAAATAGTTATAGAGATGTTTTTTTTTTAAAAATGTATAAAATAAATTTTACTTTCAGTCTTTGTCAAATTTACGATTAATTACCACCTTTATATAGCGAGATTTGCACACTGAAGTTTTCTTAATTTCTTATTTTCTTTGTAAAATATATATATATGGATTCATTTACTTGTGTGAGCAAGTTTATGTACATTTATGCACAGTTAAATACCTTGTGCAAATTAATAATTAGTAGGAGTTAAAATATAAATTTACTCAAGCATGTGAAGAAAAGTTAAAATTCTGAACAATTTAAAATCTACACTTGATAAGGAAGCTTTTTACTTAATTCTCTATTGGTTTCATTTCTTCTTGAAAAGATTTTAAATGAGCCATTGACTCATGAGAAAAAAAGGAATAAGATTTCATCCAACACTTAAAATTTTCAGGGTTGGATTCTTTTCAATAAACGATAGAGAAGGTCTATATACAACAACATTAAGTGGGAAAAAAGAATATGAAAAATGAAAAAAAAAAAAAACCGAGGGGGAGAGAGAAGGGGGTCAAAGTATTAAAGTAAACAGCATTATACCATTTATCAGACACCACTGGACCCATGTCCATCAGTATAAAAAGTGGAAATAAATTTGACCAGATCTACATGATACAAATGATTCACAGTCTGCCTCATTCGTAAAAAATGGTTTAATCAGGCTTGTAATATTCTCACGGAGAAAGAGAATACTTTCGTAACAATGTTTAAACTTATGGGTTAAAACTGGGCGCTCTCATGAACGAAACGTCAAGAGAAACCAAAGATTAGCTGATAAGTTTCAAATGAAAAAGGTGAGGATAACGAACAGTTTCTTTACTCAGAAAAAAAGAAAAAAAAAGACGTCATACAAAATTTTATAAGAAATTATTAGAATGTACAAAATGGTATTTCTATTCATCTGTGGACTGCCCAATGAACAAATGACGCTGTCACAACCACTCAGCGTTAAGAAGAAAGTGGCCATATCAGTTTAGTAACTTGTATCTTCAGCAGAACGTAAAGCAAACTTTGCTTGACAAAAACAAAATACTGTGTTAAAAGATTTGCACCTATTCCAAACTACGTAAGGATTTGCGTAGCTGAGTAAATATTTTTATAAGTAAAGGCGTTTACATGGCAAGATTTGCGTATGTAACCATATAGACTTGTATGCACAGATGTACTTCTGCAATGGATCTGCATATTTCTATACCTGACCGTGTAAACAGAGCTTAATTAAACTTAGTGCAAAAATTGCTGTTTGAACACGTATAGCATGCACTAGTATATACTTCTACTACTAATAGTAACGAGATGTATATACATATGTCAATTCATTGCACATATGTAATTATAAGAATTCTTAGCATATAGACATATTCGCGTTTATGCAAAATTTACTCAAATACCTAAATTTACACTTAGTTTGGGATAGGTGCAAATCTTTTTACTTATATGAACAAAAGCATATTTTCCTGTGCGCAATTCTGGGCATATGACAGTGGCGTATATTCCTTTCTGCTTAGGTGTAGGCTAGTGTGAAGTCACAGAATCCAGACCTGCGACGCAAAAATAGGCAAGAAGCAGGTCGCCCCCTCTCGATAGGGTTGGGGGGGGGGGTTCGGAGGGAGCATTTTTGTGAATTCGAAGACATTTTTATTGTCATTTGACTAGTGAAAATATTATTGTAAACATGTGTTCAGTTTATATCATGATATGAAGACCACTTATAGTAACAAAACTGATAACTCATTTTATACGGAAACTTCCTTACTGAATATTCCAAATACGAACAGTACGTTTAATTTCCTACTTGTCAATAATATTTCCAGTAATAAATTTCATTTCCTGCACTAATCATGGACTTCTGTTGCTTTCGATGTTTTTAAAATTGTCTGAAATAGACTTAACACAACGCTTGAATTTTGGCTTAAAAATCAGCTATAGGAATAGTTTTGTCATTAAATATGGAGTAAAACTGTAAGCGTTGGATAGGTATAAAATTGCTGATTGCTATGAATGCTTTATTAGCATTAGCAACAAAATAAAATTAATAGATTAAATGTACTATCAAGCTTTCTCCCCCTTTTTTCAACCATTTTTTATCCCTTAGAAAATGATGTGCAGGCTACAGCCTTTTTGCCGATATAGAATATACGCCACTGTATGAGCGCATAGTAAAAATTGCTTACACAAGTTCTATATCTTTCTGAAGATACACAGTGTTTAAATGTTGGTCATGGAGCAACCCGCAAATGAATAGGAATGCCTTTTGTACATTCTAAAATTGTCTTATCATTCTTATCAAATTGCCTTATCATTGTTCATTTGTAAAATTCTGTAGGACTGTTGTAATTCTATTGTTTATAAAACAAATAAGTTATCTTTTATTTTTCTGATATTTCGTCCATGATAGCACCAGTTGCTTTCCCAGTAGTTAAAATATTGGAACGTTTCTTTGAAGCCACTTTTACAAATAAACAACATATTTTGAGCATTATCTTGTGACACTGTGCATCATACTCCACGTGACAGCATAGCAAATATACTTTTATACACCGGTGCAATTTAGCTCATGACCATATATACTGTTCTGCAGATTTTTCGCCGTATCAACAGAGCCTTGAAAAATGCTTATGTCTAAATTTGCTGTTTATAGGGAAGTGTTCTCTTCTAAATTTCAAATATACAGAATCTATTATAAATTTTCCTGGTTCTTTTTTAGAATGCCAAAGCCAGTTACGATTTTAGCAGCAATGATCCATATCCATACCCCCGCTATACTGATACCTGGTTTAACAGGTAAGTCGACTGATTCCATAGGTCGAATGAGAAATCCATTTAGCTAGTTCCAACACCGTTACAGGATAAAGCTATTGTAGATACATGCATGAAGCCTCCCTTCCGGGGGGAGATTTGAAACAGCTATAAAAGTCTGAAAATAATCCCTATAACGCTTTAATTTCATCAGGCTTTAATAAGGATAAAATTTCTGGAGAGTTTTATGTAATTTATCTAATTATCCCATAAGGTATGCTTTCAGTGTATTAGATGGATATACCAGCAAATATTGAAATGTCGTTTGATAAATTGAAATGAAGGAGACATTTAGCTGTACACCAGATATAGTTAAAATTAGAATGACAGAGTCAGGCTCGATTTCATTTTAGATTAACGTGGTCTTGTGAGAGACATGATTACTTTCAGCTCGTGGATTAATTTTCACTAACAATCAATAATATATTATTAATACCTGTGTAGGAGGGGAAACCAGCATCAAGTTCCTTAATTGTAAACATTATCACTCAATGAATTGTTTCTGTCGCAAAACATTGTTCTAGGGTAGATATGTTACCAGAAATTCGAAAGCCATGTCTGAACAGATTTCTAGATGGAGAAAACGTGTTAACTTATATTATAATTTGACGTTGCAAGTCTTGATCTTTTTAATGTAGATTTATTTTCTGACGTAAAATGACCAACAGTATCGTTATAATTGAATTTTGTGTCTTATTTACAAAATCCATTAGATCTAGTTAAATAAATAAAGAAAATCGCTGTCGACTATTAGTATGACGCACAGTCGCCTAAATTATGATTTAAGGAGTTTTTTCTCGTAGCAAGTCCCGCAAATCATACATTTTAAGGAGAAAATGCTTTCAAGAAATGAAAAAAAAATACCCTGAAACATAAGATATTTGACATTCAAAAAAATATTCAAATTTGGAAATCGATATATTTACAATAGTTATGAAAGGGTGTGTTGGAAAGTTTTGACTATAATCAATAATGCATTGAAATGGATATGAATAGTTATGCACAGCTTTTTAGCAACAAATTTATCACCAAGCTTTTTAAACTTAGTCTCACACTTAATGAACGCAGGGGGAAAACATGATCCTTTTAAAAAAACCCGAAATTTTACAATATTCATATTGGAAGTAGAAGATGGATCATTTCTGATACATTAGTCAGGCTCCGCGGGTATTATTTCAGTCTTAACATCTGAGTGATTAAGATAATGATAAATAATTTGTGCTGTTAAATTCCCTAAGGTTTCACGAACTACCGCTAATCTGATCGGATTAAAACAGAAAATTCTATACCTCGGGTTTAAATCGTGAAAATTTCACACCGCACCCGTAGTTCGTTGCACTTTAGCAAGGCGCCATTGGACGCTTCTTTATGATTGTATGGGTGTCTAATATTTCCTTTTACAAATTATTAATAGTCTAATGTTGATCTTTCGAATTCATTTAAAGTAATTAGGATTTAACACATATAAATGCCAAATGAAGAAGTGTTCATTATAATGGATGGGTGATAATTAATTAAGGCGAGGTTTCCTTTGTCTATTTTCACTTTTATGCAGTTTCCCACGTAAATGAATGTAGAAAAACATTTCAAAACCACTCAGTTAATATAATCATTTATTGTATAAATGTAATTCATATTGGGAAATTAAATTTTTCTCACGTAGGAAGCTTACACTTTCAATAAATCATCTCAGATAATTGCAGTATCCAGGGAAAATGTCCCTTAAGTATTCGTTTTAAATGGACTCCAAGAAGTACTGTGCCATTTAGGCCGTCGCCCGAGTGTTGCAGTGTTTAGAACATTTGCATTGAATATCTTCTCCTTTATTTCTTATGAAAACCATTGTTGTTTATCAGTCAGTAAACAGCAATAAGCATACCACCTTTAAAGATTTCTTGATCAGTGGCTCTTCCATCAATGAAACATACAATAACGTACATATCAATAATACAATATTTAACCTACTTTATCCTACTTCAGATGATTGTTTGTACATATATAAATATAAACAATAAAATGTCTTTCTTTGTTTGTTAGTATGGGAATTAACGTTGCAGCTATCGAAGAAAAAAATTACATAACCTGCATACACGGGTTATGCATCTTTTCTGCAACAGCTGCAACATATTAATTCCCATACTAACTAAAGAAAGCATTTTATTGTTTAAAATAATATTGTAGCCTAGTACTTCAAATTAAAAAAAAAATCCATTCGAATAGATACAGTTCGTGTTGTGATTTTATACTTGTACATGTACCTCAAAATAGTGGTAAGTTTATTCTCATAAATAGTAATTAGTAAATTTGCTTTATAACCACAAATAGCACACTAAAATACTACTTTAATTGGGAGCTTAATTTCGACATTTATAAAATTCTGGTTAAAAGAACCCTAGTTCTCTTCACTTCTCTTGATCATTCCTTTAATACCTATTATAAAATAAAATCAAGGAAACAAATAAAGTTTGGAATTGACAGAATTCTCTCTTATTGAGTTGAACAAAATCCTGCAGGAACAATTATTCAAGAAATTCATATAATATTTCTTAGTTCCTAGTCTCGTGAGAGATTATATATTGTGCATAGAGATCGACAGAATGTCTTTTCTCTACATGAAAGTGTACCTTACAAAAATTCGTCAGAATGTCAGTTGATTTCTGTAAATCAAATCGTGGCTAGGATTATTCGTTACACCCAGTTGTAATCTGAAATCTATTATGGTCAGTAATATGATTTTCTTTTCAGCCATGGTACAAGGTGTGCTGGTGAAGTTTCTGCTGCCAGAGACAATAATATATGTGGAGTCGGCGTAGCCTATAACTCGCGCGTAGCAGGTAGGTTTATAAGTGACTGCATGGAAAATTTGACTTGTTTTGGTAAAAATTCAGATGCTGAATCCATGCAAGATGCAAAATTAAAATGCAATCTCTTCAAACTAGGGACATACTTAGTATATAGGTCCTTTGCATGATGTAAAAGTCCATTTCATGTAACATTCTTTGAAAAAAAAATTGAACCCATGATACAGTATTATGCAACAAGCACTTTAGATATGAATCGAACATTTCGATTAAAGTTAAAAAAAATTATTTTCAATACAAATGCAAGGAAGAACTTACGTAATATTATTTGATTAAATGAAAACTTAATAAAGAACAACAAAATAAAGGAAAAATCGTATATGAATCGGGTGCAAATAAAAGTGAAAGTTGGTTACAAATTCATTTCAGTATGTCTTAAAGCTTTAAATGTATAATTTCTCTCTTTGGCAATGACGCGCTTTGTAAGCTCTTTCCAAAAGTGAAGAGACATCGCAATGATTGAAATGGAAAAACAAGCGATTGATATGATGGATTAATTTAATTTCGCTGTCTTTGCATGTAGTTCAATTTCCCCCAGGAATATCGATTTTTTTCGGGAAATATCGTACGAATTCTGTTTTCCAATGATAAATTTCTTCACTTTTCATTCCTTTCATTTCAAAAAATAATGTCATCTTGGCGTGACAGTGTCATATTTAACTCTTTAAGACAACAGATTAGTTGTTGGGAAATTGTTTTAAGTATCCTTTGACAATATTTGAAAATATATTTTGATGGTATTTAGACAGCAGTTATGTGATTTATAGGATTATTGGCTTGTTTATGAATTATTCAGAGGTTCTAGGAGGAAATGAAGAATATTTGCGCATATGTTTTTTCGTGAATGTTAGTGATATCAAAATAAAGATACAGAAACGATCTTAATACTGTAAATAAAAACAATATATTTTCCAAATGGTATTATTTCACTGTCGATTATATATCAAATTAAACATTAGTTATTTATATCATATAAACGGTATTCAATCATATTTTCATAAACAGCGACTAAAACGAAACAAAAATTGTTCCAAAAATGTTTTTAGTTGTTAATGAATGCTCAAAATGATGTGAATTACACAGAAAATTATATATTTTATTTTTGATCTTGAGAACTACATACAAATGTAAATGATTCTGAAAAGGAAGTAATTATAATTATTCATGACATTTTTTTAAATATATTTCCGATTTTTTGTTACATGAAAAATGAAACGTAAATAAGCAGTGACTAATTTGTCTTTTAGGTCTACGAATGTTAGATCAGCCTTTTATGACTGATCTTATAGAAGCTAACGCCATGGGTCATATGCCCAATGACATTGACATTTACAGCGCCAGTTGGGGGCCAACGGATGATGGCAAAACTGTTGACGGACCTCGAAATATGACCATGAGAGCCATTGTGAAAGGCGTAAACGAGGTATGATATTTAATATAGAAGATACTAGTAAAACACAAAACAACAAACATTGCCTTGTTATGTTTAATGATAACTTTGTTCAGATAAAGTCCCCCAAATTAAAATAATCAAATACCTTTAAAATGTAATTACTACTATTTATTAATGTTTTCAATTTTGTTAACATTGATACTGAATGTGTACATTTTGAAAATTTAAATTTGGGACACCGTTAGCATGCAGAAATTGTAAATACATGTAATTATATACCAAGTTCGGAAGTCTTAAAAAAATAGTCTTAGAAATGAAGAATATCCTTGCAGGGAAGACGTGGATTGGGTAACATTTATGTATGGGCTTCCGGTGACGGGGGAGCAGACGACGATTGTAACTGCGATGGGTATGCCGCTAGTATGTGGACAATTTCTATCAACTCCGCCACCAACGACGGACAGACAGCCGGATACGATGAATCTTGTTCTTCTACTCTCGCCTCTACATTCAGTAATGGCAAAAGCACTTTAAGAGATGCTGGAGTGGTAAGACCGCTTTAATTTCAAATGTTGTGTTTGTTAACAGTGGTAACTTGGGTACTCCTGGAAATCTTAGCATTTCGTTTTTAATTAGCTTTTGTGGTTTTCTGCTTAAATAAGCGTGTTGTCTTGTTTCTTCAGGCTACAACTGATTTGTATAACAACTGTACCACAACTCACTCGGGAACGTCTGCAGCCGCACCGGAAGCCGCTGGTGTTTTTGCACTAGCGCTTGAAGCAAAGTAAGTCGTACATCAAAAGACTATATTGCAAGGATTTGTCACAACAATATACGCAGAGGAAACACTGCAAGTGACAAATGATTCACATGAAAATGAAAGGTAACCTATCACTGAAGCTGTTGATATCTCTTCAGAAAACAAATGGCCTGTGTGGGCTTAAATCGATCTCCGAGTCTGCACGGGGAACTGTCGTCTGGTTGCAAAATCGACCACTTCTAAGTCCAGAAATTTGACGTTATATAAACATACTTGAAATGAGAATTGTCAATATATGTTCTGCTGATGAAGTGAGAATTGTTGATTCGTGTTCTTCTCATGACCCCTTAACATTATCTGCAAATTAATGCTGCTTAAGATGAAGATTTACTTATTTATCTCAAACGACCATTAAAATATGACAGAAATGAAAAGGATTTTCGCGGACATTCCATATCCTCTTAATATTTCTAATGATAACGAAACAAATCGAGATATTCTTACTTCGTATGGATTTTCCCATTCTCTGTTCTTGGGCAGAAAACAAACAATTGTAGCTCATAATATGCTTAATTTAAAAGAAAGTATATCAGGCGAAGTTGGAATTTCAAATTATTGCAAAATAAAACACACAAGAAAATTGAATAGTTCTAGAGAAACGGTTAAACCATTAACCAAGATATATAAAGGCAGTTGCAAACTGTAGACCTAAAATTTTATCCAAATTAATGTTTTTTTCCCATAGAAACTGGCATAAGGAAACCTCCATTAAAATGCAGCCTAAACACATTTTCTTGACAGTTTATAAAGTGTTAAAGAAGTCTGCGAAGTATTCTACTTGCAAGAACAGTTTTATGGATGATGTTATTGCTATTTCATGTTATGTGATGTTATTTCTATTTAACCATCTAGTCCCAAACTGACCTGGAGAGACATGCAGCACCTGACAGTATTAACCTCCAAGAGAAACAGCCTGTTTGACCCTTTTCTGAAGCACCACTGGAAGTACAACGGAGCGGGACTGGAGTTCAATCACTTGTTTGGTTATGGAGTTTTAGACGCTGGTGGTATGGTGGATTTGGCACAAAAATGGAAACCGCTTCCAGAACGATTCCACTGCACAGCAGGGAGCGTCAAGAGAGAAGTGTAATTTTCTTCTTGACTTTTTTTTATTAAAACATTCGGGCATTTATATCTTATTTTCCCGCCCAAACTATTGCAACATCAGTAAAATGGTCTTTTATTCAATGTTTTAGACATGACATATTGTTTTAGAAAAGTGGGAAATCTATTATAGGAAATTTGGAACAGAGCAACCCATTGAGTTAAAAATAGACACAGACGCTTGCAAGGGAAGTGACAATGAAGTAAACTACCTGGAGCATGTGCAAGTCTTCGTCACACTGAAAGCATCTTACAGAGGAAATGTCGTTATGTTTGTGACGTCACCAATGAACACAACGTAAGTTTTCTTTTCAAAGTAACATATTAAGTTCTTTTTTTTAAAGTTTTGCTTTCTACCTACCTACCTGCCTAGTCCTTGTTGCATCCGGAGGCACAAAGGGCAAGGACTTGGGATTTCCATTCTGCTTTCTAATTCACCATAAATGAAGAAAATGCAAACATTTGGAATTTAGTTCGGAATTATTACCACAGCTGTTGAAAAACCAGGTGTTGTGAATTTAATTTTGCGTGGGTGTGAGGAAAAAGGTTCTCCTGGAATTAAATTTTCTAAGAATACTTCTTTTTAAAGCCTCAATACAATATTGTTTTAGAATATCACTATAATAGGAACTACCAATAACGCGTAAACCTTTCATTTCTTTCCAGATAAAAAAAATATCACAATTTAATTAAAACTAGATCTTTTGATCCCCTCATGTGAGCAGATTTGATCCCCTCATGTGAGCAGATCAAAGGATCAAATTTTAAAGTAGAATTTCTTTCTCAAATGTCACCAAATGTCAATTTTCGTAGGTGAAAATTAGCTTTAAACCACATAATTATATCAGCGCTCTTATTATTTGAAGAAATTGTATGAAGAAATTATATGAAAAAAAATCACAGGGGTCTCAGAGACAGAGGCATTTATAATTCTAATACTGAATTCTAGCGCCATTATGTCACAAGAAATGTCACTTGTAACTCACGAGCAATCGGTGGTTAAAACGGGAAGAAAACACAATTAGAATGCTGTGCAAGCAGAATCAATATCTAGAATTTTCAGTCTAATAACCCTCGAGACACTGTGGTATCGTTAATAATTGATAGTTCGAAGCTACAACGACGTTTTGTACACAGTTTCTTCTGCCCTCCTCTGGAATTAGCTAACGGAGCTTTTACGAAGCCCCTGCACGAAACGGCGTCATCAAGTGGGCGACAGTTGCCATTTCTGTGGCAGAAATAATTGGGAATTATGATAGAGAAATAACAATAAGAAACATTTTTGTTTCGTTTTACTCACAAAGTAGGGCAAAATATTAGACCAAGGAAAATATACATATATGGGGTCAAGGCAACTAAAATAATAATGTCTAAAAGGAAGATTCCTCATCTATTTTGTTTTAATTTGTAATGTTAGATTTAGTGTAATGAAGAAGGTTGGAGAATTTTTTGTAATGGCAAAGTCAATACTTTTTTCTAGAAAAATCAAAATATATTTTGTTTGTAAAGCTACATGTATTTTGACAGTGGGATCATGATACATGTACCAGTAGATTATGGTGATCTCGTTTCGACATCCAAGAAAGCATTATCTTAAGAATGGCGGGAAACTAGACTTCTTGGATTTTTTTTTCAATAACTGGAATTAAAACCCTCTCTTTAAACAAATAATGAAGCATTTTGACATGTTATGTTTTCAAAAGACTTTCAAAATTACAAAAACATTTAATATACAATGTGAATAGAAAACAGGGGGGTTATTGGGCAAATCAATATATGCTTATTTTGATGGGTTAAGCAAGAGAAGCACACTAAAAATGGCCGAGACATGAGAACACTTCATCCTTAATGAAGTCTTCTTGAAAAACAATTCTACAAAATGTCATGTTTTCTTACAGTTAACAATTCTACAAAATGACCAATGACATGTTTTGTGGCAGAAAACAATTCTACAAAATGACCAATGACATATTTTGTTACAGTTAACGATTCCTCAAAATGACCAATGACATTTTTTGTTACAGTTAATACTGTAAACGTGGAAATTTTGACGACGTGCTTATTTTGACTATATTGACGATTTTTCTTTTCTCGTCAAAATTTCCACTCGTCAAACTTCATATCATATATATAGCGTCACAACAGACATTGACCGTTGTACAACTTTACCGCTTAATTTTCTCGGCTTCCCCCATTAAAACTAGATTAAAATTACTGTTTAATTTTCTTGTAAATAGTTATGAAAACATATAATCACAGTTTAAAAACCATTGAGTATGTCATATACTATTATTACCCATGGTCACATTATTCTAACTTTGCGTAATTATCACGCCGTGTTTGACCTACTTTGTCACCTCAGGCAATCGGTCTCGTATAATGAAAACAAAGACTAGTACAAAAGAGCAATTAATTCAATCAAATCTTATACACTGTAGATGGTTTTTACAAGCAAAATTAAATTTTATTGATGAGAACGCTTGTAAATGAGTTCCCGAGGAAGTCGCGGTCATTGCTTAAAACATCGTGAACTCGCACAGAGCGGCTTAATCGTAGACGTTCTGAAGTCAACTAAGCCAATGAATCAATCAAGCTTTTGGTCCTCTAGCTTCTGGCGAACTTACTCTGAGTACTAGTTTTGAAACTGTTTGTTTTTTTAGGAGTTCTTTGTATTCATTTTTGTTTTAATCTTGTGAAATCAAAGATATACATAACTCTTGATTCAATATTTCGTCAAAATTAACACTCGTCAATTTTCGTAAACAAAAAATCGTCAATTTTTCAACTCGTCAAAATAACAACGTTTACAGTAATTATACAAGATGACCAATGACATGTTTTGTTGCAGAAAACAATTCTACAAAATGACCAATGACATATTTTGTTACAGAACTATGGTGCTGAGTCAGCGGCCAAATGACGATGACCACAAGAATGGTTTTACTCGATGGCCATTCATGACGACCCATACGTGGGCGGAGAACCCGCGAGGTCTTTGGAAACTACAGATCTCGATGGCCCCCGGAAAGAACAATGCCATGGATACAGGGACCTTCTTTGAGTGGACTTTGATTCTACACGGCACAAAGGAAGCACCGTACGACAAACAAGTCGAGGATGAGGAAAAGCATGTCAAACTTTACAAAGTTAAAAGGATTCATGCCGCCATGAAAAAGGCATAAAAATCAATCTAGATGTTCTTTAGAGCCGTTGTTAGTAAAAAATAAAAGAGAGAGAATATCATATGAAATTCAAAAATAAAATAAATAGCACTGCTCTAAATATATTATGTGCAAACTGAAACTATTCGAATTTGTTGTGCTTAAAAATAAATCCCCAATTTCATAGGTGATCTTGTCGTAAATAAAGGGCACACTTTTTCCACCTTTTTGGTTATAGTGCAGTCGAATTCCCTTTAAAAGTAAACTTGAAAACACAAGCCAGTATTGTTGATATTGAAAGAAATTGTATATTCGCATCGTCCATCATTTTGTCAGGAGTTAGAACAGAATAAGTTATTAAAGGAATTTTGTTGTTATTAATTGTTGTTAATGTTGTTGTTAACAAAGTCTGGCATAATTTTTTTTTCATTTTAATGGTTAATTCAAATATCAAAATATTTTTCACATTAAATCCATTCTTACGCATGCAGTATTAATTTTTGATTCGAATTTTGTTCCCTGAATGGGAAACTTAAGGACCTTTTGAATTCTTTAAGAAAACAATTGTTTTGCAATAATGAAAGGTCAATTGCGGATCAATGAAGAATGAAATATTCCTGTCAAATTATTTTGATGATATATAAATACTACAAGATCGACAAAACATTGGTTTACATACATTTGCTGTATACATTTTGTTGTTCTACAACTTTTAAAACAGTTATTTGCCAAATAGAAAAAATAAAATAAAATTCAATGCACTAACATCTTTAAAATTACCATTCACATGAATGTTCATTCAGCCAAATTCTATGTATGCAATTCGATGATTTTATAATTTGATTTTTATGCAAATAGACTCCAGAAAAAAATTTGTAAATTTATTTTTCATAAATATTTAAGGTGACACGATGATAAATCAAAGTGAAAGATTGGCATTATCTCAATATTTGAAAATTATCTAATAAATATAATCTTTCTAAACATTCAAGTCTTTTTCTTTTCTCAGAGTACTGTTTTATGAAGTAATAAATTACCATTATTCATATCACTATGTAGTATTATATATATATATATATATAATTCCATTTACGGCCTTTGTATGATTAGAATATTAGGGAAACGGAAATGAAGACAATAACTTTTTAGGAAGAAATATCTTTATTGAAAAGTTTATTCATATCACAGATACTAGCACCTCCAAAGTATGAATATAACACAGATACTATCATTATTTATCCTCCAGCTTCTGTCGAAATAGATAAACTGACAGAACACGACATATTCGGTCAATGACCTAGCATGGCTTTGGGCATCTATTCTGTGATTAAAAACTGTCAGATTTGTCTTAATCCCCATTTCTTATTAGTGACAATTAAGGAGGGAAGGAAGAAAGATTGCTGCAGGATAAACACGCATTCATGAAATTTGTGATGGAGACGAACCAAGAGGATTTGAAAAGTTGCAATCTTCTATTTCTGGCTCACTAAATATCACAGATTTCATATCAGTTACCATACTGTGAAAATACATAGAATACAGTATATAAATGCTTGATAAAACGTATCAAATATTTTACATAAAAAGTACTAAAGAAATTTTAGAGCTTTACATGAACAAAGTCTCACATTGACATAACATTTGTAAGGATATATCTGGATTATATCTGTTATACGAAAGTCAATATATATATATATATATATATATATATATATATATATATATATATATATATATATATATATATATATATATATATCAACCTTACTTTATACAAATACATAGCAAGTCTGTATAAAATCGACAGATAAAAACAATTATAAAGCTTCAGTAACAATAATACATCAAACTGTACGACAGAACAGAACACGAAAAATAAAGTAAAGAAATTACTTCGAATAAATATACATCTATATATTTACCGGTTTTTGGGTGGGGAATTAACTTTCAAATGGAAATTCCCAACTACCAGTAATTGATTATGAAATTGAGATAGCCATTACGCCACGCATATTTCACAACTTTGTTCAAAATAACTATCAATTAGTTGACTGTAACATTTTCATGAAAGCCAAAAAAAAAAAAACCCTAATCATAAAATAGTTTTGTTTGCTTGGTCCTCGCTCTGCTTGTGTCACGAAAAAACTAATCTTTAGAGGATATGCTAATAAAATGGAGCGAGGACCCACACATATGAAGACATTTTGTCACAGTACGAGTTCGAGATAACGAGGTTTAACTGTATATAAATTTGTTAATTTTGCTGATTTTGTTATGTATTCTATTTTACATTTTCGATCAGATGTTACTTCCTGAATAGATTTTCGCAGTGATATTAATAATTTATATGTTTACGTAAACTTGTTTATCAAAGAAAATTTCGTTGCATAAGTCTACTTGTCTTCCCATTAACATACAGTATTTCTCAAATTATTCCCCAATGCTCTTTCCTCTTACAAAACAGAATTTAATGTGTATACATTTCTATATAATGCAAATAATGCTTTACAAACAAATAATGGAAAAACAAAACAAATCAAAAATGAATAAATATCATTTAATATATCTGATACCCGATTTGTGTAAATATATAAGTTAGGTTCACGTGTACACATACAAGCAAAAGGACAAACATGCGAGTTCTTGCTCATGAAAAGGTTAGAAACTGACAAGTAAGGGGTTCATAGCCCGATAGGACTGGAGAGAGTTTTTAGATGATATCACACACATGTCAGAATATTATTGTCCGTTGTCGGAGACGTCATAAAGCCAATACACCAAAATGATCAACCAAACAAACAGAAAAAAATAATGATATTGCCATATGTAATTTGTACACGACAGTTATAGCCTTGGAGTGGAGATAATTAATGACAGTTAATAGATATAACAATGTTTAAAAAAATTGAGCATAACAAATTTCTTACTTACATGCATACGAAATTCGTCATAAAAATAAGGAGAAATAAATACCTGAACAAGAGTACATGTACTTTTGAATTCCTTCACCATCAGAAATCAGATAAATACAAGAATGGCTAAGAAGTTTATTAAAAACACATCAAGGTACCAAAAAGGACTGAAGACTGGTTTGAGGTTTCCACGAACTAGCTTAAATTGCAGATTTATTTTAACTGTGGAGCAATTAGTTGTCACCCAAGATGGCTAAAAGCACATTTTTACTATCGCCAGGGAAATCTGCTTTTAACATTGCCGACAAAGATTTTTGATTTTGTTGCTGAAATTTAACTTTGATGTCCCGCAAGTCAATCTAAAAAATGAAAAACAAAAAAGATTTTGAATAGATGATTCGACTGGTTTCATAGTTAACAAGCTGTTCGAAGTACTTCATTAGGATTGTCTTACCTCTGATCTTGAAACAATTATTCGTACGATGTTGTCTTCGTTTGTTCCAAGACCACCAAATGATGTAAACAATTTCTCCGCATAGAATTTGACTGGATCCTCGATTGCCGAGACTAAGAAAGAATCAAGATTTTCACGGAAAGCAACAGATTTGCATTAATCATCAAATGATAATATAGATTCATTGCAAACCATTTGATGGGTCTTGTTTAAATAAACTTTTTAAATAAATTTATTCAAAATAAAAGTTATCGTTCTTGTAAACAACGTTTCAATATTTAAAAGTTAAAAATATTTTGAAGAAATGTCAACATTACCCAAAGAAATATACGCATCTTCTGTTTCCCCCACTACGGTATCAGCTATAGACTGGTAAATGTCACTACCCGTCAACTGAAACAATAGCCAAGTTCTTTAGCTCTCAGTTTTAAGGAGGCTGGGGGGTCAACAAATTAACCACCAGATTTAACTTAATTTTTTAGATATGATATCTTAAGCTGTCAACTATCATTTGGCAAAGAAAAATTTCAAAAATTTTAGTTTTAAAATTTGATCATTTTCTATATCTTCATATGGAGCTCTTCTTCTAAAGGAGATCAATATAGTCTAAAAATGGCCACAACCCCCCAGCCTCTTTAAGGAAGGAAAATCGAAATGAATTAAAGAAAACCACTTTAGTTTTGACGGGAAAAAAAACTAAATTTGATGTCTCACTTTTTGGAATTCTGAGAATGTCAGTTTCACTTGGGCATGGTTTTTCTTCAGAACAACATCTCGGAAAGGTTTGTCAACAACATCTACCCTGCCGTTCTGGGAAAAAAAAAATCATTTGCAAATTCACCAATGGTCATTTCTAAACGTATTGTTAAATTGTACGTTCATTGTACATTAAATTACGTTAAAATCGAAAATGAATTTATAAATATTGCAACACATTGATTCTTGTCTACTTGGTCTATTATAAGCCTGAACTCCAGTAGATAAATAATAATTACTCTTGAGAGATACGGATTGACCAAACAAAGTAACATTCCAATACCTTATTCATTTTCTCCGCATCTTTCTTGGCCGTTTGCCCATTGACTTCTGAATCTTGTTCTCTTTCGCCCTGACAAAGTAGTACTACAAAATCGGCTAAATCCGGATCAACATGAGCTGTGAGTTCCTGGACTAAATCTTTTTTATACTCTAGGAGATAATTTAGTTCCATGTACATTTTTGAAAAATTCAAACCTTCAATGCACACCTCGAGCAAAATAGCGTTAACAATTCTTACCTTTTTTGAAAATTTCTTTTATTTCCTTCATTTCCTGTTTCAAACAAAAATGCAAAATACGTTCAGTGTTATCATATAGATATCAAATAGTAAAGAGATGCTTGCACTTACTAGTGTGAAAAATATGAAGATAACAAATAGTGATGAATTTCCTAAATCCTGTAGACAAATCGTAAACAGGCCAAAACTACGAACCCCTGGGGACACCCAGAGGTGGGATTCGATCCCAGGATCACGAAGCAGTATTACACTTAAGTCAAAATTTCATTCATAAAATAGATATCATAACTTACACTTAACTTAAAACTAACAATATGAAATGAATGGATAGGAATTTTAGCAATATATTAAATTTTATGTTTTCTCTAAAAAAAAACAAACCCAAACCCCCCCCCCCCCCAAAACTTTAGGATAACATGCAAATTTTGATTTAAATTTACATCTGCTTCAAGATCCTAAAGCCAGGTGATTAAGAGGATACCCTGTCAACTGGTCACACACGCTGTGAGCCTTCTGTATTGATCAGGAATAGGGAGTAAGTCGTAGTCAAAATTGTATAAAAACAATGGCTTAACAATTGGTAGGAAGCAAGTCAGTCTGGATACATGTATGACCTAAAAACGGGTTGTATTTGCAAAAGAGGTCATTATAACGACCAGAGAATTTACGAAATTATGACTTTAAACTAGATCGTATTGAGACCTGTAACGCCAATGTATTTGTAAGTAGCCTGTCCCGGTAAAAATTGATGATATTCAGAACATGCTCTTGTGTACCGAATCAGTTAGGATTCAAACACCGTATGCAGTTGATAGTGGAATATTACTTCATAATGAGGGGAGTTGACATTGAAAAAAAAATGCAGAAATCCCGTTTGTAATATAGTTAATTGCTGGTCTACCGTTAAAGTCTCAAGTCAGTAAAACACACCCCCCCCCCCAAAAAAAAAAAATAAAAATAAAAAAAATTAGCAAATTTTTGCGATGTCTTTAATTTCAAGTTCACTGGGATTTACCGATATTTGAATAAAAAATAACTATTGTTATTTGACTAAAATTTCGTCGATATATCTAAATATTCGAATTGAAGACCACGGCAAGAATTTTCTTCCTCGCATGCGAAAGTGTTTGAACAACTTCTGCTTCATAAGAATATCGAAGCAGGTCGGCTAATACAGGAGCACAAATAATGCCCACCAAAAATTCCAATAGATTGTACCTGGTCGCCAAAGACTACATAGGTATTGTTAGTCAGGGACTCCAACTATTTGTTTTACTATCACTTCGTACTTACGCGTAAAACAAAATAATTTTGCGACAAATCATAAGATATGAAAGTCTTCAAGTTCCATTTTTATTGAAGTAGCAATTGTCTACGTCAGTACGATGTCAAAAAGTCTGGTCTTTACCTTCTTGAATGGTTGTATACAAATTGGGAAGTCATACGTTTTAACGGTATTGATTTTGGAAAATATTTGCAATTTTTAATTTTCCCTTTCAAAATGTAAAATTCTTTAAAAACAACCTTTCAACTTTAAATACTTTTAATATTCCAGACAATGGAAATGAGTTTGAATTACCGTGTACCTATACTGGATTCCAAAACTTAATAAAACTCCTTACAAACAAAGGTAAATTGCATGGTTCAGTAAATGTTCAACCAAGCCCCTGTCCTTACTTCTCACCAAAATACCAACTGCTGTGAAGGAGAAACTTCAGACGCGTTGTGCCCCAACCTTTTCAAGAAGTGGTGTAAATCAATTGTGGTTTCTAAAAATCTCGAAAGAACTTATAGAAAATTTAAAATCTCAAAACTTTTTAAACATCAATAGCATCAATCACATGACTTATCTACGTTTTATACCACCATTTTCTCGCGACAAATTAAAGAGTAAGCTTTTTGACATCATAGACAATAGCTTCCTTAATAAAAATGGAACTCATAAATTTTCATATCTTGCGATTGGTCATCTACAAATATACTTTGTTAAACATCATTCTGGTTCTACATACAAGTACTCTAAAGTTGATATTAGAAAGAAGCTGGAGTTCCTCATTGATAACATCTATGTAGTCTCTGAAGACCATATTTTTCAACAATCTGTTGGAATCCAAATGGGCACTAACTTTCATTAGCCGACCTGCTTTTATATTCCTATGAAGCAGAATTTAGCTTTAAAAAATCCACATGGGAAGAAAACACTTGCTGTTGCTGTAAACTCGACAATCAGTTTTTATAAATTAAGAATAGTTACTTCCATTCATTTGTTGACTCAACTCCCTGTGAACTTGAAATATTATAGTCTGTCACATCTGTTTCATATTTGGATGCTATACTGACTACAGTAGTTTATATTACGGGTTTGGTTGAACATTTACTGGACCCTGTTATTTTTGTTTGTAAGGATTTTTATAAAGTTTTTGAATCCAGTCAAGGTACGGCATATCAAATTCACTTCCGTTGGCCGAATGTTAAAAGTGTTTAAAACCAGAACTTGATTTTGAAAAATGTCATCTTTTGAAAGAGAACTGCGAGTGTAAAGTTGGATTACCAGATGTGGAATTAAAACCAATTTCTTCTAAAATGCAGTAGTAGTATTGAGCCTTAAAAATAAAGACTCTTTGTCAGCTGGAACCATAACATATTTGGTCCTTCTAATTCTTTTATCATTTACAGTCCACTGAAAACGGAATAGATCGTTCGTATGACTACTTGCTGCCAGTGTATGACACCTATACTTAAGCATGTAAGAGTTGTCCATGTTGTTATAATTCTGTTCGTTATGCCATTTCGCAGAAGTGATTATAATTTTTCTTGTAAACTTCTCTCACTTCTCTAAAACTGAATGGCTTCCAGTTGCTCTTGTAATGAAATGCTCAATCGATTCTGCTGTTTAAGTATACGTATTTGGAGCTTGTACACTGCATGCACTAAAACTGTCTACTTATAATTGTCCTTAGAGAGTACAATAAAATGTCACTAATTTATTATTTTCATTGTATTTCCCATTATATCTATCAGAAGGAATAGTTCAAACTTTTATTTTTATGATGTCCTTTTCAAAAGTTTGTTTAGATTTATTTACCTACGAAATTGGCTTTAATGGTATGTTACCTTTGCATCCCTTGTGGAGAGAATCCCAACAAGAATTGGATCAGAAAGACCAAGTCCGTCCAGAGCTTCTTTAAGACAATATGCGTCATATTCTGATGGCGTCATCATTAAACCTGTTATTACTTCATCGTGATCCACACTAAGTTTTTCTTTCAGTTTAGCTTCCAATGTGTACTGTTGTGAAAGAAAAACAAAATTTAAGCAACAATATATTACTCCAATCAAGAGTTTCGAGTTCTTATCCACTCAAGATTGCCTAGTGACCTTGACATTTGAGTTATGACCATGACATACCTTTACGTTATGGGCAGCGACATACTTGTACTAAATCCATTTGAATGATTGAGAGTTATGATTTGGACACAATTTTGTGGTATTCATGTCAAACCCATTAGATATCCTCATATGTAATAATACAGACATGCATTAAATGTCATTGAATTTCAAACTTATTACTACAATGAATCCAGTAAACTGTTTATGTTTTTAAAATTATAAATCAAATTTGTATTTCTGAATCACGCAATTTTAACACTTGTACATATGTATACATTGAAATCAATGGAGATTTTCACCTTCTTGTATTTAGTGGACCATTTATTTTTCATGATCTGTCGTTGACCATTACTCCGGGTAGTGAGGACGTCTATTATATCCTCTTCATCAAGGGGCGTCTCTAACAAAGCGTCATGCAATCGTTCACAGTCTGTGGAAGGGTTGAAATTATTGGCTGGTTTGATTGTACCACTTATGTTTTTCTTCTGTCTTTCATCTTCTTTGCGCTTTTCTTTTTCTATGTGTTTGTGTTTTTCCTCCTCTCTTCTTTGTATTGACGTATCGGCGGCTATGCGCATGCTCGACTGTGCAAGTGGGTTGTGTTTGTGTTTCTGCTCAGCCCCTTTGGAGGAGGGTTCCACTCTTTTGATTGGAGGTTTGGTTTGTTGAGGTACAGGATTTGCTCCTCTCCATTTTTTCTGTGTAGTTGTCTGAATTATAAATTGGAAACAGTTTATCAAAGTTTTCGTCAGACATTTATAAACAAATGAAATTAAAATCAATTTTTCAATTTTGAATATCAATGTGACTAGCCATGGTACTGTTGTTTAAACAATGGCATTAGGTTAGATAGGGAAAGAAATAGACTTTAAGAAAAGCAAGGGGGTCAATTAAAGCCATTAAGAAAGTATAAGGGGAAAAGGTTAGATTAAATGTTGACTGCAAAGAGTACATTTGGAATTGTGTTATGTAAAGGAGCCCTATTAGTATATAGTTGTAGAAATATTTACTGATTGACTGGGTCGCCCGCATGGCGCAGTGGTAGAGCGTCTGCTCTAGAGTCGCGGAGTAAGGAGTTGATCCTTACGTCGCGGGTTCGAATCCCACTGTGAGACGTGGAGATCGGTCCTTCGGATGAGACCATATAAACCGAGGTCCCGTGTCGCAGTAGGTGCTGGCACGAAAATGATCCCTCTCTGCTCAATGGCCCTAAGTGCCTAGCATAGGTAAAAAATTTGCAGCTCTACACCGGCAAGTGATGGCGTCTCCATATGAGTGAAAAATTCTCGAGAGGGACGTTAAACAACAAATAAACTGATTGACTGGCCACAATAATATAAAAAAAAAAAAGAACCAGAAAAGTATATATGTGTTTTCAATACAATGAATAGTAATTATAAATGTGTCCCAAATTATGTGTATCATACGGCCAAAACAAATGAAAATGCATCTATAACCGTAGAAATTGAGAGTATCGTGTAATTATATAGAACGTTGATTCTAAGAATCTTTCTACGATAGCATTATGATATCATTTTCACTTACGATCAACAAGGGAATGTTTCCAGGTACTTTAGTACCCATGATGTAGAATATCAGTATATAAAATACGTTTGCTCAGAATCGGCGGATATTCAGTATTTTAATTGGTTATTGTATCATGCAAAATATGAGTGACTTAGCTTAACAAGTCTTACGTGGAGAAAACATAACTGTTTTACTTTATAAATCAGTCGTTCAAGTGGAATTTTGTGAAATATGATCGTGTAAATTTTTCAGTTTGAAAGAACAAAGAAACTTCGTCTTCAAAATCCGTTGACATCCACGGTTGTCTACCAAGAGAGATATGTTTAGGATATACTGCTATAAGAAGGAAACCGAAGCCAGATAGTACTAGTAAGCCTGTATCAAAACACACCTGAAGTGTTTTTAAACCATCATTGGACGATCGACGTATCACAACATCTGGCAATCTTACCCTTTTGTCCACATGCTTTCAAAGAATGCAAAAAGAAACATAAAAAGAAATTATGTTTATAAATGAATTTGATTTTTGAGAATTCATGAGGACATGAACTACCATACTAAAAATGCAGGCGTGAAGCGTTGTAGTTCATGTACCTCAGGAATTCTCGAAAATTAAATTCTTATCTTATATTTACATTATTTTTCTGATGACTTGTCACATGTTTTTGTCATTCAACGATCATTTTTGAGAGGAAAAGAGTTTACACTATTTTTTGACTTCAGATACGTCACAATGGAAATATTCTTACTCATCCCACGGTAGTTCATGTGAACTTTTTCAAATTTGCAAAGAATCTTAAGGAAAAATATTTGGAAATGTTAATATATATGGATTACATACCGTATCTCATAACATTTTCGCAACACATTATTTTGGCGAGAAAGTTATTTGGTATTTATACGCGAGACAAAATTTCCATGAGTTTTGGTTAATTTTTAGTAATAGCAGAATGAAATTTTTGCGAGAAAGCTTGTCTCGTGTTATTACGCAAAAAAAGTTATCGCAAATAAAAAGTGATCGACAATAGTTGAAAGTAGAGATTAAGAAATATTCTTATTATAATTAATAATCATAATTATCATAATTAATATGGTTTCTTTAATACTCTTTATGATAAAAAGATAATTTTTTAGATTAAATACCATAGAGTTGTATCTTCTGTAGGCCCCAGTCACACATTCCCGATTCAAGCTAAGATCATCCAATTTTCATAATAAATCGGTAAGAATTGGCCGTGGCAAACTTTCATTCTAGGCACCGTTACGATTTGGTGGCATTATGTAAATAAATATCACGTTTCATATCGACTTCCGTACAAACTTATTCTGTAACATGACATTCTTCAAAGGATAAAGTATGATCACTTATTTAGGGCGATTTCACAATGGACTTTGACGATTTTACTATGTTTATTTACGATTTTACTACGTTTGATCACAAATTGAAGACGACAAATAAATCAGTGAACCGATCCTTGCTCTCTTTCACACTTAACCGAAATATCTTTCCAGGCTTTCCAGGCTTTTTAAAAATAATTTTGATATTTGACGTGCCGAGAAAACGTTCAATAAAAAAGCCTGGAAAACGTCAGATATTTCGGACTAAGTTAACATATGATTTACAAGGTTGCAGACATGCCAAAGAAAAGGGCTCACCGAACCCCATCTTCCCGGGCCAAGGAGAGTCAAAGCAAAATGAATCTCAATGAAAATTACCGGGAAGAAGACGTAGTAGATAATACTTAGGTCTTATTTTTTCCATTTCTGTGCCTCATCAGAAAAAAGATCTGAATACTATCTATTACGTCTTCAGCTGAACAATGAAGCAACTTCAAAAAATAATGAGAGTTGTATTATAAAGAACAAAAAAAAAAGACAAGGCGGATTGGTTGAAGTCTCGTCTTTCCTTTAGGTTCAAAGGATTATAAAGTCACTGTGAAAAAGACTTCTTAATAACTACAAACCACGTCCACTGAAGTTCACCAACGTCTACTAAAACGGTGTTGTTACGACAAATCACGATTCAGCAACGAATAAACTACCGTAGAAAACTGCGAGTTTTATCAATGCTGTCGATGTCACGATCACTCAGGTTTGTTTTGAGCAGCATCAACACAATCGTGAAGGTTGTCGAATTGGATCGGCTTTTGCCGATCAGTCAGGGTAAGCCTTCTATTCATCACTTCTACGTTCTACCACGATGAAGTACGTTAGGTCAAATAGTGACTGGTAAATCGGGACAGTGTGACTGAGGCTTGAGATGTAGCACTGTATATAATTTCAAAAAAGTCAGTGATAAAATATGTAATCCTCTTTTATAAATAAATAATGTGAATACACAGCATGATATTGTACATTTTAACGAAACCAACGTTACAGTCTGTTTTCATTTCAAATCAAGGGAAAAGATCAAGAAATATCACTTAATGCGTAGGTTTTTCACCAAATTAAGTACTTATTTGCATTGGTGATGGACGTAAAAACCATACAGGACTTGTTTAAGTTTGTGCAAACTTCGGAAGGGTCAGGGTTTCTAGGATAAATAAAGTGTACTTGGTCAATGGGAGAATATTATCTTGTGCCAGTAAAATATTGTCATTATATTTCAATAGATTGTTCCTGTGCATTTTTTATACCTTAGTCTTGGGCCAGTCTGGAGATGTTTTGTTGGCTATTTCCAGTAAAACTCTGTCATTATATTTCTGTATGTTTATTTCAATAGATTGTTCCTGTACATTTTTTTATACCTTGGTCTTGGGCCAGTCTGGAGATGTTTTGTTGGTTATTTCCAGTAAAACACTGTCATTATATTTCTGTAAGTTTATTTTAATAGATTGTTCCTGTACAATTTTTTATACCTTAGTCTTGGGCCAGTCTGGAGGTGTTTTGTTGGCTATTTCCAGTAAAACTTTTGTGGTTGTGTGCTGACATTTATGTCTTATATCATCCATAAGTTCAGCATCATACTTCTTCTTGTAAGCTTTCCGCACAGCAGGAATATCAATCTAAATAAATTTCAAAAACAATTTTTTTATTATACACAAAATCTAAAAATTAGTAATAAAAAACAAGCAAATACTGTATACAGTTTCCAGTCAAATTTCATTAAACTAAGCTTTCTGCATTTACATACATACATCTACAGATTTACATAATTTTGAACATATTTTGAGTTCAAAATGATATAAACCCATAGATGGATGAACAGCACATAAATCCAGAAAGCTTCAGAAAGCGCTAATTTAATGAAATTAGGAAACCGTGTGAAGAATGCAATATGAATATAAGCTTTGGAATCATAATATTCTAGAAGAAGAAATGGAAACTGATTTCATAAAGAAAGCAAAATAACTCTTTGTTAAGCCTACCTCAGACCTTGATACCAGCAGATTGACAAATTCTGAATTAGTTGGGGACATAGTCCTGAATAGTCGGTCAGCAAAATGATTCTCCGGACCATGTAGGCAGTTTACTGTTTTTAAAAAAAATATGCATACATGTATATCATTGCTGGGTTTTAAGGGAATTGAGTTATATTATCTTGATTTACGTTGTAAATTTTATTTCACGATTAAGTTTTCATTAGCAAAGGATAACAAATAAATTGTTTACGTATATTCTATTAGCGCCTTCAATGCCTATAAAAAGGTTTTAAAGTGTACATCTACTTGTAATTAGAATAACAAATAAAAACAATAAACTCTTTGTACTTGCATAAACTGTCTGTCAAAGCAATGATAATGCCAATAAAACGTGAATTTTCAGCACAACCACTGCAACAGTAACTTCGTAGAAAATCCTTTAGTGCTATTAGGTTAAATAAAGTGCATGTAAATATTTACTGAGTGCAATGAGCGCCTCGGAATAAGTTCTCGAACACTCCCTTTTGATGTCGTCTGTCGCCTCAGTTCCTTTGTTGTTTATCTTGTACAAATTGAGGACAAGGATGATGTGTTTGTTGTTTCTAGTCTTAAGTAACTTAAGGAATTTACCAGTATCACTTGTCCATCTGCCATCGCCAGACTTTAAAAAGTTGAAATAAAATTATTTAGTCATTTCTTCTTAGATATTGACCATCTGTGTACCTGTCTCTCTTAATATTAAAAAGAACGTTATTCCATGGATTCTAATATGAATTTTTGATCGGAATTAACCGAGAATCGCTAAAATAAATGAAATTAGAAATATCAAAAGGGTTGGCAGATTTGAACAAGACTCACCTCATAAAGATCCTCGGCGTCGGTTTCCGCCGCGCTGTCGATAACTTTATTAGATTCGTCTCTGCCGCCCTGAAATTTGAAATTTGATTGACTGAAAATAAGCTATAACATATAAGCATATCTTGTTTCATATAAAAGAAATTTAATGATATCAACACATTTTGACCGAACTGTATCCAGTTTATGCCTCCAAAGTACGGTAAGTTAACCAAAACCTAGTTTAAAAAAAAGGAAAAAAGGGAAAAAAAACTGTGAAAGCACTGAAATACCACAGGGCCGTACTGTAAGTAGCTGTAATTAATTCGACACTACAGTATCCTATCAGTGATCATGCAGACGAACTTAAGCCAAAGGGTTAAGCACATTTTCACATTGTGAACATTTGCTTAAGCTTTGAAGGTATCCTTTATTCTACCTTTGCCAGTGTTGCGAGAAGACATCTTTCTGGGTCTTCCGTTTTCTCGTTGATAGTCATGTCAAGGCTCTGTGAGTATTCTGAAACGAACAATTTCAGTACTATAATAAAAAAAACAAATACAATAAAACCTGTCTAATCCGACCTGCAATGGGAGACAAATTTGTGCCGGTTTAGACAGGGTGTAGGATTGTACAGTGTAAAGACTGTATGTTCAATAATAAAGTGGGAATGAAAATAAAGGTCGGCATTCGCAGTGAAACGGATTGGACAGGGTCAGATTAGATACTGTAAACCAATTATTATTCGCGACATCTTTTATTCGCGATTCTTCAGCTTGGTATCCATCCGCGACAACTAATTTTCGCGGACCGAGGCAACATTCTACATAAATACATAGTTGAATGATTGGTTCGCGACGAGAAATTTTCGCAAGTAAAAGAAGATCGAGAAACTCGCGGATATTTCTCGCTCGCAAATAATTGTTGGTTTACAGTAGTTTTCACTGTATCATCGCACATTAGTGACATTACTCCAAATCTGCTGTAATACTTTATAAGTTAAAGTTGTGGACAGACAAAGAGTCAAATCATTAACAATATGTTCGCCTAACCTTTGATCTCGGGGGAATACAAATTATTCACAGAAAGAAATAATAATCCTGCTCTCAAATACACTACAAGAGAGTAACAGCAATCACTCTTTTTTCTCGAGACTTTATTCAAACTTTGAGTGCGAGAGACATTTTTCATAAACTTAGTATGGGAAATCTTTTCCAAAAACAAAGAACACAAAGCATTCATTTTTCCCCTTCACATTGAAATTAACGAAATGTTCTATTCCACAAGCAGTTCCTTATTTGTTTCCGTTCCGTTGATTACCTTTACGATAAGTATCTTTCAACTCCGTAAGGTCTGAATTCTTGCACGTAAAGAGGATTTCCACAGCTGTTTGGTAATCACCTTCCTGTAACGCAATAATTACAATATTTGATGCACCTTCTTTGCAAATGACTGAATTAAATATCTGAAGCAATTGTTACCTACTATATTGGTTTTATGATCGCCGTTTTATTTATATTTGGCCAATTTAAAGATGACTGTTTTCTGCTTGCTTAAGGGATATGTTTTCGTTATGTTTTCACAAAAGGAATAAAAATTTTAGACCATGCACTTCTGTTTATATAATTTTTTATATTTAAGCTAAAATACGAACACTTCAAAATGGTATAGCAAACTTTGAAGGAATGGGATAATTGTTCAAAGTATTGTTTGTTACCTACTACATGTATATTGTGATGCAAAATAAAACTTTACCTCTAATGCATCATGGAGAAGTTTAGCGGTCCCTACAGATTTGTTTTTCAGTAGAGCGTTAATCAAACATTCCCAGTCTTTCCCCAGACCCGACAACAGCTCTGTCGCCAAATCCTGTTTTGAAATAGAAGCATATCATTCTGCAAATAGTTAACTTCTCAAATAAATTTTCACAATTGCCCATTGTAAAAATACAAAAATACTTTCTTATGAAAGTGATACATGTACTTTTTTTGTAAAGATTTTCTTCTTTTTTTTTTATTGAATCATGAAAAATCGAAGATAATATTATGTTTCTTTCATTATAATTTCGTGCTTAACTCTTAATTTGCGTCTGAATCAACTATAACTTGCAAATCACGAGTAATACACAACAATGCTCTGTGCCGAGTATATATAGCCACGATTCAAGCCAAGATCATCCACGACTATGTGCCATCTTATATATTGGGTAACTTCACGGTAAAAATGGGTTGTGATTCCTACGGTGAAGCTACAATCATTCTAAGCACCGTCACGATTTGACGGAATTATGTAAATAAATATAACGTTTTATATCGACTTCCGTACACACTTGCGTTTTTTCAAGGAATAAAGTACAATCACTTATGGTTCATCTTCGATTCAGGGCGATCGCACTATGGACTACGACGATCTTGCTATATTTATTTACGACTTTACTATGTTTGATCACGAATTGAAGACGGCAAAGAAATCGGTTACCCGATCCCTACTCTCTCCCACCGAGTTAGACCATAAATCAAAGCAGACATGTCAACGAAAAGGTCTAACCAACTTCATCATCCTGGGTCCAAGCATCGTCAAATCAAACTGAATCTCACTGAAAATTGCAGGGATGAAGATGTAGTAGATATTCTGGTCTTATTTTTCTGAGGCACAAGCAGAAAAAGACCTGAATACTATCTATTACGTCTTCAGCTGCAATGAAGCAACTTCCAGAAAAAAAAAGAGTTGCATTGCTTATTAGCAAAGGACAAGAAATAGACATGGTGGATTGGTTGAAATCTCACCATTTCTATTTAAAGGGATCAATAGGACACCGTGAAAAAGACTACAATGTACTTTATTTAATATGGAGCAGCAACTTGAAATCACGTCTACTAAGGTTCAGCTACATGTACGTCAAAACGATGTTCTAACGTAATCACGGTTCAGCAACGAATTACAAGTTTTATTAATTTTGTCGATGTCATGACCACTCAGGTTTGTTTTGAGCAGCATCAAAACGATCATAAAGGTTGCCGAATTTGATCAGCAAAGGCCGATCAGTCAGGGTAAGCCTACAATTCATCAGGTTTCAACAAAGAACGTTAGGCCAAATAGTGATTGGTCACGAAGCCAAATCGGGACTGTGTGTCTGGAGCTCATTTTGTACCGATGTGTTTCAAAAGTCAGTTGAAAACTTCCAATCGCGATAATACAATAAAAAGGGATACTAGTATATAAATTAGCTACCTAAATGATTATTCAGGCCTAAGCCACTAAAATACAACGGTGCACCGCAATTATCCGGATGTATGTTTAACATGTCCATACGAGTACTAAATCCTTACCAGACTGTACATTTCTTTAAATCTCTCGAGGATCTGGGTTCTTTGACTTTGTGTTCTTCGAACCAAGTTTCTTATGAAGACATCGTCAGGTTGTGCTATTAATTAATTAATTAATTAATATCTATTAATAAGACAAAAAAAATCGATAAAATTGTCTTGTTTAACATATTCATAAGTGGACAAAACGATGCTTAGAAATAAAGAAAACATGTATTGCTGTTACTATAAAATACATGCACTTTTTATGACCAAAGAAGAATCAACCTTTACTAAATTTAAGAAGAATCGAAATTCAAATCCATCTTACATATACAGAAAGATTAACCATTAACATAAGATTACGATTTAATTGTTAATAAATTATAAAAACAAAAATTGGACTTATTTCACTATAAAGGGTAAATTCGGGGTTTTGGGGTCAGATCTACTGCATAACAAAAATTGGACCCATTTCATTAAAATGGATATTTTGGGGGGACATTTCGGTCATAACAATATTTTATATGAACGAAAATTTGGACCCAATTCAATATTCAGGCATAGTACAATTCTCTTTTCTGCGTGAACTTTCAGTAAGGCGTGACATTCTCGGCGATACATAATTAGCGTCTCTCAGTGTCCTATATTCTCATTGGTTGCCAGATTAGGTCATCAATACTGAAATTTACACAGCTTTTCATTCACGGATGAAATACACACGGGATAAATATCGACCAGACGTCAACGAGTGAAGCAAGAAACCAATGACATCGTTTCTTACAGTGAAGAGGTGTGGCTTATGTCATCTCATCGTTTGTCAATAACAATCTTGTTATTATTTTCTTAACCAATGAGAATCTAGGTCACCATTTGAGAGACGCTTATTATGTATCGCCGAGAATGTCACGCCTTACTGAAAGTTCAAACAGAAAAGAAAATTGTACTAATTTTTTGGACTTAAGGTCAAAACTGATGCATAATAATTTAAGATATAACAAAATTATTAAACTGAATAAGTTTTCGGACGTTTGCGTCAAAACTGCTGCATCCTTAAATATAAGAAAAAAATTATACCTTTGCATAATTTCACTACAACAGATTTTCTCGGACTGTAATAAGTTATAAGATAAGAAATATATTTTTTTCATAAAAAATTTTAAAAAGATAATTTTACCCCCAAAATTGGACCTATTTTACTAAAATTGACATTTTTTGATATATTAAAAGTGATGCATTATAAGTAATTTTACCATTTCACTAAAATGAATAACTTTTCGGACTTTAAGGTCAAAATTGTTGCATGATTATTGATAGTTTGATACACGAGAAATTAAAGTTTGTTACAATTATATTCCATGTAGATTGGAAGGCTGTACTTCAGTAATTACATTTACTAGTGCAATAAGGATAATAAATTCAATGTTCATTTCAAAATGATCATATCATAAAATAAAACGTACTTTGAAGTATGCGTTAATATTTTTCTGAGAAGGAAATCTACGGAACATTCTTTGATAATTACAAGTACCTGTAATTGCAATTTCATTTTACATTTTTTTTGTGGGGGGGGGGGGGGAACACACTTAAAGTAAGAGGAACATATAACTTGTTTATTACAACAATGCCTCCAAAAAGTTTGCAAATCATTCTCTCTTCTAGTTCGTTTTGCTCAACTGATGGAATTTTAGACTTGTAAGGTAAATTTTACTTTTACACGATATGTTTTAAATTTATCTCCCCCTACATATCTTTTTAACGATCGTATTATACGTAATAAGGACATTAAAGACTTTAAAGAGAACAGCATCTGAAATATTGGACGTGTAAAGGCGGGACGGACTCAAAACGTTAATACAATTTTGTTTGATAGTCATATACATTTCACAATTCAAGATATTTTTACTTGTCGAGTTACTTACCGAGACCTTTAGCCACCTTAAATAGTGCTTTGGCATCGTTGTCGACCTGTGAACTGAAGTGTGACCGGTCCATACTGCTTCCATCATCAGACTGTCAAATGTAAAAAGATGAGCAAATTAAATAAAAATGCATCAGCGTCAAAACGGCAGAATTTTATATGACATTGTACTAAATTTTATATGGAAAAAATAATCTAAGTACAATGGAGAAAAAAATTATATAATTAAATATATTAGTGGTGTTTTGGTTTTTTTTTTTCATGGAATGGTTTTATGTAAGTTTATAAGCACTGCCCTCCCCCTTCAATAAGCAACTAATTTATGAATTTTGCTCATTATTATAATGGCTATCTAATACAGTAAAACTATTCTTTAACTCGGTTTGGAACACTTTATTTTCCATCTTTTCTCATCAAACCATTTACATGTACAATAGTTTTTCATCATTGCGCAGGGTATGTTTCTTAAGAATACAACAAAATGTTGTATACATGCTGTCCTTCTTTTCTTTTTTAAATTTTGTCTTCATTTTATCAACTTTTTTTAAAATTTTGTGTGTTTTCTTCTTTTTTAACATTTTTTTCTCCAAAATTAAATCACGCTTTCGTTTCATCTGCAAGCGTTTTGATACTCTATATCTAAAATCATGCTTACATCTTTACAATGAACACCGTTTATCAAAAACTTATTTTTCTTTCACATTTTCTGATGCAAAATTCAATAAATATATATTTTCTGTATATATTGTCATGTTGTAAATTGAATTTACCGTGTGGCAGTAAATACAAAATTTAGTTATGTTCCTGTACTGCTAGGAGACAGATTCTGTAGGTCGAGAGTTCAACCCCGGGCTGGGGCGGAAGTGGGTATCCTTATAAAAGTGATTTTCTTTGTGTTCTCTCTCTCTCTCTCTCTCTCTCTTTTTTTGAGAGAAAGAAATTACAATTCTTCCACTGAGCTCAGGTTTCGTCAAAATTTAATTGGTTACTATTCTTATAAGCAATATTCTTGTTTGTGTCATACATATTTTTGATCGTTCAGGGAGTTTTTTTTTAGCACTTCATCTCATGCTATAGATAAAATATTTTATTTGTACTGCAATGAGAAATTTAAGAATTTGTTTAGCCCGGTTTTTCAAATTCACCCAGTGACAACAGGGATGAATAAGGCGAAATTAAAACGAGGCGAAAATTATCTCTTTAAATTATACACTTATGAATCTATATATCGTTATTTTGTAAGACATGCAAGAGAAGAAATCACTTTGACAGCGGCTGGTGAACATGCAGTTGTGATAAACTGATACTAGTTATAAGTATATTGGACTGAACAAACAAATAACTCGTGTTTCAATTGGCACACTTCAGTTAATTTCATTTTAACAACGTTTAGCTTTGTTCTTGTGGATTTTCATCATATAGCTCTGCATGTGAAAAACCTATCGATTCAAATTTCGTTATTTGTGTTGCACATTAATGTTCACTTGACATAATAAGAGCCTGCTTAAAACTCTCACACCAGATCACAAAATAAACTTTATATTGGGACATAGTTAACTGGAAAATAGTTGCTCTGTATATTGATCTCTGTTAAGTTTTAATAACTTGTAGACTTGCTCTTTATACGTTGGATTCGAAAAAAAAAATAGCATAAAATGTCTGAGGTTTATGCCTAAACTGATCCAAAACAACAAATCTTTCACTTTTGGAAAAAATTCTACATTATTTGAATACATGTTATCTTTGGAACCTTGATATCTGGGACCATAATTTGAACGATATGAATCTCAGAATCACGAAAACTGATTTAATTTTTATGGGTCCTCCTTACATATAAATACATCTTCGAGTAACTAACTGGAGGGGGTGTCTGGATAAACTCTTATCCGCGTCACAAAATGAACGCCTTAAACAGCTGTTAAATATGTATAATTTGATGTTTTCTCGAAAATACGCTTGCAAATACTTTTAACATCGAAAAATGGTCCAATTTTCATAAAAATATCATGGAAATGAGGAAATGATGGCGGAAACATATATAATTATATATTTTGTTACACAAAAATGGATTATATGTAGACAGCAAGCAAGAATGCCCATGTGTAAGCCCTCTCCCTTGTATATTATATTACTTGTGCACAATTCTTACATATCCATCAAATGCACTAGCTAGGCAACATAAACTAGAAGGAAAGATTTTGATTGTTATTTGCAAAGTTTTTTTTTTATTATTGTTATTAGTTTAATCTTATTTTCCCTAGAAACACAATTGGGTCAAAATAGATGTCCAAAGTTTGGCAAAGGTAAAGATTAAGAATAACATCTTGATTTTTTTTTAAATTCAGTTAATAAGACCAAAACTTAAAAAATGCAAGCATCCTTACGAATAATGTAAACAGAATATATCTCTTAGGTGTTTCTTTTTCCCACCAAGCTGAAATAGAATAACAATGTATGTACAGTATACTGCATATTTTTCGCATGCAAGCACCTTGGTGTGTTCGTTCCACTGAAATGCTTTGTAAGGATTCAACAAAAAGAAGCATCTCAGTTCATATTTTTATGACCTGAATGGAGCCTCGACATGTACATTTACATATAGTTAGCAATAAGGTTTACTTCCTGAAGAACAGTGTCTTCTGCAAGCTCCCAACGCAAACATTATTATATGAATTTTGTATTTTAGAATTAATGTTCTTGGCTAGTTTTGAAGAACAGTAAGATCCCAAAATATTCTTATACATGTATAAGGTACAAAGTTATCATGATATCCAATACATGTAAAATTGCAGTCCCCTTGATGGCATTATGTGTGATAGCGGATCCAGTAAATTCTTAATCTCAAGATAACCTACAAACTTGCATTTTTCTTAATTCAAAATGATCAGGGAGGGAGGAGGGCTGTGCTGAATGAAAAACATGAAGATAACGAACAGTGCTCGATCTAAAAAAAAAAAATCTATAAATACAATTATATAGGGCATAAAACACGGATCCCTGAAAATTCCACAGGTGGGATCAGGTGCCTAAGAGGACCAAGCATCCCCTGTTGATTTATATTATTTAGCAATGTGCCAATCCGAACTCCAATTTTTAAATCTTTTCCAAAATTCAGCTTTAAAAAAGTTAAATTTCTAACTTTTGGTGAATGTCTTCGGAGTCTGACCGTCAAGCTGAAAATTGTGCCTTTTTCAACTTCGTTTGCATTGTCAAAGGTCATTATCTTATCAATACCCCCGGTAGAAATCTTTAACCTCTGAATCTCAAACAGTGCCCTCTCAAAAGCATGTTACAATTCAGTGATAAAATGCTGTTTCTCTGAAGTTAGAATGAAATGCTTACCTTTTTCCGGTCTTTATGTAGCGTTTAATATGATAAAGATTTCATTCAATATCCCAAATACAGCTACAGAGATTTACGACTGTTGAAATGCTCATTTAATAATGGGTTTGATTACTTGAGTACATGTATATATTTATATATAAAGAAGCAGGCGATTCCTACATTGTACGCTAAAAAGAAGCATATTAGAACACACTGATTAAAGTAAGAGACTAATTTATTTTCCTAGCAAGAACAGTGCACAATTAAATTTTATGACCATAAATAAACAAGGTAACAATCATGTACTAGTATCATTATAAAATAATTATATAAAGTCTGAGCAAACAATCTTAGATTGACAACATTAGATAATATAGTAATTTGCAATATTATTGTAAAATTAATATAGTATTATAAAACAATAACGTAAAGGTTATTTTAAACTCATGATTGCTTGTTAGGTAAGTACAAATATGGTAATAACAACTATATAACATTTAAGTTACAATAAAAAATACTTCGTGGGTTTTTTTTTCACACACAGTCACGTGACACTCGTGAAGATGAAGTACAAAGCAGTGAGTAGGATTTGGGAATTTATAATTATTTTTGAGATTCTTAAATGGTTTTATGTCTGTGAAAATCAAAATTCTGCGACATGTCAGTGAATGAATGTTTTGTAATGGCAATAAATGTTTCATTTTGGAAAATTCCCCATTACGATATATGACTAAATAATTGTCTATATATTACAACGATTCAATGGCCAGGAGTTCTTAAAGCAAATTTACTACCGTGATTGTGTGGTTTTTCTCGACAAAAAAGGATTCTATTCTGATTATAGGGATGGTTTAAGAGGACTTGGTATTTATTATCAGATTATATATACTCAGTGAAATATATAGTCATGCAACATTACATTAACTACCATTCTACATGTATATGTATACATGTACCAACTAATTCTGTTTTACAGGTGGACAACAAAATTACGTTACACATTAAAAAAAGATTATTCCATTTATTGTTTATTTGGAAGAAAACTTCCAATATCAAAAATGCACTTCTAAACAAACAAAAAACCAATGGGTTGCTTAATTGATCGCAGTGTATGGGGTGAATTAACTTATCATGCATATCGTCCTCTGAATTTTTTTTCATCACTACAAATGTGCGTGAATTTTTAAAATATAATCTTTTCATTTAGGTTCAAGTGAGTTGTGTCATTTTTGCACATTGAAAACAGTGATGGTTTCACTAATTACCTGCAGGGAGTACGCGGACCTGGGGCGTCGGCCATAGTACATTTGATACAGATTTCTCATTTTTGTCTTGAAAGGGAAGTACATATTATGCATTAATGATGAGTATTACATTTACATCACAAAACTACCAGAAGCATACAAACAGAAACAAATATAAACTTAGAAAATATCAACAGATGATATAATTTAATATATATATAAATTTTCTAGGTACAATCCAGCTCACCCTCTATTGATAAAGCTGCTGGCATATAACAAGCAGAATTTAAAGAAAACAAGCTATCAAAATAACCATATCCTTCTACGTCAACAGCAAAGAAAGTACAAATATGCTTTTAAAAGTGTTGAGTATTAAATTTGTGTATTTATTCAGCAAAAGTGTCCCATAATTCCACAAGTGAAATATATTTTTCTGGAAATCTTCTTCCTCCTCCAACATTTTCAATCCAGTCCCAATACCGTCAACTACATACCCTTTTTTAAATATCCAAAAGTCTAGCGGGGATTTTGGATTGTTTCTAGAAATAATTGGATTAGGTGAAAAAATCAATTAGTATGTCAGTTTAGAATATGTGCTTATTACAAAATAAAAAAGATAATACTGTATTAAATATATAAATTGATATATGAAGCTAGTTTGTAAAACACTATAATAGAATTTTTCAAATTCAACAAATAAATATCTTAGAATACACATAATTAATGTAGCTTGAATTATTGTTAATTTTATTGTGTGAGACTTAAAACACAACTTTTAAAAAGCATTAAAAGGAAAACTGAAACCAAATTGTCTACGATTCAAAATCACAAGCAAATGAAGCAACAAGCTTTAAGCTATTACAGTGCAGCCTCGTTAATCCGGAAGTCAGTAATCCAGACCCTTCATATTTTGGACAAAATTTGTGAGGAACAAAATTCAAAATTATATTTACCAATGAAAAAAAAAGGTATGTTTCAGTAATCCAGACTCTTCATTAGTCTGGACGATTTATTCAGGAACAGAGGGAACCAAATTAATGAGGTTCTACTGTATTTGGCTACTTAAAGCTAATGAACAAATGAAAGCTATTAAAAAATTAAGAAGCTGCGTAGCTACCTTTCTTTCTTTGTCGCCATTATCACTTCTTGTGCTTCGCTGCGTGTCTGGGCCATTATATCTAATGGTCTACAGGAAAAATACAATGTAAATTTGCAAAAAAGTGTTGGCTACATGTAAGCTAAATATACACTGTGGCGAAGTTGAATTTGTTTTATAAAAAAAACAATAAACAAACTTGAGTAAATTCATTTGTGTACTCAGGTAATCTGTACTTATTGAACTAATGAAAAGTTATAACCATTTGACAAATCTACATACATGTAATATTCAAATTTCCTGCAAGGCTTTTTTTTAAAAATTAAGAAAAAAAACGTATATATATTTAAATTAATGATAAAATCAGAATGTTGTATATAATTTTTTTTTCTTTTTACAAATGACAGGAAGGAAAAAAAATTCAGGTACTAAATGAAGTTTTGTTGACCACTAATCAATCATCAATTTATGTAATGTGGCTTTGCATCTTTTGAAGCATTTGGCGCTGTGACAATTCTGAATTTTTCAAGTCTACAGGTGCATAAATAAAACAAAAGAAAAACAATAAAGCAAATCACAAAATAAGTTTTTGAAAAATGGATTTCATCCTCAGAATGCAGTGTAAAAATGTATGTCTCTTTTGGTTGTATATTTAGCTACGATAATAAAAACAAAATGCAAAATACTTTAAAAATCCATATTTTCTCATTAGTCATTGCAAACAATATATAGTACACATCTTACCTTTAAGCAAACAAAATAATTAAAAGCAGTTAGAATAAGGCTTTTCCCATTTGCTAATTAAAATACACATAATTGTGTTGTGAAATCAATATTCTTCCCAGGGGGTTCTAATTTTTTTTTTTTATTATGTAAGAATGTTTTCTCTTATACCAATGTTAAATTACCCCATAACTTTTCACATGGTCTAATACGAGTAAAATTTTCATGAAACTGAAAACAAAAACCCACGAAAAGAAATGATTTCACAGTCCAAAAGCTTTGCATTAATGTAAGCATCTTTAAAAAAAAGCCATGTTGTAATAATGAAGTACCTGAGGTTCAGTGTTTTTCCCCTGTAAAGAAGGTCTTCTATGATTAATATGTTTTGGAGTGGATAGAAGGAAAAACCAGAAGTCTCTGATGAGACTGTAGCTCTACTGGTCTGTTTGTATAACAAAAGAAAAGTAGCACTTGGATTTGAAACATTGCAACATGCAACAATAAATAGAATTATGTATCTTAATGTAGTCTACTTTTGTGACAAGTTATTGAAATCAAATGAAAACTAGGAGTAGTAGCGTTTTGAAAGTATTTCACGGAAATTTCTATTTTTAGTACAGTGTACCGGTAACCATGACAACACCATTCACCCAAATAAAAAAAAAAAGAAATACATATTATGTCGTAGTGTATTCTAACTGTGTGCCAAATTAGATTGAAATCAGACCAAAATTGTAGGAGGAGTAACGTTTTAAAGGAATTTCACAGACATTTCTATTTTAAGTAACCATGGCAACACTGTTCATCGAATTCAAAAAAATGCACTAAATTATGTATCTTAGTGTAGTCTACTTGTGTGCCAAGTTATATTGAAATCAGACCAAAACTGTAGGAGGAGTAGCGTTTTAAAGAAATTTCACAGAAATTTCTATTTTTAGTAACCATGGGAACACCGTCCATCGAAATCAAAAAACCGATGCACTAAATTATGTATCTTAGTGTAGTCTACTTGTGTGCCAAGTTATATTGAAATCGGACCAAAACTGTAGGAGGAGTAGCGTTTTAAAGGAATTTCACAGAAATTTCTATTTTTAGTAACCATGGCAACACCGTCCATCGAAATCAAAAACCGATGCACTAAATTATGTATCTTAGTGTAGTCTACTTGTGTGCCAAGTTATATTGAAATCAGACCAAAACTGTAGGAGGAGTAGCGTTTTAAAGAAATTTCACAGAAATTTCTATTTTTAGTAACCATGGCAACACCGTCCATCGAAATCAAAAACCGATGCACTAAATTATGTATCTTAGTTTAGTCTACTTGTGTGCCAAGTTATATTGAAATCGGACCAAAACTGTAGGAGGAGTAGCGTTTTAAAGGAATTTCACAGAAATTTCTATTTTTAGTAACCATGACAACACCGTCCATCGAAATCAAAAACCGATGCACTAAATTATGTATCTTAGTGTAGTCTACTTGTGTGCCAAGTTATATTGAAATCGGACCAAAACTGTAGGAGGAGTAGTGTTTTAAAGGAATTTCACAGAAATTTCTATTTTTAGTAACCATGGCAACACCGTCCATCGAAATCAAAAACCGATGCACTAAATTATGTATCTTAGTGTAGTCTACTTGTGTGCCAAGTTATATTGAAATCGGACCAAAACTGTAGGAGGAGTAGCGTTTTAAAGGAATTTCACAGAAATTTCTATTTTTAGTAACCATGGCAACACCGTCCATCGAAATCAAAAACCGATGCACTAAATTATGTATCTTAGTGTAGTCTACTTGTGTGCCAAGTTATATTGAAATCGGACCAAAACTGTAGGAGGAGTAGCGTTTTAAAGAAATTTCACAGAAATTTCTATTTTTAGTAACCATGGCAACACCGTCCATCGAAATCAAAAACCGATGCACTAAATTATGTATCTTAGTGTAGTCTACTTGTGTGCCAAGTTATATTGAAATCGGACCAAAACTGTAGGAGGAGTAGCGTTTTAAAGGAATTTCACAGAAATTTCTATTTTTAGTAACCATGACAACACCGTCCATCGAAATCAAAAACCGATGCACTAAATTATGTATCTTAGTGTAGTCTACTTGTGTGCCAAGTTATATTGAAATCGGACCAAAACTGTAGGAGGAGTAGTGTTTTAAAGGAATTTCACAGAAATTTCTATTTTTAGTAACCATGGCAACACCGTCCATCGAAATCAAAAACCGATGCACTAAATTATGTATCTTAGTGTAGTCTACTTGTGTGCCAAGTTATATTGAAATCGGACCAAAACTGTAGGAGGAGTAGCGTTTTGAAAAATTGTTTACAGACAGACGGACAGACAGACAGACAGACAGACAGACAGACGGACGGACGGACGACGGACACCTTACTATCGCATAAGCTCTTCTGGTCTCTGACCAGTAGAGCTAAAAATGAGAGAAGAGCTCAAGAAATAATATTTATAGTTTGTTGACTGAATATCAGGAAATTTGCCTGCTTGAGGACTTTGCTTCAGTAAAGCATTCACATAAAGACCGAGGGTGGGCATAAATTTTCCAAATATTCAGTCAATAACCTTTTTATTACATATCTTAATAGTACCAATACATTTTTTTCTAATTCATACAAATGGATTCTCTCTGAAGAATCACTGGTCATTAACATCTCTACTACATTAGTAACTGCCAGTTCAACGAATATTTTTGAAGTTAAAATTGTACCTGTAAGTGATGTCATTAAAAATTGAGAAATGGAAGAAATAAATTGTGATGTCACAAATATATCAAAATAGAGGTGTGCTGCTGAATTAATCTGGACTTGCACAGATTTATGAAAGAAAATTTTGCAGAAATTATCTCTCTTTGCAAAGTCACAGTAGAAACCCGCCCAATAGTCTTGAACTGCTACAGTCCAATGATCTTGATCTACTACAGTCCTAATCTTGAACTTCTCGATCAAGCCCTATAATCTTTATGACACAAGGATTTAAACATGGCATTGGAATATGTCATACTACTGTACATGCTGAAACAAAATACCCAAAGTTGAAAAATGAAGATTTGAAGATGAACAGATGAACTGGCAAACAGACAGAAGCACAGACAGTGACTACTACTTGACTTTGGAGCCTAACTATAATGAATTGATAAAATTAGGGAGTAAAAGATGTTGAAGAGAAAGTCAAGAGACAGAAGTGGTACACAAGATTGACAAAAATAACTAATGTAAACATTCATTGAAGAGTAATGGAGGAGTGACCACATAGGTATGTCAAAAATAGGCCCCGTTTGGATGAAATGAATACATACAATGGGAGGTAACGCGTCCTTCTTTCCTTCTTCTCCGCTGTTAGCTTTTTCCTCTCTCTCTCTGGCAAGTTCTGCCTCTTTTATTTTCTGTAATTCATACACATTGCATTTCAGTAATACATGTACTGTAAACGTACATAAATTAGCGCACTCGAAATTTAGCTAATCTGCCTTGTCAAATAATTAGCATAATCATGAGTAAGTGCATTTAGACCAAGCTTCTAATAAATGCCTTTGTTTTAATCGTACATTAGTGTGTACTAAAATTAGCAGACATGAAGGCGCTAAAATATGATTAACGCTAAAATAAGTATGCGTACAGTAGTTCTACGTCTAAATCTTTAACAAAAATAATATAATGAAATTGAACCTGTTACACAAAACTTTTCTTCTTCAGTTTTAAATCTTATTTTTGTTTTTTATCTCTGAAACAGGAAATCTTTTATAAAAAGAGGATATTTTTGTCAGTTGCTATTACGAACTTACTCTCAGCTGTCTATATCGTTGGTGTCGGGGAATAACCATGTCAAAATCTTTGGCATTTTCATTCCATAACATCTGTAAGTACTTCTTCTGTTGGTATTCCTCCTCCTTAATAACCAAAATGTTAATTAATTAATCACTGATCAAGAAAGAACAATCCAAGAGTCTTTTCTGCACTCTACAGTCATTTTGAAAATAAGATGCACATTTTTGAAAAGAGCATCTTTATGTTAACTTAAACAATTAACCTTTAATCTGTATAATTAATATTTTTGATTTTTTTTCTTCATAATTTCATGTCCAAAACATCAACGCAAAGCAGTAATGAAGAATTCATTCTTGAACCTAAAGAAAATTCATGACATAATAAAATGTAATGGTACAGTTGAACTTCCGTATCTGAAACTCCAATATCTCGAATGCCATGGATATGTTGAAGTGAGTTGAAAGTCCCAACAACTTTTTCTTTTTCCAATTATAACCTCAATATCTCAAATCCTTGGATATTTCAAAGTTTTTTTCTTGGCTCCATTAGTTCAAGATAACAAAGTATGACCATATTTTTGAGTCATAATCTTTTGAAATAGTTTACAATTTACCATTTCTTCAGTTCTGATAACTGGTCTGGTGTGCTCTAACCGCTTGGCCAGACCAATGTTTTCCATCTGAATTTCACGAAGTTGCTTTTCTCTCAACGGAAGGTTAAGACTGTAAAAAAATGTTTTGCTATTAAAAATACATTCTATATCTACATTTACCTTTTTCAATACCTTTCTTTTAAGATAGTGAACAATTAATGACTGATAAATACTTTACAGTATAAAATCAGCATTTATTAGAAATACCTGCCGTGTCTTTTAGTAAAAAGATATCAACATTTTTTCACAGTTGAACACATTCAGGAGTGTTTGAATGAGCAGAATGTTCAGGACACAGATCAACTATATTTAGCATAGAGAGAGAACTATTTCTTAGCTAAATTAGCAAGTCATTGCTCTAAATAAATAAATGATGATGACAATAAATATAAAAAAAATATAGTTGTAATAATTACATATTTTATTATAGATTTTGTTTGGTCTTGAAATAAAGGTTTTCATACATCACAGAAATGTCACATTTAAGGTCTTATTCCTCCCATCATTTTCTATATAATGACAGTCGGTATCTCGAACACTGATATCTCGAATACCATGCATATGTCAATGTGATTTGGAAGTCCCAACCCCTTATTCTTTAAGTATTTTATCCTGGATATCTTGAATCCTCGGATATCTCAAAGTTTTTTCTTGGTCCTTCAAGTTCTAGATAACAAGGTTTGACTGTATTGCTTTCTATTTGGTTATAGTCTTAAAGATACGATACATCGATTTTGGCGTTTTGATCCCCTACCCCATGGCTACCACAGACTTCAAAGAAAAAGGTTCATCTCCAGAAAGCCTAAATTCTTGTGACCTATATTAAGAATACATAAGGATTTTTTGGAGGACTTCCACTCCTGAGTGTCTATAGTTCCAGTATTCATCAAACTTGCATGGACAGTTGCCACTAAGGATGCATTAAACATGCTTTAAGTGCTGTATACAAATTTTACTGGGTGTGTGATCAAATGACTGTTTTGAATACTGCATATGACTTTTTCTCGAAGAATGATCAAGTGACATTGTTGCATCTAGTTAGTTAATTTTAAAGAAGATATGATTTACAAAGGCCAGCCTTGCATGGATGGGATGGTTACCAATTTGCTTTGGATATTGCATGTGAATTATACATGTACAATATTTTCCAAAGGAATGATCAGAGTAAAATCTTTAAAAGAGGTAATTTCCCAAATAATAAGAAAATAACTGTGAAATCACTAATTTTTATTGGGGGGGGGGGGGGGGGATTTTTGTTGTTTTCATCGTAGGAAGAAACCCACAAATTCTTGTCCTCCATGAAATGTAACATTTCAAAGATATAATGAGACTTTTTGAGCAGCTTATAATTCTTATTATTCAAGTAATGACAAGTCGGACATTACTAAGAGTATCTTAATTTGAATCTATACTATACATATATTTTATATTAGGCTGTATATTGAACAGGAATTTTTTATACAATTCAATACTGTAGATTCCTTATTTTACGCGAGTACTTAATATCGCAAAATGGCCGAATGACGTCAAATCGTGAGAAAAATAATTCGCAAATGGGTGATTTATCTAGAGATTTTACATACATTAAAGCACCATAAAAATAAAAGGGAGTAGTTTTATTTCGCGAGCGGTGCTCCTCGCGTAATTACGCAATAATTTATTCCTCGCGTATATTTAAGAATCTACAGTAATTCTATAAAGCAATATGTGATATATCTGAGTTATGTATTCATTTTATAATAAAAGTCTTGTGAATCATTTAATTAATACCCAAATTTGTATAAGAACAGAGTATTTTAATATCCATATTGTAGTTCTTGTCTAACATTACAAAAAAGCTTTTAATAATACCTTATACATGTACCAGCATGTAAAAATACAGTGGTCTATAATTATAATGCAGTAATTATTTAAGATGTGCAATATGCTTAATGTTTATTTCATTTTTTGTTGATTAAGTTTTTTTCCAAAGCAGTCAAATATAATCTCTTGGTGATAGACTAAATTCCCAACTTTTACATGGAATTTAAGGACATACGCAACGTACTTTACCTACTGATAATTTTTCAAGATATTCTTAATTTAAGATTAAAGTGCCATCAGATGTTCATAAACAAAAAAGCTGCTTGCATTACCAGGGGTTTTGAAAAGATAACAGCTGATGAAAATTCTTGTAAAATTCAAAGAAAAATATACAAAAATTACTATACATATATTCTAGTTGTTTTGTTTATCCAAATTTGTTTTAAAAGAAGTGTACAACAGCATATATAGACATTAAAATGTAGCACACAGTTCCTTTAAGTATTGGAACTCTTCAACTCCAGGGAAAAAGACTAAAGTTCAAACTACGTTGCGTATGTCCTTAAAAGGTAAACTGCCTAACTGATACATATTGGAAGAATTTTTTTTTTATATGATACACTCTTGAAGATCGATACCTATACCAATATAAGTTCAATAACCCTATCCATATATGGATCTATATATTATAGGGTTATTGAACTTATATTGGTAAATATTGGCACTTAATATATTTAGTTCAATATCTATTTATTATAAAACTAAAACATTTTCCCCATTGATTTACATGTATATCAATTATTTAAATCAATAACCCAAATTAATGAGATTGAAATTTTCAGTGTCGGTATTTAAATTAAAATTGTGTAATATCACCGTCTGTTCTCAAAGTTTTCAATATCACATCGCTCCAATGGAACTCTCACCATTATCATGTGCTTACTGAGGATTTTATTGAGGCTTATAGGTACTAAAGTATTAATTAATAATTTCAATTTTCTGTGAAAATTGATACTTTACCTACCTGCCACTACCCATCATAAATATTGCTGTTGACCAGACGACATTTTTTGTTTTAACAAGTTCGACATTGAACAATCTCATTTGGAATGTTTTGGGGCTTACTTGTATTGCAAATTCAGCATTCAATAAAACGCCAAGATATCGAATGCTAAAATTCTCTAGACTTACTAGTTTTTTTTTTATTATAGACTATTTATTACCTACATTTATATAAAAACATAGGTAATCAAAGATTACGAAGCTCACCTCGACGAATGTTATCTACATGTAAGGCAAATTTCACATCATATTTTTTTTCTAGTTAGGGTACATCCCAAGATCAATATCCATGCAAGTTTGATTTAATTATAGACCTGCTCAAAAAACTTTTGACCTGTTTAGTAATCAAGAAAATTTTGGTCAGTTCCAACATCCAAAGCAAGTCTGGAAGTTTTCATCCTTAGATGCACCATCTATGCAAGTCTAATCATAACCACATGATAACAGGCCATAATATTATATAGCTACTCCAAAAAAATTACCCTGGTCATTCATCTGGAAAATGTACGTCAGATTCAGAATCCAAGACAAGTCTGGAAGTGTCCATCCCTAGATACATCATCCATGCTAATTTGGTTAAAATATGGCTAAAATTCACTCATGTGGAAAATCTAGGTCAGATCCAGCATTCAAAGCAGGTTGGTTAGTGTACATCCCTAGATGCATCATCCATGAAAGTTTGGTCCAGGTAGGGCTTATAGTTACTTGGGAACGAGACTACTCCTAAATCTAAACCTGGTCACTCATCTGGAAAATCTAGGTCAGACCCAGCATCCGAAGCAAGTGTGGTAGTGTCCATCCCTAGATGCATCATCCATGCAAGTTTGGTCCAGGTAGGCTTATAGTTACTTGGGAATGGACCTGCTCCTAAAACTTTAACCTGGTCACTCATCCAGAAAATCTAGGTCAGATCCAGCATCCGAAGGAAGTGTGGCCATGTCCATCCCTAGATGCATCATCCATGCAAGTTTTGTCAAGGTAGGGCTTATAGTTACTTGGGAATGGACCTGCTCCTAAAAATTTAATCTGGTCACTCATCCAGAAAATCTAGGTCAGATCCAGCATCCGTAGCAAGTGTGGTAGTGTCCATCCCTAGATGCATCATCCATGCAAGTTTGGACAAGGTAGGGCTTATAGTTACTTGGGAATGGGACCTGCTCCAAAAACTTTAACCTGGTCACTCATCCAGAAAATCTAGGTCAGATCCAGCATCCGAAGCAAGTGTGGTAGTGTCCATCCCTAGATGCATCATCCATGCAAGTTTGGTCCAGGTAGGGCTTATAGTTACTTGGGAATGGGACCTGCTCCTAAAACTTTAACCTGGTCACTCATCTGGAAAATCTAGGTCAGATCCAGCATCCGAAGCAAGTGTGGTAGTGTCCATCCCTAGATGCATCATCCATGCAAGTTTGGACAAGGTAGGGCTTATAGTTACTTGGGAATGGACCTGCTCCTAAAACTTTAACCTGGTCACTCATCCAGAAAATCTAGGTCAGATCCAGCATCAGAAGCAAGTGTGGTAGTGTCCATCCCTAGATGCATCATCCATGCAAGTTTGATCCAGGTAGGGCTTATAGTTACTTGGGAATGGGACCTGCTCCTAAAACTTTAACCTGGTCACTCATCCGGAAATCTAGGTCAGATCCAGCATCCGAAGCAAGTGTGGTAGTGTCCATCCCTAGATGCATCATCCATGCAAGTTTGATCCAGGTAGGGCTTATAGTTACTTGGGAATGGACCTGCTCCTAAAACTTTAACCTGGTCACTCATCTGAAAAATCTAGGTCAGATCCAGCATCCGAAGCAAGTTTGGTAGTGTCCATCCCTAGATGCATCATCCATGCAAGTTTGGTCCAGGTAGGGCTTATAGTTACTTGGGAATGGGACTTGCTCCTAAAACTTTAACCTGGGACGCCGACGCTAACGCCGACGCCGACGCCGACACCGACGCCGACGCCGGGGGTATAGCATAAGCTCATCTCGACTTCGTCAAGGTGAGCTAAAAATCAATATATTGAATCAGCCCTAATAAATGTATGGAATGAGCAAGACCTGAGTTGATGTTAATTGGAGTACATTGTCCAACTCATAATCATGCAGCACTACCTAAGACATGAGCTCTGGTACAAAAACTTGACAATTTGATAGGACTCTTTGTTCATTATCACATTGCATGAAGCTAATGTCTTCTAGGTGCTTAGAAGAGAAAAAGATTATTTTTTTTAAGATATGTGTGATCAACTTTATAAGGCCCACCCTGGGAACACAAAATTAATAATTTGTTAGAGGGCTCATAGCTTAATTGCTATTAAGCATAAAATTTGAAAGATATTCAAAGATACACTGAATAATATAACTTTTCAAAAGTATCACTAAAAAAAGTTCTGAACCAAGGGGATTTGAATTCTATAATTTTGGTAGAGGGTTTGCTACTTATGATAATGACATATAAACAGTTTACCTGATAGATATCCATATTTTCAGTATTTGACTGACTTAGCCCCACCCTTGGGTCTGAACCCACCCTGCAGGACCCATGGGACATAAATTCTACAATTTTGGTAGATTAAGTGACTCTTACTGCTCAAAATAAACATGCAAACAGTTTGCCTTCTAGGTATCAGGATTTGAAAAGAATGTTGATTTTATGGTTTGAAATCCCAGGCAGATTTTTTCACTTATAAAGAGATATCACTATAGATGCACATTTATTAAATGAAGTGCTAAAATTAGACCTAGCTATATCATGGACAATATAAATTCAGAACGTTTCTGTTAATTTGCCAGTGCCTGCTGTAACTAGGATATTATTAAAAACATTTTTTTTTTATTCTTTTGATAGAGTATATTGTTACAGATCAAACCAATAACTTCCAAAAGTGGTTTTGTGCATATATTGACATTTTCTATGCATGACAGATACATGTACTAAAATTTTTGTTTTCATAGCAAAGATTTCCAAATGGGATAGGAGTTTTGAACATATACAGCTCACTATGGGACATTCCTACATTTTGATTGCACAAGACATTAGAACACCAATAAAAAAAAACATTGCAAGCTAAATGAGAGTTTAACTTTTACATTATAATACAACTTGCTACTGGGATTTCAATAATTAATAGTATAACGCCAGATACATCCACTTTAGATTATTAATGTAAAATTCAATAGCACTGTTTTTCATTCGAGAGGCTATTGTGTTTACTATATGACATGTGTCCTGTTCCCAACAGATTTATATATACTATAAATATTTTTCTAAATTACAATCCCACTTTATTAAATATGGATAAAAAATTACACATTGATTATCATTATTGGGTCATGTTTGCTCCTGAGGGATCAATTTTTGTCAAAATGGATTTAAATCATTAATAGCTGTAATAAGAGAGATCCTGTCACGGAAGCCTTAAAACTGTCTCATTTGTTTTATTGATCTGTTTAGAAAAGTTTCTTTGAGGGATAGATGTTGTCATTCACCATTGATTTTTTGAAAATTGAGACATTATTTATGATGACAAGTTCATAAATCTTTGTCTTAGGTTGTTTGAGTTCCTGGTATAATGGTTTTAAACTCTGTCTGATGAACACAGCTGGCACAGATTGGATATAAAAATGAAATAACATTTTCATCTTCAAATGTTATGGGAAAAATAAACTTCTTTAACCCGAGGAAGCTCAGTATGATCAATTTACTAAAACTTTGGTAATCACAGATGCAGTTTATTATATATATTTATTATATGTCTGTGAATTGTTTCTTATATATAGAAATATAAGAATTAAACCTGCTATTTCTTGTAAACAGCCCCTACCCTACCATGGAATAGATTTCCTGCTATTAGCCCATTCTAACTATTCACCAGCAGCATTCTATTACCATAGTGTTTCATCTCAGAATTCTTCTGGTTTTATCTTGATGGTGACATGACACAAGTAAAGTCTGCTTCAGTATAACAAAACACCTATTTACTGATTATGAGGACAATAGCAAGTTTATTGTCCCTCTCAACAGCAACTATTTCCCTGTGCCTTGGGAAATTCAGGCATGGTTGCTGTGTTGGGGGACAATATGTAGGAAATGAGTGGTGGTGGTTGGGGGGAGTCATTCAGATAATTAAGACAGATAATTGCAAACCTTTTTGATTGATATTCATTCCAGGAATCTACTTTGGCTGGTTCCTTCATGATCCTTGTCATCTTCTGTAGAAGCAGACGGTTTTCATGATCAACTTCCGCCTGACGTTCCTCCTCCAACTTAAAAAAAAACATGAAGTCTGTGAGCCAATGCTCACTAATAATACCCCCCCTCTGATGTGAATACACAAGTTCAGTTATGGACAGACACAGTGATAATCAGGAAATTGACATCGGATTGTACAAAAATGAATCCCAACATATGGCATGCCTAAACAAAAAGTGTGTTAAAATTTCAAGCACTCGCGATGAGTAGTTGCTGAGAAAACTGCAACCAAAATTTGTTATGTATGGTACGGACAGATGCACGGATAAACAGGAAGTTGACATCGGATTTGTACAAAAATGAATCCCAACATATGGCATGCCTAAACAAAGAGTGTGCTAAAATTTCAAGCATCTGCGATGAGTAGTTGCTGAGAAAACTACGACCAAAATTTATGTATGGTACGGACAGACACACGGATAAACAGGAGGTTGACATCAGAATTGTACAAAAATGAATCCAACCATGTGGAATGCCTAAACAAAGAGTGTGCTAAAATTTCAAGCATCTTGAGTAGTTGCTGAGAAAACTGTGACCAAAATTTGTTACGGATAGACAGACACACACACAGCTAGACAAACAGACAGACACACAAGGGTAAAACAGCATACCCTCCTCTCCTTCGGATGGGGGGTATAAAAATTCAGTTAATTTTCTTATCAACCAACCAGGGGGAGTTCAAGAACTGTAGCTAGTAGCTATGTAGCCTGTACATCTAGCATTAATTTAAACCATAGGTTAGTGGATGCAATCTAAGACATCATCAAACATTCTACACAAATTGTTGTTTGTGACAAGCACTGACAATTGATGGTATCCATATTAAAAATTTTCCACACATAGCTTCTGCATATGTAATCCTGTTCATTAAGGAAGCTCTAAACACTGCACACTAAAGAGTTCTATTTGTAGGGTAGTTTTTTTGAGTTAGAGTGATCTGCCCTTAGGAGAAAAATAGAATAAATGGGAATCTACAGTTAATGACACAATTTCTCATGAATTAAAGTATTCTTAATGTTATGTTAGACCAAGATTGTGTAATTGAATACATTATTTCCATTAATTTTCCAGATGCAAGTAAACAACAGTGATTTCTTTTCACAAATAGTTCACTGTCTTTGAACATTTTTTCTGCAGAAATACGGCAGACACCCTTTCTTGAAAATGATCTAGATACACTGAATATGTGCACGTTTATATGATATATTTTTCTCAAAGTCCAAAAAGCATTTTTCATTAGTGTTTACAGCTTCCTTAATATAAAGTCAAACAAACTAATCCAAACTATCAAAATCGTTTAGTAGACTTATTAGTATATATACAGTTGAACTTTGGTATCTCCAACTGATATCTCAAATATTATATGGATATGTCAAAGCGAGTAGGAAGTCCCAATCACTTTTTCTTTATGTACTTTAACCTCAATATCTCGAATCTTCAGGTATCTCAAAGTCCCATTGGAGACAGTTCAAGATAAAAAGGTTTGACTGTAGAATGAAATAAAGATTTCCCTAAAGAATATCATATCTTAACCTACCTGAATTTTCTTTAGTTGCAGAATTAAGTGAGGATGTTTCTGTGGCTTTTTATTATTAACAGTAGGTCTTGAACCATGCACCTGAAAAATAAGAAATAAATCTTGAAACATGTTTCAAATGCTTTCAACCATTGACATAGATTAATACATTTAAAAAATACTCCTTAGTGTTTCATGGTGTTATTTGAATTTTTGGACTCCAATGGGCCCCTAGGATGAAAATTTTGAAATGTTATCTGTACATCTACAAGACACCACTAATCATATTTCAATATATATTATGTGGCCATAATGCGTAAAATGTGAGATGAGTTATGGGAACCAGGTTTTGTAGAAAAAAAAAAACTGTTTTTCAGACCAAAATTGGCCCCCTAGGAACAAATTGAAAGTTCTGAACCTTATTCCACATTTTCAAAGCACCACCAATCATTCCAATAGATGATATGGCCATACTATATAATTTAAAAGTGAGAGGAGTTCTGGGAACCAGGTTTGGGGCAAAAAAAATTGTTTTTTAAGGCTCAAATTAGCCCTTCCGAACAAACTGAAAATCTGAAACCTTACTGTACATCTATTGGACACCACCAAGCATATTTAAGAAGACAAATTAACTACTGCTTTTAATCTAAGAGGAGTTTGAGGAAAAAGATATTGTGCCAGACAGACCAGAATATCAACAATATACCCAAACCCTTCATTGAAAGTGTGGGCATAAGTAATTCATGACAATGTATTTAAAAAAAATGTCTTGATTGATGAAAGTCTTAATGTATGTTGAACTTCAGTTATCAGTTTTTCAGGTAATTAATTTCCTTTTCAAGAGATCTGACAAACTTTATGTTCAAATTTAATCTAAATCAGTCAAGAATAGTGAAAGCATGAGGTTTCCTAAGACTTTTAACAACTTGCACTTGTTTGAATTTGAATTAGCTGTAATTGGTTGTGACTCCACTGTAGGGGGGTTCCATAAGAGGTAGATATGTAGGTGTCAATGAATTCAGAAATCAAAAAAATTTCAAGATGTTTGAAAAGGATTTTCAGTTTTTTAAATGACTTTCTGCTTGACTGATTATAAAGCTATTATGAACGCCTAATGCCCCACACTGAAATTTAGAAAAATTTGTTTTTCTTACTGATTAGAAAAGTCTTCGTCAACTTCTTTTATTTACTGTATTGTATATATTTGTTGTTAGTAGAATTACAATTCTATTTTAACAAGTTTAAAGCCCAGCTTGGTGTTCAGTTTCAATTATCATTATGCAGAAATTGTTTGTTAGGAATTTTAAGCCATTTGAATTCTGAATAATACACATGCATCTCTGTAAGAAATAAATGCCAGACAAACCTTTTTTTCTGATTTTTTTTTTAAAATCTTTCTATAAACTAGTACAGCAGGTGTAAACTGTACCCATTTATACTGATCTAAAATTGAGTATTGATCTTAAAATAAAACTCCTTTCTAATATCTAAATGAACAAATTTTAGATTTAGAGAATATTGAACTGAGAGAGAGAGAGAGAGAGAGAGAGAGAGAGAGAGAGAGAGAGAAAAGGCAACAAATTGCCAAGCTCTTAACTTTTTCTTGTATCCCTCCTTCCTATTCCCCCATCCCCCTCCCCCTGCCTTTTTACCTTTGATCTATGTGGTCAATAAGCACAATTCTGTTGGTACTTATATAAAAGAATTTTATTGGCCACAAGGAAGCATGATTTTTCTGGGTAACAATAACCCATTCCTAACTTTGTGTGTACCCCCCCCCCCCCCCCCATCAATCCCCATCTTTTTTACCTTCTGTCTGTGAAGCCTATAGGCTCGATCCTGCTCATACTTATAAAGGATTTTATTGGCCACGGGGAACCCTGGCCCAGGCATGATTTCTCTGTGGGATGTCTGTCTTCTTCAAGTTCTGTCTATGAATAATACATGGTTTAATCCTGCAATAACAAACAATAAAAAACTAAAATTAAATATTCATTCACAGTAAATAAAGCGGGATTCAGAAGAATGTTAAATGCAGGATCACTTCATTTTAAATGAAAGAATATCATCGGATTCCTATTTTCTGAATGTATTTGTAGAACCAATTAAATCTACTTATTCACAGTTTCATGAATTTTAATTAAAGTACACATAAATACTAGTTAAAACATTATGAATTTAAATAGATATTTAATTGTTACTGTAATGCAGATTATGAACTATATATAACTATGCAACATTTCTGAAAATACAGGCATTGTTGTAAGCCATAAACATACACCCCCCCCCCTTTCCCGGCCTCCATAGAATGTACTGAAGATATCCAAATTGCAAGAATCACTATTTGAACCATAAATCTAGATTATATCTGAAGTTATAACCATATCCCTTTGTACACAATCTGTCTTTTTCAAAATTACAAGAATTGATCTGGTCTTCTTTTTTTTTTAAAGAAAACTGAGAAACTTGTTTATAGTGATTCTAGTATCACTTTTCAATGATGTTGTATTCTCTTTTGGAAAACATAAATCCTATTTGAAATTAATTTTTCAACAGAAAATGGGAATATTTACACAATATGTGATGAAATATTCATGGGAATTTTATATCCATTTTTCTATACTGGACTGACATATTGAATAGTTTCACTTGATATATCATTGATTCACATAAAATCAAGGTTAATTTGACACAGAAACAATTCTGAGTTATTGTAATAAAACTCTTTAAAAATTATTTATAAGCACGCTGTACATATACAATACATACATATTGAATCTATGTCTATTTTTAAATCTAATGCGTACGTTTCTTGACACAGTCCTGTATATTTCCTTTGATGATCAAAGATCTATTCCCAGATATGAGAAGTTCTATAACGAGACAGAATTGAAAGACAAAATCATGAATTGGCTACATTACCTCTAAATGGCTATGTAAGACATTCCCAACTGCTACCTCAAAAAATAACAAACGGATGTCATTCTGCTTAAATGTCTCGATTGATCGCAAACATGAAAATACCAAACTGTTCCAAGAGATTAAATTTAATCTATCACACATATATTTCTACCTGTGCTAACGGTTAGCGGGCCAGCGCCATAGAGACGGGTCATTACACCGGTGGAGAACAGACAAGCAACAAATTGATCTCCGTCCATTTAACAGCCAGTTGATCTCTTCTTTCACTCCTGGAACACGCAACAATTTCCTGCCATCTCTCCAGAATCCTCGATATTGGGGGTGGATCAACAGTGATCAAGATTTTTTTGACATTTTATTTGCTGTGCACTCTGGTATGGCAGCGCGGTTTAACTAATCGCGTGATCCTGAAAGAAAAATAACATTTTTGATTTTATTTCAATTAAAAGATTACCGACTTTCTGGATTATATCATTAAAAAGCCGATCCCTATAATGAAGTTGCCGATGGGGATATTGGATTACATTTTGGAATAAAAATCAACTTTATTTGGTGAATTTTCTATGATTTCATCGAGTAAAGAGAAGGGTTAGGGGGAGCATGAAATATTATACCTGCAGAACTGTAGCGTTATGATTTTATATTTTAGGCTTGGTCAAAGACTAAAATATTAAACCATAACGCTACAGTTCTGCAGCTAGAAAACTTAAAGATTGGGGTTCCAAACGTACCTGGTACACGTAAAGCACTTTTCTTATTAACAAACTGTGTTAACTTTACCCTCTTCTCGCCAAATAACACTTTGAAGGTCACCAAACTAGGGTTCATCCCAACTCAATTTGAAAAAAAAAAATCCTATTCAGAATTTTTTTTCTATTAGCCAAAAAACCCACTCCAAACGCGAAAATCTTATTTCGTGGTGGGGGGGGGGGGTAATGTCTCCCTACATAGACAAGCCTCATTTACTCTTTCTACCAACTTTCAAGGATTCCATGTTTCATGAGGACGAAAGGGGTGCATGGTGGGCAATTGTCCTTTCTGACATATTTCATGTCATGTTGCAGATTTTATTTGATAAAATGAAATATGTCATAAACTTATTTTTTCGTTAATCATTCTATAATAATTTTGAAAATACCAGGATACGGGGTTAATGGTCCGAACCCCCCCCCCCCCCTTTCCCGATGAATCGTATGACAACTTACCGGGACATTAGAGATACATGTGTGGGTCAAAATTTACAGAGAATTTGACTGTGAGATAGTTCGTATATGTAACTCAGACAATAAATGCAGTCACCAAGCGCTGCGTAAAGGGCGATAACTCTTTATCATTACAGGTACTTTAGTGGTTCAATAAAATACAATTTTTGTTTACATGAATTATCAAAATTAAAGCTATTAGTCATAAACTTCAATTACTTTAAATGATAAAAGATTAAAACATGATAATTCTAAGCAAAGACATTTTTTGGTATGCATCTTCGCTAGTCAAGCGTTTCTCTCTCTCTCTTCTTTCACTCTATTTTTAATAAAATCTCTGATGAGAGAAGGATTCAGAAACACTTTGCTAACATAATAATTCTAAAGCGAATATTCAGAGAGGAATGATTTCTAAAACATTCTACAGTTGATTAACATATTTAACTACAGTTATAAATAATTTGTATAAATTCACATTTTAAAACGAAGCAAACATGACTCTTTAACTGATAAACTATTAAAGGAAACAAAAAATTAAAAAAAAAAAATTATTTCAACTGTTTGAAAATGTAAAAATAAGTTTTGAATTATTAAATTATCGCTGGAGGGGAGGGGGGGGGGGCTGCACTATATTATTCATAATTCCCACGATCCGTGCCCCCCCCCCCCCCCCCAACCTTAGTGAGAATTTGAATATGGAGAACTGTGTAATCATGACAGGGAGGAGTGATAAAAGCTTAATAAGATCATTTAAATCAAGGATACAAATTCACTAGTCATTCTAAATACCAATCTTAAATCGGCTTTATTTTTACCTATAGTTAAATAATAAGATTGAGAATTAAATTAGTAACGTGATAAACTACATGTAACCTGTATACAGAACCCTGACCAAATTCAAAATGAACAAAGTATGAACTACAAGAAGAAAAAAAAGGCCACAGATTGACTCCCTATACTTATCTGTATATATATTCAGGGGGAAACAAATATGAAACAAACTGCAAAAATACCCCCTCTATACAAGTAAGCAATTTGACAAATATTGGAACATCAGAACTGTTAAGGCCACAGCAAGGTAGACATTACTATCCAGAATGCATAGTTAAAAAAATTTACCTGTGTGCCTGCACTCTCTTTATGGGGTGCAAAAATGTGAAAAGTTTACAGAAGCAGATTCAGGAATTCCGGGGGGGGGGGGGGGGGTTATAATTCAGAGACAAGGAGCTCGGGGCCTTTCTCATCAGAAGAGATTGATTGCTCGTCCCTCTGTAGTGAATTTATATTTCTTGGATTTTAACCCCCCCCCCCCCACACACACATTTCATCGTGAAAACACCTCTGACCTCAATAAAGATTTTTTAAAGTTATTATTATTTTTTTTTTATAAAAGTCAGTCCACGTATTTAGTAACAAATTTACATATTGCTCTCTCTCTCTCTCTCTCGCCACTTTCTTCGGGAGTAGAAGTTGTCTTGGAACAACCAAAACAACAAAATCCTGCATGTAGATGCTAACAAAAACGATGGTGACACATCCTTTTGTCAAAATAATCATATATCTAGCTAGAACTGTCAAACATTTATAGATTGTTTATTATATGTATTTTGAAATAAAAAGAAAATCTGCACGTATACTATTTACTTCAAATCAATTATTTTCAAGTAAATTCTTAGTCATTTACAATTTTCTCAAAGAAAACCAAGTCTGTGACTAAAATTCTGATATTATTATTTCGAAACCTATTAAAGAATCTTAATAATCTTTTCTTTTGATTTTTAAATTTCATAATCGGATCTAATCTAATGATAAGTCAACTCAAAAAATTGTATGTGTTTTCTGTTGAAAAAAAACAAACAAAACCCCACACATTTTAAAATAAAATGTCATTGAGATTTGCCGTTCTTCAGTCACCTATATTTTTTTTGCACTAGGCCTATGGGAGTTATCTCTCATTAGGTGTTCGCTTCTGAATTAAAATCCGGATTGTTACGCCTATTTATTCAGGTTCTAGTAATTACCGTCTGCTGATGACGTCATACCAATGGCGGGTTAAAACAAATATAAATCGAAATTTATGGTTTTTAAATGCAATTAATCAAAATGAGGCTATTTGTGCATTCTTATGGTAAGTAATAAAATTTTTATTGCATGCAAATAAGACGTAAGAACAAATCAGGCGAAAGAATAACAAAGCGGGGGATGCATGAGTTTAGCGCTTAGAGGTCCGTGTTTGCTCTGCTCCTATTTTGTAATGTTTAATGGACTTTTGAGCTCGAATACTGTTCGTTATCTCCACATATCTCAGAATTTTTATTATGGGACAGATTCTGTGACAGCTTTTGCAATCTTGGAATACTGTCAAGTTGATTTTAGGTGCTGGTTTACTGTTAGTCATAGTGTAACACTTAGAACTGCCTATTAATATAAACCTTCGAACAGTCAGCATGCACAGTGTTATGAATAATATTTTAGTACCCATGCTGCTTGGTCAATGCTAAAAATTTGCGAAAGGCAGTCAGTGTAATACAATAGCCTAACCTGCAGTTTTTAGAACATCTTAATGACTTGTCCGAGATGCCCTACGTTTTTCAAGCTTTTTAAAGAAATTTTAAGTGATTTGGATATTCACTATTTTCCTTGCTTGTCAAATATCTTAATAATGAAAAAAATCAGGAAAAATAATAAAGTTATTAGAGTGGATATTTTGGACTTCTTTATAAAGGATCCTAAAGTATGTCTTGAAGTCCAGTCATGATGCTCAACCCAGGGACCTATACTATATAGGTCCCTGGCTCGAATGTCAGACACCTCGGCCCAACGACACCTCTGCCCATTGACATCTCGGCCCAATGACACCTCGGCTCAGACAGGTCGGCCCAAGATTTAAGACAGGTCGGCCCATCTATAAGACACCTCAGCCCAAGCAGAATTTCATTACAAAATATATTATATTTCCAATTTGTGACTTAAATAAAATATTGATTGAAAAAATTAGTTGAATATGTGATCAATATTTTTTTTTAGATAATTAAAAAACCTTGGAACCATGAGCATTTTGACTATAATCAAGGAATGAGAAGACATAATTAAGGTGTTAATTGATAAACAAACAAAATGTCGCGGCGCATCCTTTGGAGTCTCAAGTGCGTGTCAATACTGGTTACAATATGAGGGGTTAATTACGAGCAGGCTTAATTGTGAGACAGTACATTTACATCCACTGAGTATTTACTATTTTATTTCCTACATTGTAAGAAAACACTCAAGAAAGTTACCATTTTATCGAACATGCAGTTAACAAAACTTTTTTAAATACCCCTTGTACATCATAAAAATCATAAAGGCTGCATCTGTTTATTCTCGCATTAACCTCCCAAGCAAAAAAAAATGTGTAAATGAATCCATTTCTTTTCACGGATTATTGACCTATCTCAATTGTTTCAAATTGTCAGAGAAACAGTGCAAAATGATATGATAACATACAGCTATTATTATAATATAAATATATAAGATCGTAAGAAAGAATTGCTAGTATGTTGAAATTTAGTATTACTTAGCATATATATTGCACATTTTCCACAAGATAGAGATCTAAGAAAGAATAATTATATATATAATAATATCAATTCAGACACTGGATTATTCTTTCTATCGCAAAATTTTGCTTGGGCCGAGAAGTCTTTTATATGGGCCTACGTGTCAATTATCTTGGGCTGACCTGTCAGGGCAGATCGAGGTGTCAAATGTGACGGGCCGAGGTGTCATTGGGCCAAGATGTCTGTCTACCCCTGGCTCAACCAAAAATGGTAATACATGATGTAAATTTTTATTCTAACTTTCTATGGAAGTTTACAGGAGACATGAAGGAGGATGTAACTTTGCTTGAAGCCAAATATTTTCTATAAGCAGGAATAGACATTAACTTTCAGATTCTCTTGCCCTTCAGGCAAGTGATCTAACTTTGACTTGTCCAAAAGCAAAACTTGGTTGCCCAGAATTAAGAAAGAAGAAAATAACTTCATTAATTTATTACTGTAAATGATTATACGATAAGAAAAAGTGCAACCAGATACACTACTGT